GGGACGAGTCGAGTAGTGAAAGGCACGCCAGCTCATAAGAAGAAATCGTATAAGAAACGAAGCAAAAATGCAATCAACTAGAAAAGAAAGACGATGATAGAAAAAAATGAGTGAGAGAAAGAGAAATCTCTTCTCCGAAAAGGAAATATCATCATCAACAATAACGAGTCGATCTGCATGACTGTAAGGGGGGAAGAAGAAGAAGAAGAAGAAAGAAAGACTCGAAATTGTCACTAGGAAAGAGAAGAGGAGAAGCAACGAGACAAAAGACAAAGTATTCAATAGGAGCGGCTAGTAATGATGGAGTGATTTCAAAGAAGATCATCTTTTGAGGTTGTATCAAAGACTTGTCATCTTTTTGTCTTACAAATTATAACGTTCTAATGTGAATGTAGATATCTAGGTGCTTAATTGAATATAAGTATGGATGGTTAAAGAAAGAAGATAGAGAATAAGAAACGAAGTCTCTTGTTATTTGCTCTTACCCAAAGCGGAAAGAGCCACTCTTATTCAATTCCGTTTTTCTTCATCCGTTCTTGTTGTAGCTATTGTTGCTTCTATCGCTGCCCTTACAACATTGACTCTCCCTCTCTCTCTCTCTTTTCTCGGATACTCTTTATCAGCAGACTAAATTCATCGATATTCTAAGTATTTCCAGCAACTTTTTCAAAAGCTCAGGTATGTGGAATAATTGATAGGAATCAACAAGTCAATTGCATAGAAAAATTTTCTTTTCTCCCTCTCTCTCGCTCGTCTATCTAGATTTCTTGTCAACCTTGATTAGCGTCATCATCGACAAAAGATTCCTCTAAAACGTATTAAACACACACACGCTAAACAAACTAATTTCCTCTGTTATTTCATCTATTTGTTGATATCACGACACGATTGTCAATGTTTTCCTGGCAACTTCTGTATCAATGTATAACAAGTGTTGTTGTATTCATGTCTTCTCACTAAGAAAACAACAAACGCTAACAGCAACAACTACATTACTCTTTAATCGCATTATTCTATTAATATTAGCTCAACCGTCCTATTGCATTATCGTTATCATTGCCTATTCCTACTTATATTACATTAAAGCTAAGCGTCGATGCAATTGTCATTCAATGATACGCTGTCGAATGTTTCAACGACGAACGTCGAATGAAGATATGATAGCTATTATTGGCAACCATGCTTATTCGACTAAAACACATTTTCATTATGTTGATTTTTAACCTGTCCTTGTCCTCGACATCGTCCTCTGATCCACTTGTTCGTTCGACAAATTCTGGCCGCGTTCGAGGAATCGATTCATATTTTCGTACTGCTGATTCTCCACGCCTTCATCATGTTCGCGCGTGGCTTGGTATTCCTTTCGCTAAGCCACCTATTGGTAAACGTCGTTTTCGAGCTCCCGAACGTGTTGATCCATGGCCGGGCATTCTCAATACGACACAATTTCCGGCTACTTGTTGGCAAACTGAACAGATCGTTTACAATCTCGAAGCAGAGAAAATCTGGTCGCCGAGCACGAACTGTAGTGAAGATTGCTTGTATTTAAACATTTGGGTACCAGTGAGTGATACTGAAACAAGTGAATCTTTAGCTGTATTAGTGTGGATTTACGGCGGAGCATTTGTCACGGGTTCAAGTGCGTTAGATCTTTATGATGGACGAATTTTGGCAGCGACGAATAATATTATTGTTGCTTCGATGCAGTATCGTTTACAGAGTTTTGGTTTTTTGTTTCTTGATCGACCGGACGCGCCTGGTAAGCGGCAAATTGTTGCTCAAACAAACGATCTCATGCATATGATGTCTTCTATCTTTTAGGAAATCAGGGTCTCTATGATCAAGCTCTTGCCTTAGAATGGATTCATCACAATATTGGTTTCTTTGATGGTGATAGCCAACGAATAACTCTCTATGGTGAATCAGCTGGTGCTGTATCCGTTGGTTTTCATTTATTATCACCACGTAGTCGATCGCTATTCACCAGTGCTATTCTACAAAGTGGAGGGCCTACTTGTAACTGGGCATATATAACAGCTGAAGAAGGTCATCGACGTTCACAGAAATATCTGAATGAGTTCTATTCTCTGGTCACCAAGCGCCTGTCTAACGAACAGCATCGAGATGAACGAGAGAAAATACCTGAAGTTTGCAAACGTGGCTCTCATGTCGACGATATCGACGTTATGTTTGAGTGTGCATTGAATTATCCAGTTCTTGATGAAGAACACTATGCTTACATAACAAATGCAGAATATACAATTCAAGACGGTGGTCCAATGTTCTTTATGTTGATGCCAGTCATCGACGGAACGTTTTTGCCACAAAATCCAATAAAGATGTTGAAAACAGGAAACTTTAAAGTATGAATCCAGCTCTCGTTTTACTATCTTGTAAACCATTGTTCACTCTGTATGTAGAAATGCCCACTTTTACTAGGCGCCAATCGTGACGAAGGTTCGTATTTTATGGTCTATGCTCAAGGAAATGATAAAACTCCCGGAAATGCCATGCCAGACGTAAGCTATGCTACATTTATTAAACACCTCGAACTCTATTACAATTATATCCCGTCTTATCCATACAAAACGCCTCGAATCATCTACCAATCGTTAATTCAAAAATACACAGATTGGGCTGATTGGTCCAACAATGTACGAAACGCAGTTATCTTGAGTTACGCCGTTGGCGATGCACATTTTACATGTCCAACTGTGGCTGTGGCGAATGCTTACGCGACACAGAATATGTCAGTTTACTTCTATCACTTCGTCGCCCGACCATCAACAAGCGATTGGCATGCATGGACAGGTGTCATGCACGGGTAGGACAAATGCTTTTGAAGTGCAACTGTTAACATACTGCTTTTCTTAGCGATGAGATTATGTTTGTCTTTGGCGAACCTCTCAATGCAACTGATAGTAAATTATATAGACAGGAGGAAATCCAACTAGCAAGAAGAATAATGGGCTACTGGTCAAACTTTTCCAAATATGGGTAAGATTTATTGAACAATTCAGCTTTGACAATTCCTTTGGAAATACTAGAAATCCTAATGGTGATTCGAGTGTTGTTACTCGTGATTGGCCAAATTATAACTACCCTGTACGTGCACACATTATACTTGATACGTTGAACAAATCGACCGGTGTTGCTCATCGTGCTGATTATTGTGCATTCTGGGAACATTACGTGCCTGTACTATTAGAAGAATTTGGTAAGTTTTGCCTTGCTCATTGTGTATTCCGTTTCATTCATTTTATAACTTAGAACGATGTGTTATTCATGGTCCCTCATCGTTATTAACTCATGAAAAATATTCAACTTCATCAAGGATCAATTCTTACACTTTTCTGTTTCTCCTCTCGCTGACGATTTCATTGTCACGACTGATTTGAGATCTCGTCTAACTAACGTCTAGTCACATATCATGGTTGTCGCTGTTGCCTTTTGCTTCGCTTTCTTTCTTTCTTTTTCTCTCATTTTGCTCTTGAATAAATCAACGTTTTCATTGCTTTTGGTGTTGATATTATTTAATCATTCAAATCGTTTCCACCGATACGACGAAGTGATTTCTATAGGAAGAGATAGGATACAATAAAGCATGAAACCAAATTAGATCTAGTTGACTAGCGTAAATCTTTTTCGCAGCTCTTTCTCTTCCAAGAACTTCGGACAATAGATCGAATGAATTGAACCGAAGAAGATTTTTCTTGAATACCAGTCGATGATTAAGCGACTAGTACTTCGAATACAGTTGTCTCATAGCACGGTTTGATGAGAATATGAAACAATATTCTCTTTGGATTTATGAATTAAGAAGAAATTCCAAGGGGATGAACATCAGGAAATCCGAAAAGAACGCACTCAACTCTATATAGACAGTCGTATGATTTGATCTGAAAAGAAATCAATCTTCTATTGATTTGTCCAAATTGAGATTTTTATTTTTGAGCTCAACGGCTTAGTGCAAACTCACACGTGCGCGCATAGATCGACCAAACAAGAGAGGAAAAACAAACAAAAACAAAAGAATTTCTATGAAAAAGAAAAAGAACAAAATACAAACATAATTATGATCAGAAAAGAAAAAACAATGGTTGTTTTGTACAGAGATAAGAATACAGACAACTCGTTTGCAGGAAGTTCTATGTCATCATCATCATCATCATCGTCGTCGTCATCATCATCGTCAGTAAATTATTTGATTACATACTGAGATTCATCTTTCAAACAAACAGCTAGTCTATTATTACATTAAACAATAGGCACTGTCGAATGTACATTGAAAGGAAAATTGAAACGAGAGAAAACACACACATACAAATCTGTAATTATGTATACAATGGAACAGCGAAGAAAAAAAAAGTGACATACGAAAACAAAAGGACTAGTATAGAAACGTTTTTCTGATTTTTCAAAGCAAGACTAAAAAGATACATTCGAGTGAGAGAATAAAGATCAGAAATACTTTGTAGTACACGTGTGTATATTCTATACACACGTCGCATTATTTGTTGTTTTATTAAATATATGACAGTGATATAAATAACGAACGAAAGAGACAGGCAGAGAAAGAATATCTCAACTGTACAGAGAAGAAGGAAAAGAAATTGTCATCGTTGTTTTTGAAATACGAAAAAAAAGAGAAAAACGTACAATACTTCTGTAATGAATGAACGAATTAATACCAAATAGATAAACAAAAGAAAGATTACATTCCTCACTCACTAATATTACATTTCGAAGAAAACAAACAACAACAACAACAACAACAGCAAGAAAATGCAAAGTTGAATAACACACAATTATTTCGAGTTCATTTGGGCTATTGACAAAGGTCATTAATACATTAGACATATCAAAGAAAACAAGAGGAATAAGAGAGAAAACATGTATTCAAATAGAAGTCACTGGAACAGACGTACACTAGAAAGTATCTGCGCATATCGATTGTCAAGATGACGATTTTGTGTTGCAAGTCACAAAATCGAATGGTGCTACCTGTTGAATGGGTGATGATTACGAGAAGCTAAAGTGAGAAAGAAAGACAAATGTTACGATGGACCGTTTTAGGATTAAGACGAATTCAGCTTACACATATAATTAGTATTGTTGTACTGTTGTTGCCGTTGTAAATGTGGATGATAAGGAAATTGTTGTTGATGATGATGTGCTGGATAACTATGAGTTGGATAATGATATTTCATTGAATTATGATGAAAATGATTCGAGGGTGGTGGCGGCGGCGGCGGTGCTGCTGCATGTGGGTTCATAAATGGATTTGGAAAAGGAAAGTTAAAAAAAGGAGCTGTTCGTGTATCGAAATGATGATATGGTTGAGCATATGGATCCATATGATGGATGGGTGGAGGTGGAGCTGGTGGTTGTGGTAAATGCTCGCTTTTCCTTGATGTTGAATAGTATTCTTTGCTATGAAAAGAAGATTGTTTCGATTTTTTCATCTTTTTTGGACTTTGTTGTTCGATATCATTCGAAGCTTTCCGCTGCTGCTGCTGCTGCTGCTGTTGGTAGTGGTGGTGATGGTGAGCATGTGTATCTATTTCCGGTGGTGGAGTGATAAATGTATTGTTATTCAGCGGTTCATCATCATAGTTGAGTAAATGCGCCATTTTCTTCATTTGATTTTCGGGTGGTGTGGTTGAGTTTACTGATTTGAATTCATTCGTTGGCGGTGTATCTTGTTTGTTGGGCAAAAGTGGTATATCTTCATTCTCTCCAGGTGTGGGTGGCACACGAGTATCTGGCGACGATTGGGTACGATACAACTGAGCTAGAGGTTGCTCAAAACGTGTTAAACCAGCGTATTCAGTTTTTAATGACAACTTAGCTTCGCGATCTAACTGATCATCTATAGAAGATTTCTTTCGTTTTGGCTTTTTAATTGGTTTACGAATTTTGATCTTCACTGCCGGTGGAGGAGGAGGTGGTTCTTCTTCTTCTTCTTTCGACAGAGATGGTGGTGATGGTAGTTTGGTCCGAATTTTAATTTTTAATGACGGTCGAACATTCTCACACACAAGAACAGGTGCCGGTGCTGGTGTCGGTGTCGGCTCTGATTCCGGTGCAGGTGACGCCGTTGGCGATGGTGATATCTTGCGTTTCTTCTTCGGTTTCGGATAAATTGAATTGAGTTTTAATTTCACGGATGGAATCGGTGAATACTGTTCTTGCGGTGTTGTTTTCTTCTGACTATCTTGATAGATTTGTTGATAATGGAGAAAATTCTTCTCGAGAATCTTCTTTGGTGGTTCATCGACCGGTTCAATTAGATGATCGAGATTATCGGATGTATCGATAGCCGGAGGTGGAGATGGCGATGGTGATGGCGATGGCGAAGCAGCTTGTACATGATTTTCAATCATGTCGTACGGATTCTTATTAGGAGCTTCGTTCAGTAATTCTTCGATCTGATCTGTATCTAACGGATTTGATTTTTCTATCGACGACGAACTCGTCAAACAACCAGAATCGAGCACGAGCTCATTTTCAGCAGATTTGATTGGAGATGAAGGCATCATTGGCGACAGAGGATTCGTCGGAGATAATATTGGTTCGAATATAATACATGCTTTACGTGAACTTTGTTCAGGTATAGGAAGGAAATCTATTGTTACCGTTGTCGGCGTCGTCGTTGCTGTCGGTGTTGGTGGGACCGGTGGTAACGACAACGTCGGTTGATGTAGTAGTGATGGCGACTGTAATACTGGCTGCACAGGCGGTGTAGGTGCTGGCGGGGGAGATGGAGTAGGTGGTGGAAGAAAAGCATCGTAGTCAATAACAGACGATGTTTCTTTGACAGGAGATGTTGAATGTGTTTGATTTATCTGTAGAATAGATGCTAGATCAGTGATTGCTGAATTGTCTTCGGATTTAGGCGAGTCTGCTGTCGAATTGATTTCGTTGTCGAATTTGTCTTCAAGTATAACAGCTGGCACGGGTAGAGATTCTGGTTCCGGTTCCGGCTGTAATTCAACTTTTTGTTCGCATTGTTCCAGTTGTTTTTGTAGTAATTCTTGCTCTTGTTCGATCGTAGGATAGAAGTACTGCAAATCGACAAATGCAGATGCCGTTTCTTCAGCACCTTGAATTTCTGTTGTTTTGATTATCTCATTCGTTGCTTCAATTAGAGCAAACGAAAAATCAGTTGCAATAACTGTTGTCTCATTCACAGCGGCAGCTGCTGCCGCTTGAACATGACTCAATACATCTTGATCAGTAACAGTGACTAAATCATCAAGAATATCTTGATATTTTACTGATTCATACGTTGCTACTTGACTGGGTTCGATATGACGAGCACTAAACAAGAATAAATAAGTACCCAAAATAGAATATTCAATAAGCGATGTTAACTTACGTTAATTGTACACCTTCTTCCGGCAAGCATACCGATGTATTTTTACTACTAAATGTGTTACTTTGCGACGAATGCTGTTGTAGACCTAATGGAACAACTGTTGTGAAGACATTGTTATTAATCAATGACGATCCGGGATAGATCGGCGGCGGTGGTGGTTGTGGCAATGGCAATGGCAATGGTGAACTCGATTGTTCAATTGTGCTACTTAAATTATGAGTATTTGTTAGAAGACTACCGAATATGCTTTGTTCCGGATTAATGTTCAATTTAATTCCAGCGTCATCCAAATCAAATTGTTTGAGAAAGGTATTTTCATCAAAATTCATTTCGACAAACCGCATATCTTCTTCGTTCATGAACGATGTTATTTGTTCATTGTCAACGTTATAATCAGGCATGACAGTATTCGTTTCCGTTTCGAGTCGATCATTGAACTCGTCAAATGTTGGCATCGATTGAAAACTTGAGTCCGTACGTTGAATTGTGGTGTTGACAATTTGTCTTACGTCAATATTGTCCAATGTACGAATCAGATTTATGTTCGTGGTCGTCGTTGTCGTTGTAGATGCTGATGACGAAGACGGAGTATCATTCGAGAGTATATTTGTCGTTGGTGGTGGTGCCGGCTGAGATAAGAAATTCGATGCTAGCAATTCTTGATCGAAATTTTGCATTAAACCGGATACAGACTCAGCAAAAGAATTGTTTGGCGAAGTCGCTTGTTGGATAATACTTTCGCTATGGTATTGTACTAGGGTTTTCGAATTTCGTTTCTTATTACTTGTTGAACGTTTATTGGTGGCAACGATACGTTGTACATTCAATGGAGCTGGTGCTAACGGTCGACCGGGATTAGGCGCTATAGGAATTAGTGATGGATTCGTCGGTGGAATAGTCATTGATGGTAATGATGACGGTAGAGGCTTCTTACGATTTCGAATCGGTTTCTTAGTAGTCGCAATCATATTGGTTGTTGATGCTAAGAGATTATTTGTCGGCGGAACGGATAAATCCAGTGATTTCGAATGCATTAGTTGAGGAGATAGATCCATGTGATGTTCTTCAAATGATGTCGGTGGTGATAGTAAAGATACTGTCGATGATGCACTCGTATTGTTAATCAATGACGATGGAGTAAGCACATTGCTTATCGAAGGTTTGGTCTCGTTGAGAACAACAGGAGTGTAAACCTGAAACATGTGTTGTTCATTCAATTTCAATCTTATTGACTAGATGTAGTGAATACTAAATTCGAATTCGTTGTTTTCTTCTCATCATTGTGTTATTTATTTACTCCGCGAGATCGTTTGCTTTATCATCACGTTGGGGTTTTTTTTCTTCGTCAAATGAATGAGACATATCTAACAACTGTTATCTCGATTATTGTTTCACATGCAACTTTTGAGAGTGAGTATCTTGATAATAAAAGAAAACTTCAAATACACTTTCATACTCGTATTCATTCTCGACGAACACAAGTTCGACCTAGTCATCGATAAACAACACAACATTTCCTTCATTGCTGTCTAATTGCTCGCCGACGAAAATTCGTACGCGACATCTCGATTTCTTTCAAGTAAACGAAAACAATATTTTCCGAAGAATAACCTCAAATGATCTATTAATGAAGACGTGCGCAACCTTGAGATTCAATCTTGGAAAACTGCACACATTCGACCAAGGTAAAAACATCAAATTTTAATTGAGAATCAATTCAAGATGTTTTCAAGCCTTGCACTAATTTATGAATTGTCATTTACCTGTAAAGAATTCGTCCTAGACGATGGTTTAGGTCGAATAGGTCTCGGCTGTTTATGATTTAAATCATTATCAAGTAAATTGGTTGTTTCANAATGGATTTGTTTCTGTAATGTACGTAATCGGGACTGACCGGATGAGATTATTCGTTTGAACTGTTATTCCTCCATCTTCTCGATTGACTGGTATCTGAATGAATTCGCGCATTGTGGGCGTGCCAGTTCGATTACTGCTTACAAACGGAATGAATGTTGACGTAAAAGATCCAGGTAAATTCGTCGCGTTATTGCTCGTCGTCGTCGTCGTCATCACTGTTGTTGACGGCGGAGGTGAGAGTTTTCTTGAATGTCCATTTGAAGGATTGTCTGCTAGAAATACTTCGGAAGTATTTGGAGCCATTCGCGAATAATGATAACGTGGCATGAATTGCAACGTCGGAACTGTTGTCGTTATTGAATTGGAAGAACTAGTTGGATTTGAATGAATCGGTTGATGAATAACATGGTAAGACATTGCAGAGGACGACGACGAGCATCACAGGTGTCGATGATGATCCTCTGAAATCCTATATACAAAGTATATTTGTCAAGAAATCTGCTCGCGAAATGCGCTTGTCACGAAAGGGCAAAAGAAGAGAAAAAAAAACACGCGAAAATAATGCATCCGAAAAACTTTCGTTTCATTTGAAAAGAAGCTCGAGAAAGTTTTTCAATCAGATTTGTTGTTCTGTTCTCCCTTGAATTCAGTATATGCGACGCGGAAAACGTACTTAATAAAGAAATGAAAAGAAGAAAGAGAGAGAAAAAGAAACATATTATGACATTTTCCTTTAAGCTCGTCAATCAATTCATGTTTCATTTTTCGCTATACTATTCATACTTCTCTCTATGTTTCTTTTCATTTCATTTACGTGTTTATTATCAACCACTGCGACACGAAGAGAAGAAAAAGAAACGAAGTGACTCTTTCGTGCGTACTTAACCACAACTTGACGAAGTCAATTGTTGTCATCATTATCGTCACTACTCGCAAATATTATTACTAACATCATGATATTATGAATGATGCATAGTGATATTATGTAAAGTGCAGACAGGGATTTGCCGATGTACGAAAGACCAAGAAGAAAAAGAAAGAAAATGGAGAGTTATACATAAACAAAACAACATATTGAGAGAAAAAAAACGAGCAGAAGCGTCTGTCTCTCGTTGTCTATGTATAGCGATGAAGGAGAAGACCTTCTGTTGTTGATTGGCTTTGCTCATACGACAATTGACGATGAAAAGTGCCAAGGAAAAAAGACAAAAAAGAGAAGCAGAAAGAGAAGAGTTGTTACTTCTTATGTTGATGTACCAAAGTAATACAGACGAACGAGAAAGGAAAGAAGACGAAGAATCTTTAATCTATGCAAAGCGTGCGATCAAGGATACACAGACGCGCAAACGCCTATCGTCGTACATACACATGGCCACGAAAACATTACCATTGGCAAGAGACACGGGAAAAATCTTGAAAAAGTCTCGTTTTGCTCTACTCTTTGCCTTCATATGTATAAACAGATATATATATTATCACCTGTCAAAAGAGAGCATCTCGGAAGCGTATGAAAAATGATTTGTGTTTGTTCTTTTTCCGCCAGACTTACAGTCGAATCAGCTTTCCATCTTCGAATAACATTATCCAAGAAAAATATGCGTCTTATTCATATCTATATTTTGTTTATAGATAATCTGTGTAGCAAGGAGAGAGAGAGGAAGAAAAACGTTTTGTCCTTGGAATTGAACATCTGTTGATTATATATATATAACCTAGATAGTAATTCTGTCCGATATAATAAAGCGACTAATCGAGAGAAAACAACAACAAATAGCGAAAGATAATCAACTTGATATATATCACCTTCAAGAAGAATAAACGAGTGTGATCAAGCAAAAAAAGTCTACCTTAAGATTTGCTTATCTAACCTTGTGTTTACATGTCAAACACATTCATCTCTAATTATTAATTAACTCATGAAGAAATCATGTCAAATCTGACTACAATGACACATTCAGGTGTTTGATTTATGTATTCTGACACATGTGTGTATGAGCAAGTCAATGAACAGAAAAGACAAAGAAGCAGTCGTTTATTTTCTTTGAATATTAATCGGTAGTTTTTCTAAGGTGAAGGATGTTTGAATAATTGTGACTTTTCTTCGAGGTTGTTGTAAAAAAATCAAATCTAATTGTCGTTGACGAACTGGATCGAATTTTTCTTGACGTTCCATACAATACAGACGGCATAGACGACTGTTGGAAATGAATATTGTCGCCACTGCGCCGGCGTACGCCATACTATCGATTAGCGTACAGATTTTCAATGAGGACGATGGAATAGATTTGAAAATAATCCAATAGATCAACAGGATGAGATAGAATATTCCGGGTAGAGTTAACATGAAAAGAAGAATAAGAATTCGTCGAAGAAGTTTCATTTGTCGTTGTCGACGATACGGTTCTAACAAGGGAAGATGTAAAACATAGTAAAGAATGTAAATATAAGCACTTGTAATGAAAACAATCGAAATGTAATAGATAATCACTAAAATAAAAAGAAATCAATTGATGACATTGGACTTGTCAACATTGAATGTTATTGATGATAGGACAAACAAGTCAAGGACATGATGATGAATCTTTTTGTCTACATGTATATGCTTTGACGACAATCAATTACCTCTGGAGAAATAATGAGTTTTGTTTTTTTTTGATTCGTACATACTTAGATATAAAAACTGCCATGGCTTGCGAATTGTGACTGTACATAAATGTGAATGTTGACCATAATCGATTCCGTTACTTATAACGAGTGGCAAAACAAGAACTAACACAACTGTCCATTGAATGCTTGTTAATACAAGCAATGAACGACAAGATTTCGTCGCCGAACGAATACTATACACAACACATCGGAGACGATTGAACGCTTTTAAACATAATATCGCATACATGTTGATATAGAGTACACTGAAAATAGTGCCACGAATAATACAAAACGTGTTGTTGACAGGTCGATCAAAAAATTCATGATATAAAACATAACAATTATTGAAGAATATCGTTGAACTTAGGAGTCCGATGGCTAAGCATGTTTGACATGCGATTAAATTTGCGATTGAATAATTGGGATGTTCAAGACGAATAACTGTATGAATGAAAAGAACAGCGACAGTTATTCCAATCAGATTGAATAGACTGGTTAGGAAATCGTTTATAAAATACCACATTGAATATGAACGACGAATGTCATCGACTGGATTCATCAGGAATATGTCACAGCAACGGATAGATCTGCTTCTATTAAATAGAAAACATTATCTTTTATCTAGACGTTTTAAAAGTCAGACATGAAAGTTTCTATTCACTTATGATGTTAATAATACACGTACACGATTCTTTAGTTATTATTACTGCCTACTGCATGAGCTAAGTCATGAGTGAAATAGATCTGCGATCGTAGTACCTGGATGAGAAGTGTACTTATGGAGAGTGTCAACTGAAAGTCCGTTCATGAAATAAACTGAAGAATAGAACATTTAATGGGAAAGATGTAAAAGATTCATGTCCGAGATAAAAATGAGATGTGTCAACAAGAGAATTCGATGAAGTATTTATTCCGACTATCTAAATTATTCAGAAATGATTTTCAAGTATGACCGTTTTTCTTCAATAGCGTGCACAAAAAAATGACTCGTAATTGCAAGGGATTTTTTAAAATAATTATCATTTAGTAAAATTACAGTCTCTCGGAGAAAGACTTTCATGACACAACTAAAGATTTGCTTCAATCCTAGACTATTATTATCGAATTGGTCATAGAAAAGATGTCCATACTTGCCATAAAAGTGTCTCGAATTACATGTTTGTTCGTAGTACTCAACTTTGCCATCTGTTTCTATCAAAATAAACTAATGGTAGTGTACTCTAAGAAACGAATATGATTTCTCATGTTATGACTTTAAAATATTTGCCCTCAGGATATTGAAAATAATAACGACATAGTACGCCTAGGAATACAATAATTTATCCTCAAATATTAGTATAATTTTTTATTAGCACGCTACATACAAGGACTATTGCTTTTCCAATATATGGTTGTCGATCCAATTATCTAGACTGAGAAGAGCATTTCTACTGAGATCTTCGCGTGTACTTTCATAAAAGAATGCTTAGAAATAACCATGACTAGAGAATATTATTTCATCGGACTCATATAAACACAATGAATCCATAATTTCCGCTTATTAAAGACATCTCGAACTCGTACAATAACAAATTTGTATCAAAGATTAGATTGGATATAATTCATATTTACAAAATATCGTTTTCTGCATTTCAGTTGAGAAATTTCACTTGATGACTATGTTGAAAGGTGCGCCGTTTGACACTCAACAGAACAGAAATCGATTCAGTCATGATTTTATGCTTCCAGGTGAATGTCACTATGCTACACGTACTTTTCATGAAGTTCGTTCTTGATGCAAATATAAGAAAAGAGAAAAACATGTTCGATGGGCAAGGTGATCTTTCAGCGCATGAAGTTTGTATACATTTAAATTTCCGAGGAAATATGTACTAGTATAAACAAAGAATATACGTATAGATTCTGTCAAAAGTGAATCGATTGTATTTTATTTCTCTTTCTCTTGTTCGTATTGGTCATTCTTATATCGAACAAGGACGTAAATGGTACATAAACTTCAAATATTCGATCGAAATATTTATCCCAAGAGAGAAAAGATCAAGCAGTTCGTTGCATTTGGACAGAATAGGCCTCTGATTTTTCTTTCATCGATATATTCAAAGAGAAACAAACAACACGCCCTTAAGTGACGATGCATAACAAACAGTCACATGAATACAGCGTGTTTTTCTCTTCGAAATGAATAACATCACCTTTAGATGACTTTTACTATGAAAATGAGTTTTTTGTTTATTTGTTCTAGATATAAACAAGGATGACTGGAAATGGTGACATAAATCATGATCAGCAAGAGGATTCCGATGTTCGTCTCCTTCGTGAGATGGGATATACCCAGGAACTTTATCGTGGTTTTTCACCATTAATGTCATTTGCATTCTGCTTCACTGCTGTCAATGTTTTGGCTTCGATTTCGTTAGGTTTTACTTTCACTTTGAACACGGGAGGATCAGGAGTTGCTATATGGTCTTGGATTATTGGATCATTATTTACTATTTTAATTGGTCTTTCACTAGCAGAAATTTGCTCAGTGTATCCAAGTGCTGGTTCAGTTTATCATTGGTAAATGATGATATGTTTCTCTTATTCACCTGACACTCTTTCTACTCACTAGGGCCGGTCAGTTGATATCAGCTCGCCGAGCGCCAGTAGCCTCTTTCATTTGTGGATGGTTTAATTTTGCTGGAAACGTCGCTGGTAAACTGAAACTTTATTGATTTATCGATATGCGCTGTCTGTTCTCTTCGCTAGCTGATGCCGCATTTTCGTCAGGTTTTGCAACGATGATCAATTCAGCAATCATGCTCAACGGTCAACCGTCGTTAAGCGTTGGGATTCAAGTAGCAATTGGTGTTGGTATAACATTTGTATGGGCTGCTCAAAATGCACTTCGCATCGATCGACAAGGATGGTTGAACAATCTCGCTGCTTTTTTTCAAATCGCATCTTCCATAGCAATTGTTATCGTTCTACTGACTATAGCTCCGCAACGAGCAACCGCTCATGATGTTTTTACATCAACCTACAATGCAACCAATTTTCCCTTTGCTTATGTATGCTGTATCAGTATACTTTCAACCTTATTCTCATTTTCTGGTTATGAAGGTAGCGTAAAAAAAATGAGAGCAAGCGAATTAGAAAGCAATAGTTGTATATTTTTTCCTTCTCAATAGCCGGTGCTCATTTAGCTGAAGAAACACGCGGTGCAGGTCGCGCAGGTGCGTTTCAGGACATACGACAAAAGACTAAGTTCGATTTACATACTTGCTTTTTCTATTTAGCACCCAAAGGCATTGTGGGTACATGTATATGTAGTGCAATTGTCGGCGTAATCTATCTCCTTGCTCTTCTGTTTGCGATACCTAATGTTGAAGCATTTATTGAGAGTTATAGTGACAATAATGAGACTATGAGTTTAGTCGTTTCTACATATCAACTTGCCGCACCAGGCCGTGGTGCAATGGCATTGACCGTTCTTCTTATTCTCAATCTTTACTTTGCTGGTATGTCTTCAATTACAGTCACAAGTCGAATTGGGTACGCGAAATTTTGTAATCGTGTGATACAAATAGTACTCTTCTTTCGATTTCTCTACAGATTTGCTATGGCTCGTGATGGTGTCTTCCCATTTTCATCGTACTTACGTTGGATCTATCAACGAACGCAAACACCATTGGCCAACATCGTCTTCGTGTTTGTTATTGACAGTCTTCTTCTCCTGTTACAATTAGCCTCCACAACAGCCTTCACAGATATCATTGCCATAGCCACACTTGGCTTTCAAATATCTTATCTCATTCCCATCTTTCTTCGTTGTACAGCAGCTCGAAAGACTTTTCCATTAGGAGAATTCAACCTAGGACGATTCGGCCTACCGATTGGCATTATTTCCTCAATATGGTTAATGATCACATCAATATTCATGTTCTTTCCAACAACATATCCTGTGACAGCGGACAATATGAATTACACCGTGGTGATCGTCGCTGGAATATTCGTGTTGGCATCAAGCTACTGGCTAATTTCAGCACGTCGTTGGTTCGTTGGTCCTAAAAGAACTGATCTAACGCCGGAAAAAACATTGCCTGCCGACGAAACAAATGTAGATTATTCATCTGGTGTAATCACTACAATATTTTGAACCGAAAGATGCTTTCAATTCTATAATTCAAAATGAATAAAAACGAATTTTTTTTATAGAGACGGCTTTCTGTGTTCAGGGTCAGAGTTGGTAACATCGAGATCTCTACTATCAGACGTACCACATTTCGTTGGAATTATCATTCGGATTGAAAATCGTGTCACCATATGAGCTGGCTGTCGAAGCAGATTGAGAATTGAAAAGGAACGTCAATCTCGAAGATGATAGTAATAACAACTGATTTGATTATATAAGGATATTCTGTAGATGGTCGAATGAGCAATTTTGAGGATGAGATCTTCTCTTGATCTACGAATTCATCCGTCAAGTGTTTCCATTAGTCCGGAAATTAAAAGACATCAATGTCATACGCATCGCTTCGATCTATCTTTGAACATTCAGTAACTCCCTTCTCTCACACAGCACGAAAACATATTTATCCATGAAAACAGGAGAAATTCTTGATATAATATTGATCAATACTTCCACTTGTTAATCAAACTATTGCATAGATAAACATACGAAGGTGTTCCAAACATCTTCTTATTTACCATCACTAAGAGGTATAACAAATATAAGAAGTTCAGGCTGTAATTTTTCTTTCGTTTCTTATCATAGCAAATTCTTTTCTTCTCCTACTGATTAAATTAACACATACTACGAAGTGAAAATTTGCTTCCATCCTGTCCGAATTCCAAGTTTGTGGGAACAGGGGATACGAATAAAAGATTGATTCAGACAGCTTTTTTTGAAAGCACTCGTCAGTCTACGGGGAATTGGAAAAGTATCGCGTCGTATTAAAGAGCATATTGATTATCAAGATTATTTAATAAGATCGTCGAATTCTATTTTTCTCGAAAAGAAGAAAAGTCAATGTCAATTTATCAACGATATTTAATAAAAAAAACGCTGATTAATATGCATAAGGTTTCCTTCTCAGAGGCAAAGAAAAACAAACTATCATCACTTACAACAAGGCACGATCAGCGACTACACAACGTCAATACCGTCTCGGTTATTCTGTTTAGTTTTTGAATAAAATGAGCCTTGAATCAATTAGGTTTATTTCAAGGGTATAGAAAACGTAATTTCTTTCGGGCCATCATTGTCGCTTCGTTAACATACATATAATAAATAGTTCTCTTGCCGGATGTGTGTTTGCCGATGTCGTCCGTTGGAGCCCCTGCGGCACTGAAGACCAGTAACACTTTTTTCCTCTCTCCTACTTTTACAGAGACTCTGCCGGTTTTTTTCTTCTAATAAATAGTTGTCTATACTTCTATTTCGGCAAGATGTCAAACAGTGTTTCCTAATCACAATGTGCTCAGTTGTAACGATGTATTAGGATTTATTTCAGTTGCGTGCGCATTCGATCTTTCATTTGTTTCAAAGTATATCTGACGATCAGCAGTGAGCAGAGAGACAAGATGAAAACTTCTTGTGTTTCTTTTTTCAATAATAGTAGATAGGGGGGTGGGGTGGGGGGGACGAGTCGAGTAGCGAAAGGCACGCCAACTCACAAGAAGAAATCGTATAAGAAACGAAGCAAAAATGCAATCAACTAGAAAAAAAAGACGATGATAGAAAAAAAGAGTGAGAGAAAGAGAAATCTCTTCTCCGAAAAGGAAATATCATCATCAGCAATAACGAGTCGATCTGCATGACTGTAAGGGAAGGAGAAGAAGAAGAAGGAAAGACTCGAAATTTTCACCAGGAAAAAGAAGAGGAGAAGAAACGAGACAAAAGACAAAGTATTCAATAGGAGCGGCTAGTAATGATAGAGTGATTTCAAAGAAGATCATCTTTTGAGGTTGTATCAAAAGACTTGTCATCTTTTTGTCTTACAAATTATAACGTTCCAATGTGAATGTAGATGTCTAGGTGCTTAATTGAATATAAGTATGGATGGTTAAAGAAAGAAGATACAGAATAAGAAACGAAGTCTCTTGTTATTTGCTCTTACCCAGAGCGGAAAGAGCCACTCGTATTCAATTCCGTTTTTCTTCATCCTTTCTTCTTGTAGCTATTGTTGCCTCTATCGCTGCCCTTACAACATTGACTCTCTCTCTCTTTTCTCGGATACTCTTTATCACCAGACTGAATTCATCGATATTCTAAATAGTTCCAGCGATTTTTTCAAAAGCTCAGGTATGTGGAATAATTGATAGAAATCAACAAATCAATTGCATAGAAAAATTTTCTTTCCTCCTCTTTCTTCTCCCTTCTCTCTCTCTCTCTCGCTCGTCTATCTAGATTTCTTGTCAACATTGATTAGCGTCATCATCGACAAAAGATTCCTCTAAAACGTATTAAACACACACACACACGCTAAACAAACTGATTTCCTCTACTATTTTATCTATTTGTTGATATCACGAAACAATTGTCAATGTTTTCCTGGCAACTTCTGTATCAATGTATAACAAGTGTTGTTGTATTCATGTCTTCTCGCTAAGAAAACAACAAACACTAACAGCAACAACTACATTAGTCTTTAATCGCATTATTCTATTACTATTAGCTCAACCGTCCTATTGCATTATCATTATCATTGCCTATTCCTATTTATATTACATTAAAGTTAAGCGTCGATGCAATTGTCATCCAATGATACGCTGTCGAATGTTTCAACGACGAACGTCGAATGAAGATATGATAACTGTCATTGGCAGCCATGTTTATTCGACTAAAACAGATTTTCATTATGTTGATTTTTAATTTGTCCTTGTCCTCGACATCGTCGTCTGATCCACTTGTTCGTTCGACAAATTCTGGCCGCGTTCGAGGAATCGATTCATATTTTCGTACTGCCGATTCTCCACGCCTTCATCATGTTCGCGCGTGGCTTGGTATTCCTTTTGCTAAGCCACCTGTTGGTAAACGTCGTTTTCGAGCTCCCGAACGTGTTGATCCATGGCCGGGCATTCTCAATACGACACAATTTCCAGCTACTTGTTGGCAAACTGAACAGATCGTTTACAATCTCGAAGCAGAGAAAATCTGGTCGCCGAGTACGAACTGTAGTGAAGATTGCTTGTATTTAAACATTTGGGTACCAGTGAGTGATACTGAAACAAGTGAACCTTTAGCTGTCTTAGTGTGGATTTACGGTGGAGCATTTGTCACTGGCTCAAGTGCATTAGATCTTTACGATGGACGAATTTTGGCAGCGACGAATAACATTATTGTTGCTTCAATGCAGTATCGTTTACAAAGTTTCGGGTTTTTGTTTCTTGATCGACCGGACGCGCCTGGTAAGCGAAAACTGTTGCTCAAACACACGAAGTCATGCGTATGATGTCTTCTATCTTTCAGGAAATCAGGGTCTCTATGATCAAGCTCTTGCCTTAGAATGGATTCATCATAATATCGGTTTCTTTGGTGGTGATAGTCAACGAATAACTCTCTATGGTGAATCAGCTGGTGCTGTATCGGTTGGTTTTCATTTATTATCACCACGTAGTCGATCGCTATTCACCAGTGCTATTCTACAAAGTGGAGGACCTACTTGTAACTGGGCATATATAACAGCTGAAGAAGGTCGTCGACGTTCACAGAAATATCTGAATGAGTTCTATTCTCTGGTCACCAAACGTCTGTCTAACGAACAGCATCGAGATGAACAAGAGAAAATACCCGACGTTTGCAAACGTGGCTCTCATGTCGACGATATCAATGTTATGTTCGAGTGTGCATTAAATTATCCAGTTCTTGATGAAGAACATTATGCTTACATAACAAATGCAGAATATACAATTCAAGACGGTGGTCCAATGTTCTTTATGTTGATGCCAGTCATTGATGGAACTTTTTTGCCACAAAATCCAATAAAAATGTTGAAAACAGGAAACTTTAAAGTATGAATCCAGCTCTCGTTTTACTATCTTGTAAACCATTGTTCACTCTGTATGTAGAAATGTCCACTTCTGTTAGGCGCCAATCGTGACGAAGGCTCGTATTTTATGGTCTATGCTCAAGGAAACGATAAAACTCCTGGAAATGCCATGCCAGACGTAAGCTATGCTACATTTATTAAACATCTCGAACTCTATTACAATTATATCCCATCTTATCCATACAAAACACCTCGAATCATCTACCAATCGTTAATTCAAAAATACACAGATTGGGCTGATTGGTCCAACAATGTACGAAACGCAGTTATCTTGAGTTATGCCGTAGGCGATGCACATTTTACGTGTCCAACTGTAGCTGTAGCGAATGCTTATGCGACACAGAATATGTCAGTTTACTTCTATCATTTCGTCGCTCGACCATCAACAAGTGATTGGCATGCATGGACAGGTGTGATGCACGGGTATGAGAAATTCATTTGGAGTGCAACTGTTAATATACTGTTTTTCTTAGCGATGAGATTATGTTCGTCTTTGGCGAACCTCTCAATGCAACTGATAGTAAATTATATAGACAGGAGGAAATCCAACTAGCAAGAAGAATAATGGGCTACTGGTCAAATTTTTCCAAATATGGGTAAGATTTGTTGAATGATTTACCTTTGATTATTCCTATGGAAATACTAGAAATCCTAATGGTGACTCAAGTGTTGCTACTCGTGATTGGCCAAATTATAACTACCCTGAACGTGCACACATCATACTTGATACGTTGAACAAATCGACCGGTATTGCTCATCGTGCTGATTATTGTGCATTCTGGGAACATTACGTGCCTGTACTATTAGAAGAATTCGGTAAGTTGTGCTTTGCTAATTGTGTATTCCGTTCCATTCATTTTGTAACTTAGAACGATGTGTTATTCATGGTCCCTCGTCGTTATTAACTCATGAAAAATATTCAACTTCATCAAGAATTCATTCTTACACTTTTCTGTTTCTCCTTTCGCTGACGATTTCATTGTCACGACTGATTTGAGATCTCGTCTAACTAACGTCTAGTCACATATCATGGTTGTCGCTGTTGCCTTTTGCTTCGCTTTCGTTCTTTTTCTCTCATTTTGCTCTTGAATAAATCAACGTTTTCATTGCTTTTGGTGTTGATGTTATTTAATGGTTCAACTCGTTTCCATCAATACGACGAAGTGATTTCTATAGGAAGAGATAGGATACAATAAAGCATGAAACCAAATTAGATCTAGTTGACTAGCGTAAATCTTTTTTGTTGCCAGCTCTTTCTTTTCCGCGAACTTCGGACAAAAGATCGAATGAATTGAATCGAAGAAAATTTCTCTTGAATACCAGTCGATGATTAAGCGACTAGTACTTCGAATACAGTTATCTCATAGCATGGTTTGATGAGAATATGAAACAATATTCTCTTTGGATTAGGAATTAAGAAGAGATTTCAAGGGGGGATGAGCATCAGGAAATCCGAAAAAGAATGCACTCAACTATATATAGACATTCGTATGATTTGATCTGAAAAGAAATCAATCTTCTATTGATTTGTCCAAATTGAGATTTTTATTTTTGAGCTCAACGGCTTAGTGTAAACTCACACGTGCGCGCATAGATCGACCAAACAAGAGAGGATAAACAAACAAAAACAAAAGAATTTCTATGAAAGAAAAAGAACAAAATACAAACATAATTATGATTAGAAAAGAAAAAACAATGGATGTTTTGTACAGAGTTAAGAATACAGACAACTCGTTTGCAGGAAGTTCTATGTCATCATCATCATCATCATCGTCGTCGTCATCGTCAGTAAATTATTCGATTACATACTGAGATTCATCGTTCAAACAAACAGCTAGTCTATTATTACATTAAACAATAGGCACTGTCGAATGTACATTGAAAGGAAAATTGAAACGAGAGAAAACACACACATACAAATCTGTAATTATGTATACAATGGAACAGCGAAGAAAAAGAGTGACACACGAAAACAAAAGGACTAGTATAGAAACTTTTTTTCTGATTTTTCAAAACAAGACTAAAAAGATACATTCGAGTGAGAGAATAAAGATCAGAAATACTTTGTAATACACGCGTGTATATTCTATACACACGTCGCATTATTTGTTGTTTTATTAAATATATGACAGTGATATAAATAACGAACGAGAGAGACAGGCAGAGAAAGAATATCTCAACTGTACAGAGAAGAAGGAAAAGAAATTGTCATCGTTGTTTTTGAAATACGAAAAAGAAAGAGAAAAACGTACAATACTTCTGTAATGAATGAACGAATTAATACCAAATAGATAAACAAAAGAAAGATTACATTCCTCACTCACTAATATTACATTTCAAAGAAAACAAACAACAACAACAACAACAACAACAAGAAAATGCAAAGTTGAATAACACACAATTATTTCGAGTTCATTTGGGCTATTGACAAAGATCATTAATACATTAGACATATCAAAGAAAACAAGAAGAATAAGAGAGAAAACATGTATTCAAATAGAAGTCACTGGAACAGACGTACACTAGAAAGTATCTGCGCATATCGATTGTCAAGATGACGATTTTGTGTTGCAAGTCACGAAATCAATGGTGCTACCTGTTAAATGGGTGATGATTACGAGAAGCTAAAGCGAGAAAGAAAGACAAATGTCACGATGAAACGTTTTATGCTAAGACGAATTCAACTTACACATATAATTTGTATTGTTGTACTGTTGTTGCCGTTGTAAATGTGGATGATAAGGAAATTGCTGTTGATGATGATGTGCTGAATAACTATGAGTTGGATAATGATATTTCATTGAATTATGATGAAAATGATTCGAGGGCGGCGGTGGTGGCGGCGGCGGTGCTGCTGCATGTGGATTCATAAATGGATTTGGAAAAGGAAAGTTAAAAAAAGGAGCTGTTCGTGCATCGAAATGATGATATGGTTGAGCATATGGATCCATATGATGGATAGGTGGAGGTGGAGCTGGTGGTTGTGGTAAATGTTCGCTTTTTCTTGATGATGAATAGTATTCTTTGCTATGAAAAGAAGATTGTTTCGATTTTTTCATCTTTTTTGGACTTTGTTGTCCGATATCATTCGAAGTTTTCTGTTGTTGCTGCTGCTGTTGGTGGTGATGGTGAACATGTGTATCAATTTCCGGTGGTGGAGTGATAAATGTATTGTTATTCAGCGGCTCATCATCATAGTTGAGTAAATGTGCCAGTTTCTTCATTTGATTTTCGGGTGGTGTGGTTGAGTTTACTGATTTGAATTCATTCGTTGGCGGTGTATCTTGCTTGTTGGGCAAAAGTGGTATATCTTCATTCTCTCCGGGTGTAGGTGGTACACGAGTATCTGGCGACGATTGGGTACGATATAACTGAGCTAGAGGTTGCTCAAAACGTGTTAAACCAGCGTATTCAGTTTTTAATGATAGCTTAGCTTCGCGATCTAACTGATCATCTATAGAAGATTTCTTTCGCTTTGGCTTTTTAATTGGTTTACGAATTTTGATCTTCACTGCCGGTGGAGGAGGAGGTGGTGGTGGTTCTTCTTCTTTCGACGGAGATGGAGGTGATGGTAGTTTGGTTCGAATTTTAATTTTTAATGACGGTCGAACATTCTCACACACAAGAACAGGTGCTGGTGCCGGTTCTGATTCCGGTACAGGTGACGACGTCGGCGATGGTGACATCTTGCGTTTCTTCTTCGGTTTCGGATAAATTGAATTGAGTTTTAATTTCACGGATGGAATCGGTGAATACTGTTCCTGCGGTGTTGTTTTCTTTTGACTATCTTGATAGATTTGTTGATAGTGGAGAAAATTCTTCTCGAGAATCTTCTTTGGTGGCTCATCGATCGGTTCAATTAGATGATCGAGATTATCGGATTTATCGATAGCTGGAGGTGGAGATGGCGATGGCAATGGCGATGGCGAAGTAGCTTGAACGTGGTTTTCAATCATGTCGTACGGATTCTTATTAGGAGCTTCGTTCAGTAATTCTTCGATCTGATCTGTATCTAACGGATTTGATTTTTCTATGGACGATGAACTCGTCAAACAACCAGAATCTAACACGAGCTCATTTTCAGCAGGTTTCATTGGAGACGAAGGAATCATTGGAGACAGAGGATTCGTCGGAGATAGAGGATTTGTCGGAGATAATATTGGTTCGAATATAATACATGCTTTACGTGAACTTTGTTCAGGCACAGGAAGAAAATCTGTTGTTACCGTTGTCGGCGTCGTTGCTATCGGTGGCGGTGGGACCGGTGGTAACGACAACATCGGTTTCTGTAGTAGTGATGGAGGTGGTAGCGATGGCGACTGCAATATTGGCTGCACAGGTGGTGCAGGTGCTGGCGGAGGAGATGGAGTGGGTGGTGGAAGAAAAGCATCATAATCAATGACCGAAGGTGTTTCTTTGACAGGAGATGTTGAATGTGTTTGATTTATTTGTAGAATAGATGCTAGATCAGTGATTGCTGAATTGTCTTCGGATTTAGGCGAGTCTGCTGTCGAATTGATTTCGTTGTCGAATTTGTCTTCAAGTACAACAGCTGGCACGGGTAGAGAATCTGGTTCCGGTTCCGGCTGTAATTCGACTTTTTGTTCGCATTGTTCCAATTGTTTTTGTAGTAATTCTTGTTCTTGTTCAATCGTAGGATAGAAGTACTGCAAATCGACAAATGCAGATGCCGTTTCTTCAGCACCTTGAATTTCCGTTGTTTTGATTATCTCATTCGTTGCTTCAATTAGAGCAAACGAAAAATCAGTTGCAATAACTGTTGTATCATTCACAGCGGCAGCTGCTGCTGCTTGAACATGACTCAACACGTCTTGATCAGTAACAGTGACTAAATCATCAAGAATATCTTGATATTTTACTGATTCGTACGTTGCTACTTGACTGGGTTCGATATGACGAGCACTAGACAAGAATAAATAAACAATCGAAATAAACTATTCAATAAGTGATGTTAACTTACGTTAATTGTACACCTTCTTCCGGCAAGCATATCGATGTATTTTTACTACTAAATATATTACTTTGCGACGAATGTTGTTGTAGACCTAATGGAACAACTGTTGTAAAGACATTATTATTAATCAATGACGATCCGGGATAGATCGGCGGCGGTGGTGGTTGTGGTAATGGTAATGGTGAACTCGATTGTTCAATTGTGCTACTTAAATTATGAGTATTTGTTAGAAGACTACCGAATATGCTTTGTTCCGGATTAATGTTCAATTTAATTCCAGCATCATCCAAATCAAATTGTTTGAGAAAGGTATTTTCATCAAAATTCATTTCGACAAACCGCATGTCTTCTTCATTCATGAACGATGTTATTTGTTCATTGTCAACATTGTAATCAGGCATGACAGTATTCGTTTCCGTTTCGAGTCGATCATTGAATTCTTCAAATGTTGGCATCGATTGAAAACTTGAGTCCGTACGTTGAATTGTGGTGTTGACAATTTGTCTTACATCAATATTGTCCAATGTACGAATCAGATTTATGTTCGTGGTCGTCGTTGTCGTCGTGGATGCTGATGACGAAGACGGAGTATCATTCGAGAGTATATTTGTCGTTGGTGGTGGTGCCGGTTGAGATAAGAAATTCGATGCTAACAATTCTTGATCGAAATTTTGCATTAAACCGGATATAGACTCCGCAAAAGAATTGTTTGGCGAAGTCGCTTGTTGGATAATACTTTCGCTATGGTATTGAACTAGGGTTTTCGAATTTCGTTTCTTATTACTTGTTGAACGTTTATTAGTGGCAACGATACGTTGTACATTCAATGGAGCTGGTGCTAACGGTCGACCGGGATTAGGCGCAATGGGAATTAGTGATGGATTCGTCGGTGGAATAGTCATTGATGGTAACGATGACGATGACGACGATGATGACGGTAGAGGCTTCTTACGATTTCGAATCGGTTTCTTAGTAGTCGCAATCATATTGGTTGTTGATGCTAAGAGATTATTTGTCGGCGGAACAGATAAATCCAGTGATTTCGAATGCATCAGTTGAGGAGATAGATCCATGTGATGTTCTTCAAACGATGTCGATGGTGATAGTAACGATACTGTCGATGATGCATTTGTATTGTTAATCAATGACGATGGAGTAAGTACATTGCTTATCGAAGGTTTGGTCTCATTGAGAACCACAGGAGTATAAACCTGAAACATGCGTTGGTCATTCAATTTCAATCTTATTGACTAGAGATAACGAATACTAAGTTCGAATTCGTTGTTTTCTTCTCATCATCGTGTTATTTATTTACTCGACAAGATCATTTGCTTTATCATCACGTTACGTTTTTTTTTTCTTCGTCAAATGAATGAGACATATCTAACAACTGTTATCTCGATTATTATTTCACATGCAACTTTTGAGAGTGAGTATTTTGATAATAAAAGAAAACTTTAAATACACTTTCATACTCGCAATCATTTTCGACGAACACCAGTTCGACCTAGTTATCAATAAACAACACAACATTTCCTTCATTGCTGTCTAATTGTTCGGCGACGAAAATTCGTACGCGACATCTCGATTTCTTTCAAGTAAACAAAAACAATATTTTCCGAAGAATAACCTCAAATGATCTATTAATGAAGACGTGCGCAACCTTGAGATTCAATCTTGGAAAAGTGCACACATTCGACCAAGGTAAAAATATCAAATTTTAATTGAGAATCAATTCAAGATGTTTTCAAACCTTGCACTAATTTATGAATTGTCATTTACCTGTAAAGAATTCGTCCTAGACGATGGTTTAGGTCGAATAGGTCTCGGCTGTTTATGATTTAAATCATTATCAAGTAAATTGGTTGTTTCACCATTAGTTGCATTTGCTGATGGTGGTGGCGGCGTCGGCGTTGGCGTGGTTGCTGCGGTTAGTGATGACGCTGACGATGACAGTTGTCTAGAGGTAGTTTCATTCATTCTGGATAGGACAGAAGTCACTTCTGGTTGAGGAATAATCGATGGCTTAGGTCGAATCGATATTTGATGTTGTTCAGATTCGTTCAGGAAGTTAGATGTAGTCGTTGTAGTCGTCGTAGTCTGCGACGTTGTTGAAGATGATTGAGACAGATAAACCAAATTATTCTGTGAAGCAAAGAATGATTGCAGAGAATCGAGACTGACATTGTTGAAATTGACAAGATTGATCGGTTGGATTAAGTTGGTGTTGTTTTGTACAAGTGTATTCGAGTTATTCTGTACAAATGGTTGAGTTGTCGTTTGAATAACTGTATTAAAATTAGGTGTAATATTCGATTGATTTCCGTGAACCACTTGACCGGAATAATTTTGTTGATTTATTGGACCATGATTATTCACATGCTGATGTGTGATTTGATTTGTTGTATTGATCGTATTTGTTGTTAAGCTTATCTCCGAATTATCGAAAGTAATACTGGTTGACTCATTGGATTTTTCATCGACTGGATCAACGCGAAGTCCTTCTGAGAGAAACAAAGCAACAAAAGAGATTCTTTTTTTCCGAAAAAAAAACGCAAAATACTTACGAGAACGAAGGAGTTGTAAAAGTTTAGCATTTTCTTCTCGAAGATTGCGAACCGTATCTTCTAGGTTGGATGGTTTATCTAAATACAAGAGCGAAAGAGTCGTTCGAGATGAGATTCGTTTTCTCCGTCGCACCTTTTTGTTCGGGTTCAACCATTATTTGAGAAAATAACAACGATTAACAGAGAGATGATTACGACACTGTTCCATGACATATATTTAAATAATATAAAAAATAGATCTGAAATCGAGATAAACAATAGATCAATGTGGTTTTTCTTCTTTCTTTTTTATTTATGAACGAAACAGGAAAGAGCATGACGACAAAAAATGTCATCGGACATTATCGATTGACTAATGCCTCTCACAAACGTTTCGTCCTTCTTTCTCTGATCAGACAGGTCATAGGTAAAAAAATACATCAAATGATTAAAGAGATTCTTTCGTGAAAATTTCTTTCGACTAGAGAATTATCTCGAAAAACGCTTTTTTCGGATTAAAATTAATTTTCCAACGGATTTACTTCAATATGCATATGCGCATCTATAGATGTCGCCCTGTTGAAGGTCAAGTTATTTAAGTTTATTACAGTAATAATCAATATTGTTTTTCTTTCCTCTGGTATGAGAACAATAAAGAGGATTCTTTTTTTTTATTGAGTTTTCTTCTTGTGATGAGATTATACGACATTGATGAGAGCAATAGTGAAATATACTTTCTTATTCACTAATGCTATTAACCGATGAAAGGCGAGAGTGTGTGTTAGAACAAAGAGAAGTTGACATTTTGTTTATAAAAGGATCAAAGAACGGTCTATCGAATATTATAATTAAAAAAAGCTAGCAGAACCCGTGTGTCAATAGTTGAATAATTATTTTCTCGACAACTGAGAGAAAACTACAAGTCTGAGTTTATTGAAAAAATGCAGCTGTTGATTTCCACATTTCTCATTCCCTCGATAGAGTTAATAGTTGCACAAGTGAAAACAGTAAATCTCAGTAATTCTTCGAAGAACTTGAAAGTATTCTGTTTTATATACGATTTGACGGTTGTATGTTCAATAGAAAGGAAAAAAGTAATGGAGAAATTTATTTATTCATTCACTCATTCATTCTAATCAAACAACAACAGATGCCTCATTTGATCGAACTGTCTAGATGGTTTTTTCTTCTTTTCTCATTTTTTTTATGACTACAACGCACCGTTGAAAGAGAGAAAAAGCCTTGTTTTTTTTGTCATTCATTCATTCATTTGTTCGACCTTAGCCGAAACAACATGTTGAGAATTGAGAAGAGAAGAGAACAATATTGCTATCACCAGCGTGCTAGTACCTTAAGATGTGGCGAGAATCTAACAGGTAAAAAACGATGTTGATCTTAACGTAAGTTGATCATTTCATTTTTTATCGATGATCGAATTCGATCGATTATATACTTCAAATGGTCTACAGCTGTACCATTATGCCTCAATATCTTGAGTAGTCCGATGTCGTAGCACTTTAGTCAAATTTCCAGCTGTGCGTACGCGTGTAAAAATGTGTAATGATTATGTAATAATCATATGCAGGGAGAGAGAAAGAGACACACATATACATACAAGAGAAGAAGAGAACAAAATAAGTATATATACATATAATATATTCCGCTTTTTTTTCATATATTGCTCTCCATTCATTTGCGTCTATTGCATCAGCAGTTATATAGAGAAGATGGATAGGACGGAGAGATGGGAATGTCACCAAGTCGTCGATTAATATTAGTCGAGGACGGACATAACTTTATTGACCTCCGATGTTGTTGAGACGAAAGAGGGGGAGAGAAGAGAATGGAAGCACATTCAAAAATATGATTGAAATCGACGACTTGAGTACAATCAAATATAGGTGACTTCGAACGGTTTCTCGTGCATTCGATTGTTTTGCCTAGATGATTATATAAAATGTTTATTACATTAAATACACACGTTTGCCTTTAAGCTATTCGTCACTTTCTCTTTCGTCCATTTTCCGCTACAGTACATTATGATTTGATGATGATAATATTGTTCTTTTTCTTTTCCATCGTTTCGTATTACATATTTGATCCTAATAACGTCTGCCTTGGTAGAAACTATCAGTGTTTGTTTATTTAGAAAGAAACACTCTTAGCTGACATAATCTTTTCGTTGAGCTTCTTCTCTACGTAAATAGGCTCTTAATAATAATGTTGTTATTCGTTGATTATTGACGAGCCTTGGTTTTCGTATCCCAAGTATCAGATGAGTACTAAAGTGATTTATAAGTGTGCAATGTATTTAAATGCATCTGTCTCTTCGTCTTCTGTTTCGTTTCTTTTCTACAATCATTTTTCTTTTTTCTTTTGCTCGTTCTTATTCATTTTCTCGTTTTTTTCCCCGTTTTTTACCTTGTATATTGATCAATGAGCCTTCTTCTACATATGTATATAAAAACCTCGAAAAGCAGCTATTTACCTTTTTTCTTTTCGACATATCTTTCGATTTGATTGATACATGCTATTCGATAGATTGATGATCAAATCAGATGTTTTGTGTTATTCAGATGATCATTTCTTATTATCCTTCTTGGTGAAAAATCCGTAAGTAATTCAAGCATGGTAGCTAGCGATTGTTACGCTGTATTAGGCATCAAAACGACAGCCACGGAAGATGAAATTCGAAAAGCTTATCGTAAGAAAGCACTTCAATATCATCCGGATAAGAATTCTTCGTCAACAGCAGAAGAGCTCTTCAAGGAAATCAACAAAGCCTACGAAACGTTGAGTGATGCTGAAAAACGGCGTGCGTACGATTTACAACAGCAAACAACGAACATAAAATTTTCTTCAGCATCTCAACCACAACGACGGTACGAATCGACATATCATGCATCGCGTCCATCACAGTTTTCTTCGAGTCATGCGAATTCAGCGCGATTTCGTTTCCATGATCCATTCTTTACAATTCGACAACGTCATGCATTCTTCTCCAGTAAATTTCATCAACCGGAATTTTCATTCTTCGATACTCATTTTGGTTCATCCGACGATGAAGATAATGATTCTGATCATTACGACCCTGTCCTATCGTCATTTCGTACTAGTCAAAGACATTTTCATAGAAAAACTCGACCCAAATGGAGTCATAGTAGTCCGTTCGAAAGTGATCCATTTTCCATGTTTGAAATGTTAACTCGTTCGATATTCGATCAGTTTTTGAAAGATGATTTCTTCTGGCGTCAGCCGTCAGCTCGTTTGAATAACCCAACTCAGGCACAGCGTGGTCAAACGACAACGACAACGCGAACAAATATTCCAGTCAACCATGTTGATCCGAAAGGAACTTATCGATATGAAATGAAACGAACCTCAACGACATCGTCACAACTCAATTCAAATGACAGTGACGACGAGGAGGAAGAAACTGAGGAGCATTTCGTTTATCAACAACCGAAACCTTCGACAACGAGGAATGATCAATTCTATCGTCCGGCTTCGTCAACATCGAAAGTTAAATCCGAAACATGTCAGTATTGCTTTTATCCTATAGGATCGGTTGACAGTGTTCGCAAACACGAAGCTGTTTGTCGCTATCGACCAGAACAAGAAAAAATCTATACAACCAAATGTACTTACTGTCAAGAAAATGTCCGTCTAAGTGAATATCTCGATCATGAAGAACGGTGTAAACAAAATCAAGCATCAGTTGAAACGAAACGGTATTACAATCCATCATCATCCGGTAATGACTTAGAGAGCAGTCTTTCACTGTGAGATAGTTTGCACGCAAGCCGGTGTTTTCTTTATTATTTTTTTCTGTGCAATTTATTCTTTTCCGCTCTACACATCACTTGCTTATCCTTATCACCGTTATTAAAACTGAAGTAGCTTTAAGATTTGGATTATTTATACTCTCTAGATGCTTATTTAATACTGTAGAAATTTGATTATAGAGAAAAACACATTGTTGGTAAGTAGCGTATCAGATATGTGCTTGCTTGACTAATTATAATCAATAACATTAACCTCAAAAATACGCCAACCGATCATGACTGATACTGAATAAGCCATGCGTGCGGTATTTTTTCTTCTTTCTCTCTCTCTCTCTCTCGTTCTCTCGTTCCGAATGACTGACTGTCAACATAATAACAGGTTTGTTTTGTTTTTCGTTTTTCTAGGAAGTATATCAAATGATAATAACCAAGTTCGTAAATGTCATCGTTGTCAGAAGACCTTCCCCATCTTATCCGATTTATTCAATCATAACTGTGATGATGAAAACGATCTAATTCTTTCGAAATCAAGTAAACTTGAAAACAAAGCATCCAATGAGAGTACACCATCGTTATTGGAGAAAATTTCGTCATCGTCAACGAAGTCTTTCAAATTGAACCGCCTTCCAACATTCAACAACTCGCCGATCTCATCAAACCATCTGCATCGCTTATTTACTCCACATTCGTCTTCATCAGTCAAACAACCCCATTCGAACTCGATTCACATATCGATCATCGATGATTTCAATCGACCAAAACGAGCTACATTGAGTAATGAACATCATCCAATTTACAAACGCCCGTTGTTTCAACCAAATCTGTCGACATCGAATAATAAAACAGCGTCGTCAAGTGCTTATGTTTATCTTCGAAATCCGACATCATCGATTCGTGTGAACTCTTGAATGAATGAGAGAAAAAAAGCAACAAACACATTTTTTTTCTGTAGAATAGACATTAGAAGGATTGTTCGTTCTTCTCATATATATCTGTACACACATGTGCGAACATTTGATCACCGATTTCTTTTGCTTTGATATCGAATAGAAAAGAACGAAACGTGTATCAAAGCGAGTTACAGCAAATTCAGTTTGTGTGTTTAACCGAACCATACATTTTGAATAATTTCTCTCGAACGCGCGTGTCAAAACGCGCATTTGTCATACTGAAAGAAGAATTTTTAGTCCATTGAATCCTTCTTTTTTTCAATAAAACTAATCTTATGAAGAGAGAATGTCTCGATCAAGCAAATTTGTTTGTTAATTTATCAATCCATCAAGAGGTTTACAAATAGACAGATATTAACATACTAAATTTGTTATTTGACATTGAATTCTAATATATCAATTCGAAATCTTTATTTAATCGAATGTGTAGAAAAGAGAAACCAGATTTATAAGACTGTTATCGTCCGATTTTGTTCGTTTTCGAGTTGATCAAGTAGATCAAGCTAGGAGATAAGATAACAATGTTTTCGATTGAACATCAAACTTTTCTCAATCTTACTTCAGCATTAGCTACAGCTAAGATTGACATCCAGGCATCTTCGTCGCATAAATCTTCGTCTGTAGAATATTGCATTTGGTCCACCGGATGAACACAATCGATTATAATTTCATTCAAATCATCAAGTTGATCTTAGTGAATAGTTGTATCAAGTAGATTGATGTTCGTTGACAAGCAAAACTTACTTGTAATCAATTGAAATCGATCTATTGGTGTTGTGCAAATAGATTGAGATACACTTAATGTTGAAGGTGATTTTTGTAATAACATGTTCGATTGATTAAATTTTGCACCAGAGAAGGTATCGTGAATATTTGTATGATCGATAGCGATTTCTTGCCTACTGGGATAATTGCATAATGTATGAGAAAGGTGAAAAATGATTACTTGTCAGTAGTGCATGATTTCTGATCGAGAGGATTGTCTTTGCTGATACCTTCATGAAGCCAGGAAACTGTGGTGTGAATACTTTGTTTCGATTCGGTGATGTGAATAACATGTTGAAAGATCGAATCGTGAGGGATTATGCTGAACATGAGTTGTCACTAGTTTGTATCGTGATGATTTCTCCTACCTTTTTGGTATAGCCTTTTTCTTGTCGAAGAGATTTTCACGAGATAAACTAATGCGCTTTGTACGCGAATAAAGCCGATAAGAACATGCGACAAACAGAAACAGAATCAACAAGAATAGAACACCTGAATTAAGCATTCGAGTATTTTTCAATTCAGTAGTTGTAGAAGAAGAACACATACTGAAACCACAGATAAGACCGAGTTGCCACGAATTCAATACCGATTCGTATGATGATAAATTTGTAGATGTAGTAGAATCGATACTAGAAGAAAAGAATGTTGAATAAAAATTCAATTGCTCGATTATTCATACCTGCAATTGTAAAGCCATGGATTCGTAAAGAGCTCAACGCACTCGGATGCCGAACTATTCAATGGACAAAGTGGAATCTGCGCTGCGAGACCACTTGCACAAGCATCAGATTGCGCACCTAGATATTGAGAGAATCGATTGAAATCGAATGAAAACCTGTAGTTCGTTGTTCGATTGATCAATCTTCCTAATATCGCCATATTAAGGTCATGGCCGAAAACCCCACCCATGTCGTTTGACTTATCTCAAAGAAATAGAGGACAAGTCGGCTTTCTATTTCTCAGACAAGACTTTTCTCCTTGAGTTTTTCCTCTCCGAATATTCTGCTCTATGTTATTTCAATCTCTTCGACATTCTTTCGCTAACTACCCGATATATTCATCGAGAAATTCTATCCTAAGGTTCATGTTGTTGATAGCATCAAGGTCTAATCATGACACGTTTCAATCTAGAATTTAATCGTCTGTAAATAATTATTAACCAATCAATCGTTTGTATCATATGTCGTCGTCATCGCAGATATGTCTGCAAAAGAATTCGAAGGCTACAAGCACTGGTTCTTAGATTACTGTCTGGTGTGTGTGTGTGATTTGTCAATTTTCTGTTAACTTACTGGAATTTAATGTGATAGATGAAAGATTAAATCGTTGGTTTGGCTCAATGAGAAAACCATGAATGAAATAATGATTGGATGTTATATAATCATAATAACGGGAAGCTTCAAAAGAGAGAAATGATGACAGTTTTCGATTTGATAAGAATCTCTACCTAATGATATTTGAATATGCAATGATACCGAGCGTGTGAAAGTGATAATTTGTTCGAAATATTTACCAGTTGATGACGAACAACTAGATTGACAAAGAGTAATATTGCTTGAAAATGCTCCAAGGAAAGAATTCACTCGAGACTTTCAATTGAAATATTGTAAAATTCAGTTGAACTGGTATTTTGATATAAATCATACAACTAGAATCGAATATACACATATGAACTAGAGCGAAGTAATTCATCTACGTACATCTTGAAGAAGTCCAGTGAAGTTCATGTACACAGAGCATTGTGATAAGCGTGTTATTACTGAAAGAAAGAAATAATTGATTTTTCTCGATCATTAATCACATTGCAATTTTCATTACTACTCGCATTATTTGTGTTCATTGGTATTTGCTTATTAGTGTTCATTATTTTCACGCATATTCATGTTATAGGCCGATTTGTGAAATGATGAGAACAAAGGTCCTTATGTAGTGTTTATAAACTTTCTAATATGCGCACGTCGGTGTGCCATTGCTTTTCTTTTTCTGTCGAAAAAAGGTCGAGAGAAAACATTTTCGAGAAGGTAACAATAATAATTATTGAAATCAGTTTGTGGCAAGAGTTGTGTTTGCTTTTTAATTGAATGCAAATAATCAAATCAATTTAGCTTTTATCGATTGGTCGAGAAAAGTTTTTCTTTTGTTCTTAATGATCGAGCGTACAGTTGCTACGCACTATGCCGAAGGTCGATGCGAAGAAAAACCAAAACTATGTCCAATAATCGACTAAACTGGTTTGTACCATACGAACTACTGTTGCAATGCAGATTGCTATACTTGCTTCGTAATTAAGAATATGTTTTCGGTTATGAGCGGCTCGTCCGCTATTGCATACTGCCGATAACATTTCAAAGACTTTGTTGTGCTGGAACTTTATTTCTTAAAAGAAATTTACAAAGAAATCTGATCTTCTTTTGTTCGTCGACTAGATACGCTCATGCGTTCCTTCGAGCCGAGCTGATGAGATGCTATGCTAGTTCTGTACATAATCATAGCTGACTGGAAATCATTTTGTTGCAGATGTGAATGTAAATTTTCGAATGGGACACTTGTTCGTGATTGCCGTTCATAGACGCTTTTATGTGAATAATGACTTTCGACTGTAGCACGTCGTTGATCAATGATAATATGCGTTCGATGATACGTTAATAGATATTTTAATGCACAACGAAAACGGTAATGTGTACAAATGACTACGAAACATTTGTATGAATAAAGTGACAGTTCAAATGCTAAACCGATCGTTTGCATTTGTTCATGTGCTTGTAGAAGAATGTGATTTGATGAGAGAAAATCATCGATATGCTGCGATGCGAAAAGAACAATTAAGCGAAGTAATTTACAAGGGAACGAAAGAAACACAAAGACAATGGATAATGCAAATGCGGCATTGTACGTACGAAGGTAATCCACAACGGGAGAATCGCAGCGTAAAGAGATATTTTCTGTTTCGGAATGATGAGAATGTAGTTCGTTCCAAATGTGTATACCTTTTCGGAAAAGTATGAACGAGAGAATGAAAATCACAATCGTAGGCAGTATAAGTCCAATGCCAGTGTAGAAAAATACGTTAATCAGAACAACGGTCGAATGAATCGAAGCTTGCAAATCAGCCATATCTGCATTCATCAGACAATGATGGTGGAAAGTTGTTGTATTAGTCGAATTGGGAATAATGAGTAGAGGTTTATCGAAAGACATCGACTCGATCGGTGGAACATTGAAAAGAGTGAATAGAAAAAGTAGGCCGACTCTAAATGGCAAATCATAGTTCTTATTCGTTTGAACTCCCATCTATTTTCAAAGGTCTTTCGAGGACCTATGACCGATCGCATTACATGAGACGAGTTTGAAATGTAATCATACTCACACGGCATATTTTGCATTGACAATTGTAATCATTCGGTAGAACTTCGGATAGACCAGCAATAATCGATTTGAAAGTAACAAAATGATCAACCAATGTGACATCAACGTGGAAATTCGAACGATATACGTCAATAGTTTACAACAAACGGTCGACAAATTGATCAGACCTGTCATTCGATCGGTCTGATGATCTGGTACTGCTTTATAGCGTATGATTGAATTGATTAAATGGTACAGAAGAACGGTCATATCACAACACGTGATTTCGATCAGAAAGTTCTCAAATGTGCGCTTTTCTCCATCGTATGAATGATGAAGTATGTAACCATTACCGAGTAGCATAACAACATTTCCAAATAAACCAATTAAGAAGAAGACTATTGTAATCACAAGCGAACGATGTTCAGTTATGTAAATATGTTCATCGGATCCAAATGGTGAATCATCTTCAAGATGAAACGTCTGATTGTCTGTTATATACATCAGTACGTTCACCTTCTTTTTGCCGTGGAAATACGATGGAGAGAGTTATTCGTGCTCGACGTTGATCGAAAATTTTGTTTTGATATACAAAAGTCTATGAATAGACTCTTGGCACTATCTGAATGAACACTCTCTCACAAGTGACAATTGATGCATTTCTATGCGATCTCGTTTTTCTGCAATGTATTCATACTAATGGATATGTGATGTGATGAATAAATGATTAGATGTGTAAGAGTATTGCTATTTTCTTTTTATTGCTATGATGTTATTAGAATACATTATAAAAAGAATTATGAAAAATTTTAAAAGAAAGAATGTTGCAGAGCATTTAGACAAGTGGGTAACTTGCAGCAGTAGCAATACCACATTGGTTGCGTTTGTTGCGGGTCATTTTGATGTAACCTTTGTCACCCCATCCTTCACCCCAGCTAAAACATCAAATGGATATTGTCGATCGCATGTTCGAGAAGAACTTATTGAAGATTCTATTACCTGTTTTTAACGAGCCAGTAATCTTTGCCTGAATCTGTACCATAACCAATAGCTAAGACACCGTGATCAAGTCGGGTTTGTGAGCAGAATGGTTCGTTGTAGACTAAATCAATCGAGAAAAATGAGAAACGTTTTCCATGGGAGCAAAGATAACATACCACCGTGTTTGTACAATTGAAATGATGTGTGACCAGCATCAATAGCGACTGAGATGGGACCAACTGTGGCAACAGCTTGTTGAAGAGCGTTTTCGTCTTTTGATGTGATATCAGTGAAACCGGTATCGGTGGCACCAACATTGGCAGCTTTGAATCGACATTGATTGTCAACAGCTTCGTATGGGTATGAATCTTCGGTATCAATACCGTTGTTTTCTTTGATGTATTCGAAAGCTTGATCCATCAAACCACCGTTGCAACCCATATTACCTTGTTTGCCTGAGCAGTCGACTAAGTTTTGTTCGGAGAGCGAAACGAGTTTGCCGGTTTGTTTGAAGTGTTGACCTTCAAGTGCACCAGTGGATGAGAAAGCCCAGCATGAACCGCATTGGCCTTGATCTTTAATGTCAGTTACATAACCTTTGTCACGCCAGTCTGTCGGAGGCAAAGAAAAGAAGATTCGTGAGAAAGCTCGATCTTTGAGTGCGATTATGAACTACATACCAACGGTGTCTGGTAATGCGATCTTTGGGTTGAATGAAAATGTATGACGATCTTGTGTGCGTTGTCCTCGCATGGTAGCGTTGTAACCGTTCATGACTTTAACGAATTCGCTGAGGGTCTATATCAAAGAGACAACTCAAGTCTTCGAAAAAGCATATTCAAATCGAATTTTACCATATCGGCATATTTGTTCATTCCGAGCCAGTGTGTGTGGACACCAAGATCAGCTTGAAGGTTGTGTTCTTGAACTTTTTTCAAGTTGTCTTCCCATATGGCACGGCTAGAATATTTCAAACAAAGGCAATGCATATCTCAAAGAGAAACGAATAGTTTACATACCGAACGTGTTCTTCAGCATCGAAATAACGTTTGTTGTTAGTTTCTTTCCATAATTTCCAATGTTGATTGAGTTTAGCATCGAAGGCTAATGTACAACTGAAAGCAAGTGCAAGTACGGCAAGAACCGAGATAGCGTGCATCTATTTGAAGTGTAAAGAAAGAACAGATTCGTTATCTTCGAACTGAAAAGACCTTGGTAATATCTTTTCTACACTTACCTTCGTTTTATGAAACAAAAGAAGAACTGTAATTCATCCATAAGTTTTCAGTCGCTTTTATACGGTCCGTTATCTTATTCTGCAGATGTATCTGTCTCAGCTCTCTCACGATAAGGGCGCGCCTTGTCACCGTTTACATGCATGGTCATCCTTATTTTTTTTCTCTTGGTATCTAAAAAAAGCCTAGATGCAGAGCAAAATTGCGACGTAATGATCTAATCCTTTTTGCAATTAAAAGTGCATTTTTTTTTCGAACATATGTTGAAGATCAAGAAGAAGATTATGGAAGAAAAGTCGGGAATTACATTCGAGTACAGAGAAAGGTTCAGGTTGGAATGACAACATTCGAAAACGAGTTTGTTATCAAAGTCGTTGTTTTCGATGATGATGGATTAGTTATTGTTGTCGGAGATGGTTGTTTCGCCAATGTTACATTCGACAATGGCGGCGGTGGTAACAATGGTTTGGTAGGCCCGTCCCGCCCAGCTAATTTGCGTTCCATTTGCCGGATAGTATGTTCGTTTTTGACGACTTTGTCTTGCAGTTGATGACGTTCGTAGCCTAAGTTCGTTAAAACGGAATCTTTTTCGATTAGCAGTTCTTTGGTCTGTCGATTTTCTGCAAGTGTATTCGCATGCAGTTTTCGTAATTGTGTCAGTTGATCAGTCAAACTCATCAGAGCGTTCTGCATACGAAGGGCTTCTTCGTTTTTCACTGATGCATCGGAAGATTTGAATGTTTCAATTTCCAACATCAACTGCTTGAGTTTCGCATTGAGAGCAACGAGTTGTTTAGCGAGAATATCATTTTCCTTGCGATAGCCATTCTAAATAAAGACGAATTCAAATGAGAAGTATGAGAAAGTATTTTCACGTACGACGTATTCGGTCAATTGTTTATTTTCGACATCTAAATGTTCACACTGTTTTGTTTGCACACGGAATTGTTCCATTAGTGTTTTCGATGATGTTTGTAATTCTTTCAAATTTTGACTCAATGTTCCAATCTTCGTTCGACTGTCAGCCTCGATTGTATCACGTTCCTTTTTCACTGCTGTCAATCGTTCATGTAATAGTTGACAGTTACCTTCGGAACTAAAGAAGAACAGCATTTGTAAACAATGTTTTTCGTTCTCGTTGCATTTTACCGTTTCAAGTGTGTTTGTAATTTCTCAACTTGTTCAGATAGCTGCTCGACTTTCACATCAGCTTTTTTCTTTCCGGCATTAAGATCATTGATTTTTTCGTTTAAATATCCAACTTCGCGTTGGAGTGTATCGCGTTCGAAACTGGCTTTATGAATTTCATCCTTCATCGAAAAGATCTCACGTTTAGCCTGTTCCAGAGCTTGTTTCGTCGTCTGATAGTTTTCTTTTAATGAATGAAGTTCGCCAACGGAATATTTCGTCTTTAAATCATCATTGTCACGTTTTAATTTCTCGATCATTGTACGCAATTCGCGTTCATTTGTCTTATAACTAATGAAAGACAGAGTTAGATGAGTAATGAGGTCTCATTTTTGTTTACTTACCGATCCTCAGTCTGTTGATGATCTTCAGCAAGTTTCTTCATTTGTTCATCGGCTCGTCGTAAGCGTTCTAATTGTTCTCTCAATGATTGATTATCTTGTTCGAGTTTTTGATATTTGCTTCGTACTTCACTGAGACGATTGCGTGCCAAGTACATTAGTTTATCATGTTTATTCTGTAATTTATTTAATCCAGCACCTAGCGAACCATTCTCCTCAGTTAAACGTTCGTTGTGATTGAACAACTCAAAATTCTCCGCTTTTAATTGTACAGTTTTCGTTACTGGTTTAGTGAAGATATTCATACCAGCATTAGCATTGGCTACATCATCGGTCGGCCGTCGAGTGCTTATACGATTATCCAGATCTGCAAACGGATCCGTTAGGTCATCAATAGTACTCGCCATTTATCGAACGAACAATCTAAATAAAACGATTTCTAACGTTGGTGTCTATCTGCTGAGTTGTTACTTTCACAGTGCAATAAAAACTCCACTTCTTCTCTTTTGCTTTACTGTATGTGTGTGTGTGTGTGCTTTTGTGCATGACAACAATAATTGCTCCTGGAGGCAAATAAATCTTTAGAAAAAATAAACAATTTAATTGGTAAACTGAGAACGAAAGAAAATGCGATGAAAATAGACTGAAGATCATGTTGTTAATATTGAATTCAATCTTTTTCTTCTTTTCGATGTGAAAACACCGACCGCTTTCGAAAATTTCTTTTTGTTTATATAAATCGAGTGCATTTTTTTTATCTTGATTGAAAAAATTTGGATCAACAATCATTGATGTCGCTTTTCTTCTCCTCCTCAACTTACGTCAATGTAAAACAAACAAACGAAATGTTTAGTAAAACATTTCATAGTTCCACGTTCCATTCAGAGTAATTAATTTCCTTTGAAATCAGACGAAATTGACGTGCACGTATTGACTTCAATCAGTAGAAGTCACCTTTTCATGTACGAACTTCTCCGACATCCAGACATGCATTGTATTCTCTTCTTTTCTGATTATCAGATGGTTTCAATAAGCATAAATGTTCCCTCATCAAAATTCTCGTTTGCTTTGACAAGAATTTGATGAGTTTGTACTGAATAATAGCGACAGTATTACCACCCGCAGCTGTGATCGAAGAGAAAAACATGATATGTTCCTATTTACTGATGAATCGAAGTATTCGGTAATCATTTCTCTTCCTCTGTCAATTGAAAAACACAAGTTTTACTCGAGAAAATTGAATTTTATTTTGAATAGAAATTACCTGCCGTTTTGCGAAAACAAAGAACAAGCAAATACTATGTCTCGATTGATTCAGTCTGTTCATTATGTACCTGACTCGATTTTTCGTCGATATTTTTCATCATTGACGAATCATTCTTGTCGCTGATACGAATAAATTGTTTCGTTAGACATGTTTCATCCACGCACAACGACATTTGAGAAAAATTCATTTTCTCCAGAAGGTTCTCGTCAACACCGGGAATCGTTTGCAGGTTATCAGATAAGTCCATGAGATCTCGATCAGTGATGTGCTTTGCCGCCAGTTTCCTTTTGCCTATTTCGAGTAATGATACAAAGAAATCCAATTTCTCGGCATTATCAAAACCGCAGTCATTCCAAAAGATTTCATCATTTGAATGTTGTCGTTCGTCGAGAATGTGTAACGCTTGATCGCACTGTTGTTTTAGTGTGTCATACAATTTTTCCGTATACGAATGAATTAATTCTCTCATCTGATCGTATTTGTGATTGATTTGATTCAGTTCAGAACGTTTTTCATTGACTAATCGTAAATGAGCGTCGAGCGTCTCCAACTGAATTTTACTTTCGCGATGAACGTCCAACAAATGCGTTCGTCGGCACGCTGCACAGAGCATGAATGAACAATGTTTACAAATTTTAAGCATTTGAAGTGTACAACATGAATGACATCGAGCATGATAGCTTGCAGTCGACTGTTCACCGGTTGTCTTCAATGTTTCCAGTGCTTCGCATAACTGTTTCAATGTCGGATTGATGATTAACATGGTTTCTAATTGTTTGATTGAAGAGTAATTTAGTTGAAATTTACAATATGGACACTGAATATAGTGCATGGACGAGAAATTATTTACACGATTACTTTCCGCATAACTGATTAAACATGAACGACAAAAGGCATGTGCACAGGGCAGACAACAGGGTGCTAACATTCGCGAAAGACAGATGCCACATTTGAGAATTTCATTCAAGAGTTCGTCTTTCGCTTTATACGTCGACTCGAATGTATTGCTTGCGAATGTGGAAGTTTGAGTAGTGCTGTTAGTTGCCATGTTAAATCGATCTAGAAACAAATGAACAAGTAGTGAAGAAAATCAGATGACCGATGAATATGTGAGTTCTGTTTCGCGAAAATGCATCAACAAGTATTAATGACAAAAGAATGTAAAAAATTCTGTCGTGTAAGACTTCTTTTTTTGCACGGCCTGGAGATATTTTCGGAATAATATTCTTTTTCGTTCGTTTTCATGTCAAACGACACGAAAAAAAAAGAAAAGCGAAAAAAAACCGGCACTGATCGATGACATATGTATACCGATATTCTCTGATAATCGCTTCGGAGAGTGACGCGCAATATGATTTGTTAAAGTACCTGATTGCGAAAAAGAAAAAGAAAAAGGAATCCATTCAATCTCTCGACATGTCAAATCGCAATTCAAAGAGTATAATGAGAACAAATTTATTTTTTTTTCTTTTTATCAAATAAAATAATCTATAAAGAAAACCAAATCGAAGATGTTTTTTGTTTCACAGAATGTCTATTTTTCCTTGAAGGGTTGATCTTCGCCTTTCATTAACTTGTACATCAATTGACCCATTTTAGCTGGCGAATCGCTGACAGTTACTTGGGCATCCTTTAATGCGTGAATTTTGCCATCGGCGCCACCAGATTTGCCACTAATAATAGCACCTGCATGACCCATTCGGCGGCCTGGCGGAGCGGTTTGACCAGCAATGAAAGCGACAACTGGCTTAGCATTTGAACCGGTGTTTTTCGCCTTCAAGTATTCAGCGGCGGCTTCTTCAGCATTACCACCAATTTCACCGATGAGAATAATACCTTTCGTGACTGGATCATGTAAAAAGATATCCAAGCAATCAATAAAATCTGTTCCATTGAATGGATCGCCACCAATACCGACACAAAGAGATTGACCGAGACCAGCTTGAGTTGTTTGATGAACGGCTTCGTATGTTAATGTTCCACTACGTGAGACAATACCAATCGGTCCTGGTCGATGGATGTGACCAGGCATAATGCCAATTTTACATTTACCAGGAGCTAAAAAACATTCATGTTGAGAATTTACTTGTAATTTTTGCTTTGAAAATGCTTACCAATAACACCGGGGCAATTCGGTCCAACAAGACGTGATTTATTTTGTCGAACAAGCCGATGTTTGACTTTAACCATATCGTGTTGTGGGATACCTTCGGTGATACAAACAATTAAACCAATTCCAGCATCAATGGCTTCGAGGATAGCTTCAGCTGCACCTGGAGGCGGCACATAGATGACAGTTGCTGTCGCTCCGGTTTCCTTCATCGCATCGTGAACATTTTTGAACACCGGTAGACCTAAATGTTTGGTTCCTGCTTTCTTGGGACTAACACCACCGACTAGTTTTGTTCCATAATCAAGTGCTTGTTGAGAATGGAATGTTCCTTGTTTACCAGTAAAACCTTGACAAATAACTCGTGTTTCACTATTGATATATAGATTTTTTCGCGTTGAATCATATAATGATTTGTCATAACTAGACGAAGAACTTTGTTGTTGGCTGGCATTGACAATTGCACTTGTCTGAATGAATCGGCAAACATTGGTCGACAAAACTGGCGACAGAAGGCGTCTACTAAGCATTTTACTGATCTAGAAACGAGCGAATATATGATACAAGAAAAGATTTCGTTTTTAAAATAAAAATAAGTAGAACATGCATAGACTAGCTTGATTAAATCAATGTCTGAACACACACAAAAGACAAAAAGTCGTATTATAAATCCTTGCGAATTCCTGCACTTGCATATTGCTTTTGCTCGTCGGTTAATGGCACATACATCACGCCCATATGTCGTTCTTCACGATAACTTCCATCCTCTTTCTTGTCATATGTAATCATTTCTTGACCATGAGATCCACCGACAGGTGAAACAAGTCGACCACCAGGTTTCAGTTGACGAATTAGTTCATGAGGTGTATCTGGTGCAGCAGCACCGACATGAATGGCATCGTAGGGTGCTTCGGCAGCATAACCTTGTCGACCATCGCCTTTGAGAATCTTTAAACTTCCCTCGTCGAATAGAGCAGCATGATTTTTCTTTATATTAACGATCGATCGATCGACGAGCTCTTGAATGTGCTCCACACCAACCGCTTTACCACCTGGACGAACCAGACGAGCCATGCATGTAGTTAGGTAGCCTGAACCAGAACCAACGTCAAGAACTTTCGCACCTATGCAAAGAACGTCGATCTGCATATGTTTTTCACATCGAATTCATACCAGGTTTAAGATGATCTTTAAGGATTTCCAATCCAAAGCAATGCATATGAGGAGCACTAAGAAGACCAAAGTAGTTCAAAAGTCGAATGTTTGCACTCATATCGATTTCCTACCTGATGGTCACCTACACATGATTGTGGAAAATCAAAATTCATACATAGAGTAATTCTCAACAGCAGTTCAGATACTTGCCGCATAACCAACTGAAAAATAACAGCGAACATTTAGATTAAAATAATCTCTTGAATTGCAAACTTACTCGATTGTGGTCGATCTTCATAAGCGTCGTTCTTTTGTTGAGTGAAATCCGCTCGATCGACTTCTAACATTGCTTGTTTAATTCGTTGATCTTTGATTAAACCATTTTTGTACAAATTTTCAATTAGTTCGATATGCGATGCACCCGACGAACGCCAAGCCATTTGACCGTTGAATGCAGACAGATGAGATAAAATACTAAAAACAAGAACGAGGAATGGAATCATAAGTATCTAAAACTGAAAGAAAAACTGAGTAGATTTGTGGACATTTTTATTCAACAAAACAAAAAATATAACAAACGAATACATTTTAACAATAGGTTACTCGGCTTGTCTCTTTCTCGTATGTTCATCATCTTTTCATGATCCGTCTGATATCTGTAATAAAGGATTCAAATTTAACAGTAAAGGAAACTTTAGCTTTGCGATTGTAATCGAACTTCTGTCCGATTTCATGAACGAATTTGTCGATTACACTGACGAAATTCTCATCTTGTTGTTTCGTTTGAGCCAGAAATTGAAAGAATTGATTAGGAAATGCGCAGATCAACGTATAGATGGTTCCCGCCAGTGTATCGAATAGATCGGATAACGTCGTCGTACTTGTCACGATGTCTTGAAGTAGATAGTCGAGAAAATGTTCGAGATATTTCACTTTTTCATTATCTTTCGATTGTTTAAGAATGTTCAACGTTAAACTTTGAATTGTTTCCAAGCACATCTTACATATTTCATTATCATAATTGTCAAGACCTAACTTAATCGTTGATAGAAATATGGAGTATTGTTCGGAGTTTAGCAAACGAAAGATACAATCGGAATGTTGTTCACATAATGAAGAAACAAGTTTATAGTAACAAACGCTGATCGAAGGGATCTTCAGAAGGTTATCCGATTGAATTAATGGCAAGCAGATGATCAAACCATAGAGAACAACATCTCCCACATTCATATCTCTGAAAAATGGAAAGGAAAATGAGTGCGCGTTCATCATTCGATACTTACGCATTTGGTGAAGGTTCGTTTGAAAAATCAATAAAATCTTTTGCTAGTAAATGATTTAAACAATTCAATACTGTATAAATGTGTGCATTAAAATCTTCGTCCGCATTGATCTCCCTCGTCTTTTTTCCATAATTACACTTTGTAAAAATTTGCAATAATTTCAAGACGTACGTGTAGAACAATTTCGTATGTTCGCTATTCAGATAAATCAATACATGCTCCGCATATAAAGAAAATAATTCTAAAACGATTTGCACTTGGTCACTATAATTGTGATAGAAATCGAATAATTCAAGAATATTCTGTAGAGTCTGTTGACTGTATTCAAATAGATACGTAATTTGGATTGACGGACAACGCGAACCACCTTCGATCAAACCACAGTAGGAATTGATCAGTGTACTCATTTGACTAAGAGCATTTTCGCTGTAAAACGTTTGTAATGCATTTGCACAATGAATTTTACTACCATGATTCAATTTGATTTGTTCAACTAACGTGCGGATTGATTCGACGATGGATTGCAAGCGTTGGTTGAGAATTTGAAAGACCGAAGCATTGAAATGTATTCGATATTCGTCCGAGGAATTGTTTAGACATGAACAGGTGATCCCTTTGACTAACAAACGTTTATATTCTTCATTGATGAGTTGTATGGGCATTTGATTCGAGATAACATTATTAGCTAACGTCCAGAACAGTTCGTTTTTAATAATAATCAATGACGATTCTCGTTTAATTGATAGAGTAACAAATAAATCAGCTGAAAAAGATGTTGTAGTAGGATATAAGTAGCGTTTATCACATTCTCACCGGTTTCTTTGATAACATCACTTTCCGATGCCCACATATGTAGATTTGTCACGACTTTCGAGAGGAAATAATTGGTGAGAAATTCGAGCATTTCACTTCCTTTGCCAAGCATGATTGATAGGACTTCACTGACTAGAAAGCAAAGAAAATAGCGACGTTTTATTCGTTTCATGTCGTACCATCTTTATACGATTGTTCGTCGAAGCCCAGATAGTTTGCTGCTAATCGTCGAATGAACCATGTCAGACTAACAGCCACTTGCACACTGATGTATTCGAAGAGACCTCTACTGCATAGAAGTCGTTCGATTTCAGATAATTTCAAAACAGCCACCATACTAAAGTGAATAGCGTTGTAGTTGATCGAGAATTTATGAAAGGAAACTCACCATTGGGTCACAGGACTAACTCCATGAACTGTCTCGTCGGTTAAATCTAGTTGAGGTTGTTGGAGAACGTGTTGAGCAATTCGTACACACTTTTTCAGATCACAATATTTCATTTGTTCATTGGAAAAATTCATAATAGCAACAGGAATCGTTTTATGTTCATCAGCGTCGTATTCTTCCGTCAGTACATGGCCGCATATTAACAATAACCAGTGTAGATCATCGTTGATACGGTCTAGAGTATTATTATCGATATCCGAAGATGTATTGTCCATAATTTGATATAGTTTTTTCGTGCGATCAATTAATAAACGATTCAATAACGGTAAAGCATGATCGATAATATGGCGACCAAATAGACCAATGCAGATCAATTGTTCACTGAAATCAAACAAGATGATTATTTATATGTTAAAAGGTAAATTCTACCTGAATAAATCACGATCATCGTCATCGTTGTCATCATTGATATCGAATTCAGTATTAGTTTGATTATCATCCATGTGTAAATGTGTTTGAAGGTACGTGTCGAAGATTTCGATAGCTAGTGGTCTTAGGTTGTCAAATCTACCGAAGTCAATGCCGTACAATAGTCTTGACCAAGCTTGTAACAATCGATCGAACGTTTCTTTTGCGATTGTAGGATCTTCAGTAATCCTGTCTAGTTGGCTGTTCGCCGATGGAACTGTCGCTCGACAAAGGAGAATGGTTATCTGTGCCATCAATTGTAAGAATGAATTGCAGAGATCGTTCTGCATCGAACAGAATCCTTTGATGGTAAATGATGTGATTAAATTCGCGAGAATATTCGAAATGTCAAAACATTCGACTAGATTTATCCCCGGTTCGGTATTGATTAGGAATCGTTGGACGAAATTGTATGAAAATGTTGTTAAATAGCGTAAACGACATTCATCATCATTCATTAATGGACCATTTAAACATGCCAATTGCGACAGACATCTAAAATATCGATAAGTTTCTAAGTAAATTGCACTTTATTTGCTTTACCGAAGTATCTGACAACGAAGTTGAAGAGAGACTTTCGTTTCATTCTAAACAAAAATAATTCACATGAGGAATGAATGCAAAGTGAACAACTTACAGCTTTCAATGTACTATAAATATGAAAGAAAAACTCGACAAGATTCTGATCGAATACTAATTGTTTCCAACTATTCGGCGGTCTCCAATCAATCGATTCTACGTTCGTCGATGATTCCATATATCGCCGAGCATTGGGTAAAGATGTCGAAAAGTTCCAAAGGAGAATTTTTTCCACGGATGACAAAATAGAAGAGAATAGCTGTGTATCTGATGAAAGTGATGACAAATTGCTGTGAAGTTTGTTCAATAGTAATTCAAAAACGGTCTTCAATTCATTCGCTTCGAAATCACGTTTGACGGAATGACGCTGTTCGATGGTTAGACCAGCTTCATTAGCTAAAAATCAAAGAATGAAGTCCCTATTCAATGTAGAAATCGTTCGGCATTCAATTTACCATTGCTGAAACTGTATTCATTGATGAATGCATTGAGTAGCGTTAAACCAAATTGAAATTCTTTCTCATTACTTGATTGTAAGAGACTACTCAATGCTAAACTAACAGTAAATCCGTTTTTAGCTATCTGTACTCGTTGAGCTTTTCGTCGTTTATTAATCACAACCAGAATTTGTAAGGCTTGTTCACGAACATGCACCGATAATGTTGAATAGTGGGTATAAACATATGAGAGAAGATATTGAACAACTTGTTCTTTCAACGTATCATCTAATGATGACCATTCTTTAACAATGCCTTCCCGAAGTGCTGTTAAAGTCTGGTAGACTACATAGCTTGATGATGAATGTTCGATTAGATACCGATACAGATCGAGTGAGAACTGTGAACGGCGAAATTGTAAGAAAATCTAAGTGAAATAGTTCAAGATGGAATTCTGATTGGAAAGAATAGTGCGTTTCGTCCTCAACTGACCTTTTCCGCCTCTCGACGTCGTTCATTTGTGATGGTATTCGCCGCTGAGAGGAAGACTTGAGCAGCATCCTCAAGCACCTGACGAATATTTTCCATATTCATGTTTCCCCAATCGACTTTTTTATTTAACCTATATAAAACATGTTTGTTGTGTTTTATTTCGTCGAGTTAACCAGTCAAAACTTAGCTTGCACATCCACTGCCATCTATTGGCAAGGAAGAAGATGATTCATGACTTTTTTTTTCTATACATGTTTTCACACACATTTGGTTTATACATATTTCAATGACACAACTACGATGTTCCGATCTCCGGACGAGAAAAGCTGGTATTGATTTTAGACTATGTCCTCATGTATCTTGTTTATCATTTGTATTTTAGGAGAACTTGATCAACAGTTGAATGAACTTCAGGAGGAATTGCTTCGTTTGAAAACTGCTGGAAGTCGAAATGTAGATAAAATTGACAAAGTTGAAAAATCAATTGTACATGTGCATATTGTGCAAAATCAAACAAGAAAAGACAATTTAAGGAGTTTCTATCAAGGAGCAAAATACAAACCAAAAGATTTAAGACCGAAACAAACGCGAGCGAAACGACGAGAACTAACAGAGAAAGAAGCGTCATGTGTTTTGAAAAAAACTCAACGAAAAAATTCTATTTTTCCCAAACGAACATTTGCAGTTAAAGAATGAAGTTTTTGATTTTGGCTCGATTTACATATTTTAGATAAAATCTGATGTCGAAAAAGAGACAAGTGACATTTCAAAAAAGTACTGCCGGTAAATTCATTCCAAGAGATGAACCGCCAGCGGCATCAGGTTAGTGTAGCAGAATGATTGAATTCAACCATGATGCCCCACGTCTCGATTTTTGTTCAGTATTTCGTTCTGGAGTCAATAACACACGATTCAATTCGAAAATGGCCGAATTACTTGCTTCAGCATCGACATCGAACAACGAGAATGAACCGACACAAAGCCATGTAAAAACATCTGCAGATGATCCAATACTCTCGCCGCCAACAGAAACGACACTTCCAGACTCGTCACGTGTTCAATCCAAGTTGATTCAACGACGAGTCGCGACAATGCTCGAATCATTGAGAGGACGAGGAGCAAGTGGTGAATCAGCATCGCCACTGAAAACACCAGTGTCGAACGTTGAGCTCAAACCTCAACCGATTACTTTCGGTCAACTACGACAAGCAACAGCCACAGCTACATCGTCACCACTACCACCACCACCATCACAAGTCACTCCTTCAACGGATACAGTCGATGATATTTCAGCTTCGAAAGTTCTACTTTCGCATTCACCAAACAGACAACCGCAACGTCCCAATGTACTAGTATCTTCTCAAGCGGATTTTCATGCTGATCTACCATCATCACCCATCAATCCAACACGAATATCGTATTCATCTTCGCTCGAGCAATTACTAGAACACCATAATGTCGTACCACGAATCAACGAAACAAACGAGAGTAAGCCAGAAGCTGAACAACGAAAATCGTCGCTAACGGTTGACGAAATTCTCGCTACGTATTATGCCAAACTAAGAATTCCAGCTACAACTGAATCCCACATGCCATCATTAACGATAACATCATCACCACCTTCATATTCCAGCAATAATTCAAATTTGCATCTACAACCAACAACATTAGGTTGGACTCCATCTCCTCCTCTTGTTCCTTCACTTGTCTTCAATGAACAAAATCGAAATCGACCACCACCTCCTTCTTATTCCTCAGCTGTGGCACCTAGCCATCAACCACCTTCATCAAGTATGATTTCACTTTTTCTACCTAGGATGACGGTTGGCTTTTCTCTATACTTTAGCGAACCAACTAGCTCAACATTTATTTCGTCTTCCTACGCCGTTCGTACCTCGTGACCATGTTTATTCAGTACCACAAATCACTCAACATTTATCACCAGCCGCCGCAGCTGTTCGACCTGCGCTTCCACAGTATGAAGCAGCAACAATCACGAATGTCGAACGTTCTCACTCAGCACTATCATCAATGAATCAGCCAAACTTTCTTCCAGCAAATCCACCACAAGCAGGTTTTGACCCAGAATTTTCTCGATTGCTCTACGGAAAGGAAGAGGGTAGAAACCGACGACAGCGACAAAAACGAAAAGCATTCAGTGATCCGGTTAAGTAAGAACGCACGAGTTTTGAATATGAATAGATCCAGTTGAGTTATCTTATCTTTAGAAAAAGCGTGGAAGAAGCTAGTCAAACTGCGGAAAAGGCTCGTCGTCGACTAACGACTAATTTGAATAAAACAGATACCGTTAAAGAAGAAGAAGAAACCAGCAGTGATTCATATGAAATTGATAAACACGATCAAAAGCAATTCTTACAAAAGTATATGCAACCGCAATCAGAGTAAGTTTTATCTCAAAATGATCCACATATGCTTTATCTAAATTTTAGTAAACGAGAATTAATTAAAACACCAATTGTACCTCCAAATCCAATTCTTGCGCGACGTATTCCATCATTTCTGAAGACATACTGTCAAGGGTCATTATCCCCAAATTATATTCCTCCGCAATGGCATCTTTGTAGTTTATACAAACTTCAATCCTATGAAGGAATGATGACGAAATTATACAAAGACGAAAATTTGAGTCGAGTGAAATTATACGAAACATATCGTGCATTATTGGCATCTGTCTTAGCAATGAAAACCTCGTCCAATCAATCGAAGAAGCATTCCGTCGAAAGACACAATTATGACTCTGATAACATCACTACAACCGCTTTGTAAACATTCCCGTGCTAAACATTTTTTGCTTCCATGTTTTTTTTAAATGATATCTATCTTTGTTTTATTTTGTGAAATGAAAATGAATATTAATTCTTTAAATGATTTTTAGATCGAGATGAACTGGACGGAGAAATTTCTTCAAACATTTCCACAAGCCCATATCCAGGACGACAAGCGTGCGCATGTAGAAGAAGTTATTAAAGCTATGATTAAAGATGGCCGATCGATGTTACATGTAGTCGCGGACTTTGATTTTACATTATCAACTTATGATAACAATGGAGATCCCGCGCCATCGACATTTGCTGTTATTGAAACTGATGAACGCGTTCAAGTAAAAGACGATTGTATTTCATAGGTTGAATCTTCCTTTCGTGACGCTTCATTTAGTTGCCTGATGGCACACTTGTTCGTGATCAAGCAAATGCATTACGCTCAAAATATATCCTTATCGAACATGATGTTCATTTACCAATGGAAGAGAAGATTCCTCATATGGTGTATTGGTGGCGTAAAGCTCAATCTCTACTTCTCTTGTCGAATCTTAATAAGTCCATGATACGTGAACTAGTCTATAATTCCAAACTACAACTTCGGAAAGGCGTACAAGATTTTATTACTGATTTACTACAAAGTCACACACCGATTCTAATCTTCTCTGCTGGTTTAGGCGATGTGATCAAAATCTTTCTCGAGAAGGAAATTCCTGAGTTTGATCATAATCATCAATCATCACACATCGTTTCAAACTTTATTCAATACGATACCGAAGGCAATTTAGTGTCATTTTCTGACAAATTGATTCATTCGTTCAACAAAAATGAACATGAAATTCATGATACACCATATTATCGATCAATTCTTAATCGTCCAAATGTAATCCTTCTCGGTGACAGTCTCGGTGACGTCGGGATGATTGGCGGAATGCAAAATCTCAAGCAAACTCTGAAAATAGGTTATTTAAATCGAAGTACACCGACGAAACTAGAAGTTTATCAAAATATTTTTGATATTGTCATTTGTGATGACTCGACTTTCGATATTCCGAATTTTATACTCAAAACAATATGAATCTCAGTTGGCATTTTTTACCAAAACTTAGAACAGCAATGTTTAGGACATAAATTTTTATTTGATAGATCTTTTGAAAAATAATTAGTTTATTAACAGTGACGTTTTGTTTTGTTTTTCTAGATCGATGAGTGCAGAACGACATTGTACAAAATTGTCCTTTTTGAAAAAACTGTAAGAGATTTCTTTTTGTCGGATTGAAGTGACAAACGATTGACTGAAAACTTTTAGTTTAATACGATGGTTTTTGTGTGTTATTTTCGTGATTACAACACTGATTGTATTGGCACCAGTATTACTTCGTTCCCATGGAAATTTTATTCTAACGAAAATGTTTTTTCAAACTTGGTGTAAGTGTTTTCACGAATATGGAAAGACTTTCACTGATGATTCTCTCTAGCTCGATATTATCCATGGATCGATCTAACTGATCCAACTGCTTTCAAACTCAATGCAGTCAATGTGTACGAGCAAGTGGAACCAAATGTCACGATTGGCATTTGGTAAGGAAAATTTTGAAAAAGATCATCTTTCTCTAGATCGCGTGTTATATAGGTATACTTTACCATCTACAGTACAAATTCATCATGAATTGCCTACGCTTGCTGATCATTTACAACGATATGTAGTCTCAAAGGATCTTCCTATAATTATGTATTTACATGGTCAAGATGGAACAAGGTAAAGAAAGGAGAAGATTGGATTTCGAAATAAAGTTAATGAATATGATTTGTAGAGCAACACATTATCGATCGAATCATTATCGAGTAATGAGTTCTTTTGGTAATCATATTATTGCGATGGATTATCGTGGATACGGAGACTCGACGGGTAAACCAACTGTTAGTGGTATTGTTGCAGATGTAACGCACGTGTTCAATGTGATACGTCGTGTTTGTCCTGATAATCCTATAGTGATTTGGGGACATTCTATGGGAACAGGCGTTTCTCTATGGACAGCGTTTCATCTCTTCGAAAACAAAACGCGTATGAAAATCTTGAACAAAGAATTCTCTGATTGGTTGTTTTGAATGTTGTAGTTGTAAAGAAACCAGCTGGTTTAGTACTTGAAGCACCTTTTTACAATTTAGTCGAAGCACTCATTTCTTATCCAGTGACTCGAGTACTTTCAGCACTTGTTTCTTTTCAAAAAGAATCACATTTCTATATCTAGGTATTCAAAATCAATCCGTACTTTATGAAAGCTGCACTGGATTCTTTAGCAGAGCTCAAACTCGAATTTCCTAATAATGAAATGTAATATTTAACTCCATGTTTTCTTTTGATTTATCTGCAAAATTCTCTTCTAGTATTTCGTTTCTCCCGTTACCAATTATAATTATTCATTCAGAAGATGATGCTATCATTCCATATCATCATGCTCAATCGGTAAGATCAATGGCAAATCCAACTTGTTTGTTTTCTACATATCTTTCTCGATATTTAGCTCGAAAAATACATTGAAACTAATCGCGAGTCTGATCTACCTCCTGTTCGTCTCATAACTGTTCCTCGTTCAGCACACTGTGGACACAATCATATATATTCTTACTCAAAATTTCAAGAAATAGTCAGTGAATTCGCATTTCTCAAACGCTTACCTGTTTCTTAAAAAGAAACAATCCAATTTCATGCAGATACATATATTATATAGGCTTTTGTATAATAAAATTAAATAATAAATCTCTCTATAAGAAAACGAATCAATAAACGAAAAAAAAATCAATGTACTTTGTAGATAGAGATGACTGATGTCGAGCCGACGCGACAATGGCCACGACCAATGTAAGTGCATTTGAAATGATTTTTTTGTCATGATAATCTATCTGTGAAATAGACGAATTCTCACAAAATTGTTGGTTTTCTTGAGTATAATCTATGTCCTCAGTTCTGCAATTTCGGCAATCATTCTGATAGCGTACCCGTCAATGATCAAACATATCGTTTTTATGAATTTTTGTAAGATAAAGACATGTGCATAATTATCCAATTTGTACTACGTGTGAAATTTAGTGAAAACAGGAAATGATTTCACTCAACCGGAAATGTTCGGCGAAGATCGTGTCTTTAATTTCTATCTTGATGTTGAACCTGAGATTCGTATTGGTGTTTGGTAAGTTAATCGCATTTCACAAACAAACCAATCATGTCTACATTGAACAGGCATTATCGATCACCGTTAGTTCGTGATCAATCTTATGAGAATGATGAAGATTATTTCCAAAAACACATTGCGTCTACATCCTCATCAATTCCTATGGTCATCTATTTGCATGGCAATGCATTTGATCGGTAGATTTCAAATTTAGTTCTAAAATCTTATTTGAATATTCAATTTGCTTCTAGTTCTTTATTTAATCGCCGTGGTACGTGTGGAAAGTTGCGTCGAGAATTGAAATACGACGTTTTCATGTTCGATTACCGTGGTTTTGGTGACTCCACAGGTTCACCGACGGAAGAAGGCTTAATTCAAGATGCTCGATATGTTTACGATTGGTTACATAATATGACAAACGGTCAACGTAAGATCTACTTATGGGGCCAATCACTCGGCTCAGCAGTTGCGTGTCAATTAGCTGCACGACTATCTGATGATGAAAGCAAAACACTTGCTGGCATCGTTCTCGAAGCTGCATTCATCAATATGCATCAAGCAATACGAACACATTACTTATCGTTACTATTCCAATGGCAACCCTGGTTTACCAGTTTAACTGGAAAAGCTTTACTTTCGACGAAACTCGGATTCCAAACACGTGGACATCTCTCAAGTGTCAATTGTCCTTGTGTTATCTTGCATGCCGATGATGACTATACTGTACCGTATAATCATGGTCAGCAGTTGTTACAAGCTGGCATAGCTGCTCGTGATGATCATCGACAGAAGAGGAAATTACTGCACTTTACTATTGACATGATATCGTTTCATGGAGAAGGTTATGGCCATTCAACGATATTTCGAGCACCGAACTTAATACCTGCATTGAGGTGAGAATCTCGACGATAATTTGTGAAAGAAACTGATTCTGATTCGACTTTTTAGACGAGTACTATTCGAAGAACACATATGATACGCTACTAGTAATCAAAAATAAGTGTGATCGATAGTTTTTTTTATGAATTTATTACATGTGATTTTTCTTTCGTAATAAAATGCAATATGACATCTCTAAAACAAGAAGGGCAAAACCATTGAAGACTTGAATGACTAGAAATTACAAGGTTATTCCGAAGAATTTATTGAACTGAGAATAAATTCACGTGAGACAATTTTCAAAAAGTAACGACCTTGGTCCGGCATAGAATATTTCACTACATTATCACTATCGATTTGAATCTGAATCTTGTTAAACTCAAGTGTCATATTACAAGCTTGTTGTTGTTGTGTTAATTCACAAAGTTTTTCTTGTAAATCATCACGTGTCAGAGCATGTAAATAAACAGCTGAATATATGTCACTATGACCTGTTTTAATATAGAAGGTTCGTACTGGTGGAACAACTGTTTCGTGTAAGAGATTATACAGACGGATGCTTATTGCATCATCATCGTTACATATTCGACGAATTTCATTTGAAGTTAGACGAAGAAGATCAATACCAGTATAATGTTCAAATCGATTCAAAACAGATGAAAACGAATTGGTTTCCAACCATTTCAACACATCGTCATTCGATGATCGAATAGTTATTTTGGTTTGAACATCAGTTTTCTCTTTTGGCCACTTCGAAAACATACATTTGGCGTCCGTCGGTAACGTTGGTGAGAGAGATTCACGATGTGTACTATAATTAGGATTAGATTTCGACTCGGAATTGTCATTATCTTGTTTCGTGATGACAAGATTATCTGCTGCAATAGACGATTGAGTATAAACATCGGACAGATCATCAGGTGGATGAGATAAACTGAGAAGTTTCAATGTGTATAGTGACGAAGCAGCGCATGGCTGTAAAATTGTATATTCTGATGTTATTTGATAACGTCGACGTTGATCTTGATTTAACTTGTCGATTCTCATTTTATCCGCTTTATTCTTTCTCTGTGCACCTTTCAAACGAAACAACTGAATTTTACAGCAACACGAATGTAAATGTTTGACGTCGGCAACATCATTTTCATGGTATGTATCGATTTGAATTCGTAATGGTATCCCTTTTTCTCCGCCGTGTCGTTTCTGAGCGAAATCAGTCGATGTACATCTAAATCGCACGAATAGAGACGCAGTCGTCGATGTGTCCCAAACGATTTCCACTGCATTCGGTATCTGTCGAGAACATATGACGGATAAAACACCGTAAGTTAAATTCATGTCAATATCGAATAAGGACGATAATTGATATTCGTTTAACCATTTTTGTACTAATTCACGTTCTTGCGCTTGTAAATTTTTGTCCCAAAAACATAAACGTAATATTGATCGATATACAATTGGTAAGGAATGATTTTCACCGGATGACGAGTAGTTATTTTCACTGAATTTTATTTCATAGGGCTGACCTTGATTTAAATAGGTTGTCGTTTCTTCATTGATTCGTGCTGACGATGCAGTTAATGCATTGAGGACAATCTGAAATTGAGATGATGATGTTGGTATTATTTGTTGTGTTAACGCAGCCGATGATGGCGAAATCGCTGGTGACGATGTACTGCTTTGATCCGAGAATCGCTCGGTATTGTTTAAATATTGATCGAGATCATCGACAAGATCGTTGCCGTGACTTACATCGGGCAGAATGTGATTTGATGAAAAATCAGAAGAACTTGTTTGAGAATACTTCTGTGTCAGTGGCTGACCATCGAAGAGGTTCTCAATACGAAATAGAAGCGTTGATATGGCTGAATCATTTAACAGTGACATCGATTTCCGTGTCGGGTTTTTTCTAATTTGATTCTTACCTATGTCGCACACGGTGCAAATGTTGATGTCTTGAGAAATAATATTTTATTACGTGTATGTTCGTTTCTGTTGATGTTTGTACTTGAATAAATTGTTTTGTGTTTCTGTTTTTACCCTTCTACGCATTTCTCATTGGATACTTCGAACGAAAACGAATGACAGGTGGCAAAGAAATCATCGAGAAATGAAGCCGAGAGGAGAAAAAAAATAGTCATTCAGGCATGAAAGTGTTTAAGCTATAGGTTTTTGTCTCTCGAAAGTACATTTCGTGAATATGAATATTCCACGACGATTCTACTTTTTCTCATGATTCATATAGATCAAAGTTGAAAACCGTCATTGCACTCGGTGAGGACATTCATAACAACAAATCATAGTTTTGTAAGGTGGGAAAATGTGGGCGCTGTTCGATTGTAAGTTTAAAGAAATTGTTGCTTTTTAAAGCGTCATGTTTCTCCCATTTCGAGAGTGCATCGAACGCATTTGATTCTGTAAATCATCTTGACTCATAAACTTTCGGTGAATTTATTCAATTGTCACTATTATACCAACATGATGGTGAACACATTTAGAAATAAATCGATATTTTCCATTGCTATTAGTAATCCAGTAGCAAATAAACAACGTTCACTCGCTGTTAGATATCTGATATGCTTGTATTGTTGAATAATGATCTCTCGTGTTGTTATTTCATGCGCAGTTGAGGTATTAACGCATGTATATAGAAGAAAGATAATCTCTTGGAATCGACTATTTATAATTCTTTAAATATGAATTTCGAGGTATTATTTTCCTCGATGTTTTCCCTACAGGTTTGGATTCATCTAAGTAATATGAGCTGTGTAGATGCTGCTTCGCTACAGCGATTCGGGAGTGAATATTTTTCGTTTGTCTTCTAATTCCATTAGGCATGTTGATTGAGTTTGTTCCAGAAAGTGCTTTTGAGTAGAACAAGAGATTTCTGTACAACACTTGAACTGAGCAGAGAATAGAGTGACAGAGAACAGATTTGAGATGAAATAAAGAAACAACGCAGAACCGCACTAGATAAGAAGAAAGCATGCTGTGAGCAGCAAGCATAATTATAGCAGAAATATCATGCACATGTACGTGCATGAGATGTTTGTACTTTTTCTTCTTTCTACTAGTTCATACTTCTCCCCTCATCATCATCATCATCCGTTTCTATCATTGTAGAAATATCGATCAGTTTTTTATTTTGTACATAAAAATATGACTCTTGTGTCTATCTGCTTTCAACCATCGCGATTTTCTCCCGCTGTGTTTATTTGGATTTTCTTTTGAAAATTATAATCATCACAAGTACTGATAAGGATTATCTCCTCGTGCGGAGAAGCCTGAGTGAATCCGACAACATGTTTTCTACTCGTCGTCGACTTTTTCATGACTTGTGTAGCTGAATTTAATATCGAGAGTTGTAGTTATTCACGTTTTACATCTAGTTTATCTATAATGACTTATATTAGGTCTTCCTCAGATTATCATTCGCAGAGCTCTTCAATATACATACATACAATTCGCATTGAACACATATGGAGTTAGTTATAGCTTGTGGCACAATGGATATCATGCAACACCACCAGTCAAGGCTGATACTAATAGCATCAGCAAAAGTTGAGTGATGAGATATTTTCCTAAATATTACACACTGAAGAGTGAGAACAAGTGCTTTTATTTGATTTGTTGTATTAAAAAAGATGTCCGACAGTTTGTGTAAGTATGTTTATAGATATGATAGCATTTAACGCGCTCTCTATATTCTTTTTTCTGTCGGCCAAAACAACGCTCCAATAGGAGCCTGACTAGCAAGTTTTGACGATGAATCACATCGACGATTGTATTCACGAGCCAGTTTTTCTTTCTTTCTTTCAAGATCGCGTCACTGACTATCAGGTGGTGCACGTACGTATTTATGCATTGTAGAAGGAGAGGTGCGCCCTAAGTTATGATGATTATTATTGTTGTAAAGCTCGAGAAAAAGGATACTATATGAGTCCTATCGTTGTAATCTAATTGAATACCTCTCCATATGATTCCAACAAAAACTCGTCGTCGTTTGACGAGCGCTACTCATCACATGAACCGTCGTAGTTTGGTAAGATGTTTCACTTCATTTGTTGACTTATTATTTCCATATAAACACACACACACGAAAAAAAACATTATTATTTAAATCGAAATAGGTCTTTCTTTTTTATATGAATCACAATAGTGAACTTTTTTTTTGTCTATTATTGTGTTACTGTCATACTGACTGACCTGAGTGTATATGTTAAAAAGATTCACTGGCGGCAATAGTGGTGTCAAATAAAATCCGACGTCTTTCGTCATCGGTCATGACAGATTATGAAGCCGATGTCGAGAAGACGCAAATGATGGACAACGATAATGATGACGAAGACGAAGCAAAACATGCCAAGTTTAAAAATAGACGATATACTCTACTCAAAGTATTGAATTTGTTTCTCTTTCTTTCCTAACGATACTAGTTGATGTAATTATTCTGAATTCGATACTCTTCTCCTTCTAGCCACCTGGTTTCGGCAAGCCAAGTGTGTATCATGGACTTGTGGTCATCTTTCTCGAATTCTTTGCTTGGGGTCTCCTGACGAATCCAGTTATATCGGTACGGGAAGTCTTGTCAAATCTGCCTAGAAGATTTTCATTATTTAGACACTCAATAAAACATTTCCAACGCATACTTTTCTCATGAATGGTGTTATTCACGGAGTCAAGTACGTTCAATATGTTTTGCCAGATGAATCGATATGAAAATTTACTTGTTTGTAGAGGTCTATTGACATTTTTGAGCTCACCATTACTTGGTGCTTATTCCGATGTTTGGGGAAGAAAATCATTCTTGTTAATCACTGTATTTTTCACGTGCTGTCCAATTCCATTGATGAAAATTAGTCCAATGTAACTGACTTGACACCCTTTGATCAAATTTTGTTAACCAACTCTCATTCATTTAGGTGGTACTTCGCTTTGATCAGTATTAGTGGTCTCTTTTCTGTTACATTCAGCGTTGTTTATTCATATGTTGCTGATGTTACTGATGAGAATTCACGAAGTGCAGCTTATGGTATGTGGATATTGGTCTGCGCTTCTCATTATTTATTTCATTGACTTTTGTATCCTTAGGCTTGGTAACAGCTACATTTGCTGCATCATTAATCACAAGTCCAGCTATTGGTGCACATCTAGCACGATTATATAGTGAAAATTTCGTTATTGCATTGGGTATGCTTTCGATTACGATCGATTCTTCTGTTTGTATTGATTATGTTTGACTCGATTTGTCAGGCACAGCAGTGGCTATCTTGGACTTAATATTCATCTTCTTTGTCGTGCCCGAATCGTTGCCGGAACGATTGCGTACTGATCAGAAAATATCATGGGATAAAATCGATCCATTTGCCGTGAGTTTTGTTTCTTGTATGGGTCATTTTTAGAAAAACTTCTTCGATAGGCCCTTCGAAATATCACTCATGATCGTTTCATCTGTTTAATATGTCTCATTGTACTTCTCTCCTATCTACCCGGTAAGGATTCAGCGAAATCAATAACGATTCATTATTATGATTTTCATCTAATTATAGAAGCCGGACAATATTCCTGTTTTTTTGTTTATCTACGATTAGTATGTTTGTTTGTGTCTCATCAGATATTGCGAGGAAATGTTCTTTCTAGATGCTTGGCTTTTCCGAAGATGAGATCGCTTATTTCATTGCTTTCGTCGGAATTTTTTCCTGTATTGCTCAAGTAAAGATCGTTCCTTTCGAAGTTGCTAGTTTGTAGTGAAGTGAATTTGTAGACAGCATTATTGGCTTGCTTACAACGATATTTCGGTTCGAAAGAAACAATTATGGTTGGATTATTTTTTCAAATCGTGCAATTAGCAGCATATGGCATCGCCACATCAAATTGGTAAGTTAGAAGACGAAAAGAAAAGGCAGACTTTGTCGGAGAACTTCATCTAATTAGGGTTATGTGGTTTGCTGGCGGTCTAGCTGCATTATCTTCTGTAACATATCCATCAATTAGTGCATTTGTTTCTGTCTATGCTAAGGACAATCAGCAAGGTAAAAGCATCTTGTCGTACACTGAGACATCAACTAAAAATCAATGTCGACTTTAGGTTTAGTTCAAGGTATGGTCAATGGTGTACGTGGGTTATGTAATGGACTTGGTCCTGCTTTGTTTGGTTTCATCTTTTATTTGTTTGATGTTAATTTAAATGAATCGGTTTCGCCGACATTATCGACAACGATGCCAACGCGATTGAATCATACGAGTATACGTGTTATGGAAAAGCAGATGTATCTCTCCATGTTGACACGTGATGTACCCGGTCCACCATTTCTTTTCGGTGCTTTACTTGCTACAGTTGCTTTAATGTTTTGTTTACTCTTACCAAATTCGAAACCAGAATCAAATGGACTCTATGTTGATGCAAGAATAATCGAACAGAAAGCTCGTCTATTGAATCTTGAGAGTGATAGTCATGATCATGTCTTGACATGAGACTTTTCTTTTCAAATATTCGTCTGTTACCTTCGAAACTGGTCCTTCTTTGTTCGTTTTTTTGTTGTTGTTGTTGTTGTTATTCGATTTCTATATTTTATTATGAACAGAAAAAGAAAATAGGCTGATGTTAAATGATTAAATATATTCAACGGAAGAAAAATTCAAGCAGCTCATTTTCTTTCTTTTTCCTTAATTAATACTTGGTAGTACGATAGACGATGCGAGACAGATGTATACATTCTCACGCAGATCGTTCGTTGAATATCAGATGAAGACTTTCATTTGTTCTTCGGTTTTTTTTCCTGTTGAAAACTGAAAAAAATGACTAGAACAAGAGATTTCTATAAACACATGTCATTGTAGCAAAAGAAATCAGATCACACACAACACAACAAAAGTGAGTAAAATTATACTGCTGAGACGAAAAAGAAAGGCACACAGAAACAAAACATCGCTATAAAACAAAGCACACGAAGAAGAGAAAAATGACAATTATTGCAAAATGTTGACTTTGATTTAGTCTGTTGTCGTCGAAAGAAGAACATCCAACTTCTTTTGAAAAGTTTCGTTCAAGTGAGAAAGAGAGAGAGAGAGATAAAAAGAGAAGAAACGATCACAGCTTTTTGTCTGGCACAAAGATAGAAAGGAGGGCATAGAAAACAAACAAATTATTGTAGTTTTGATTGACTAGTGTATTGTATTGCTATTGTCTTTTAAACGTAACTCGGCCGCCAAGCGACGGTCATGTTCTTTGAGATAAAGTGTTCGATAATTATCTCGTTCTTCTGAAAACGGAAAAACCAAACAAATCATGAAAAGGAACTTTGAGGAAAAGAAATAATTAACTTACGCGCAATAGAAACGAGTAATTGTTGAAGTTTTTCTTGGAAATAAGTCATGGTATTGAATGAGCTATCAAAATGTTGAACGAATGCTGAAAAATACACGGAGAATATGAAGAAAATCGAGTTCTATACGAAACGTACTTTCGATAGCTTGTGTGTTCATTTCCAAACTGACTTTCGGTTCTTTTCCTGCTGAATCAACAATAGATGATGATGACGCGGATGGTGATGATGATATTCCATTAACATGTTGGTGATAATTATGTCCATTTGGTCGATTAATAGCCGACTGCAACAATCGATTAAGTGTACCAGTAAGACGCTTACTAGCCATCGATGATGATGCAGGTAAGGCCGTTCCCAGAGAAGTTTTATTCGATGATGACGTTGGTGAAGAACTATGAAAATCATTATCTTGTTCACCTTTTGTCATATTTGTTGTTGATGTTGTTGTTGAAACATCATCGAGTCCATTGATACTCTTCAATTGCGATGATGGAGACAGACGATGATTCGAATTCGTTCGTTGGTTATTGTTGTAATCACTTGTGGATAATCGCGGGGGACTCTCCTGGTTATCATCATCGTTGAAAATGTGAAGACTTGGACCATTATCGTCATCGTCCGAGGCTTCATCGATCTGACTACCACCTCCTGTATAACATTGAGAACTTTCTACAAAAAAAAAAACATACGATCGAATAAGCAATTGAAACAAAGACTCAACGTCGATGCATAGGGACGACATCTGACGTATGTTCGCAGCTACTTACCACTAGCATTTTCATCAATTGAATCAAACCGAAATTGTGCCGAGGTGGAATCGGCTTGTTTATCGCTAGAAGAAATGAAATAAAACAAAAACATAAATGCAAAATGAAACTAAAGATCAAATTCAAGCCTCTTCTTTCAAATACATCAGTGATATTCATTCTATTTTGAAAATAAATGCAATACATAGATGTATGTAACACGATTAATCACTGCTATTTTAGACTCGAGTCTTTGTTCATTTCATCTTACAACCGTTTTGTGTTCGATGCTTACCTATCCAATTGAATGTTGTATTTTTTCAGGAAATTCGAACACCATGATCGTGATGCGGCGAACTCAGGATTGCCAGTCAGTTCTCTCATGGTTTCTAATGCGAACATATGAAAGTCGCGGTTGTTCACACGTTCGCCATTCTCTTGTCGTGCTTGAATCCATTCGAGTATACGCGAGTGCGCTTCCTTATTTCGTATAGCTGATGTTCGTTCACCGTTGGGTTTTTGATATAACCACGAGGCGATTGTTGATGGTGCGACTTGAAATAACTTTGATGCTGCTTTAACACCATGCTTTTCGGCGTATTCGTGTATCATTACTTTCTGTTCAGGTGAAACAAGTTTGTACGAACCGCGAATACGCTTTTGGGCAGGTCGTTCAACTTTACGTTTTCTCTTATTATTCGAATAATCGGCTTGATTCGTTACAGGCTGTACTAATGACGAAGGTGAGGATGGTAATGATGACGAATCGACAGTTGTTGCAGGTAGTAATTGTTGTTGAACTTTTTTCACAAAAGCCGAAGCAAGAGAAATACCATTTTGTTGCAGCTGCTGTTGTTGTTGTTGTTGAACGGCAGCAGCAAATGCATCGAATTTTCCCAGAATCTTTGATGATTCATTCAGTTGTCCTTTGAGTTTCAGTGTCGGGGGTGTAATTGGCGTTGATGAATCGTTCGGATCAAGTTGTGGTAGAACAGCCATGAAGTCCTAATGAAAAGCGTGCAACTTACTTTCAACAGAATCACAAATTGAATTCTACTTACAGCAATCATACTTTCATCAGCAGTGTAGTCGATCGAATCCATTTTCTGGTTATGTGGATTGTTCAGTGTATTTGCAACTGAACCTAATGGCGGTGGTGCATGGAAAGTGCTTGTTTTCTGTTCACTCATCGAAATAGAAAATGGCTAAAAGGAAAGAAAAAAAAGCGTTTTCTTTTCTATTAAACTTGCAAGTAGTGGCAAGCGTTTTCTCTCTCGCGAAAAAAAAGTTCATCCGAAAATTTGTGTATTCATACCAATAAAGTGAACATGATTGATAGACGAAAAGAGAGAGTATATATATGAACAGATGGCAACAGCTTATTTTTGTAAAGGGCGCCATTCGTTTTTTATTTATCACTTTTACCTCGGCTTTCGCTTCTCCCTGCTCATGTCAGAAAAAAATCGCTCGCAGAAAAAGTTCACTACCTTTTTTTTCTTCACACTGAAATGAATGACAAAGAAAAGGTATGTATGCAGAAACGGCAGAAATAGAGAGAGAGAGAGAGAAGCAGAGAGTACGACGAACTCTGTTTCTGTTTGCTTCCGAAGTGCTCAATTCGACTTTTTTTTTCATCGAGCGCAAGTCAAAAAAACGTAGAAAGAAAAAGAAAAAATTGTGTTCAATAGTAGCAACACCACTTTTTTTTCTTTTTCTTTTGTATGTCTGTGTCTGTATGTGTTCGTCTTCCTCACTCTTAGTCTTTTTTCTGTATGTGTGTGTGTATATATATATATATGCGCGCATTTGGCGTCTGCAAACATACAACAGTGCGAGTAAGAGTAGGAAGACAGAAGAGAAGGAAAAAAATAGGAAGCCGAAAACGAATGGAAAACACACACACGAACTCTTTTATGCTTTCTCAGAGTTGATTATAGTGAAGGAAAAGAGAGCGAGATAGAAAGAGAAAAGGAGGGCAACCAACTAACGGAATATATATATATATATAATCTCGCATGAGGAAAAGAGAAACAAAGTCGTCTAAAGATGGAGAGTATGTACAAAAAAAATGCACAAACACACAACGGCTATCTTTGAATATTCTCTTTTCTTGAACTATAGCATGCGCGCATTACTATTATGCCTGCATATGTTCTTGCTACGAAACGTTGCGAATAAGGAAAAGAACGGACGCTGTGCAACATCAGATTTTGGTAACGTCGTGGTAGAAATAATAAAAAGAAGAAGAAGAAGAAGAAGAAGAAAAGACGAAGAAAAAGATAAAAGAGTTCACCATTATATTTTCATCATCAACAGATCGGAATGGAAACGATAGGATGTAGGAAGATTAAGTCAAAGAATATAAGAGAACGAACGTTGCTATTCAACAGAATGGGAAAGTTTAACAGCATATTTTCGAGTTTAATTGTGTTCCGACACACATTATGGAAAGCAAGACATACTCGACAACGACAAAAGAAAGAGAAGAGGAGAAGACGAGGCGAAAAAGCGGACGGGATAGAAAAAAGTGTGTTTGTGTGCTTCGCGCTCGGAGAGTTGACGACCAATGATGGCGGTAAGAGAAGTAGCATCTTCTATTCTGCTGTAATGTTGTTCGTCGGGAACGAACGACAGCGCGCACACATACACACACACACACACACACAATGATGAAGAGGAAAAGTTAAGTATAGTCGTATAGGTTTTTCCGTATCGCATCTGTTCTCGTTGGTGTATTTACTTTACGTGTGTGTGTGTGTGTATGTGTGCTCTCTCTCTGTCGGAGACTACATGGAGGCAAAAAGTCAGGCATGTGTGCGAAACGATGACGAGCAAGTTATATTGAGGAATATGATCTTTGGCTATGTGCACACGCGTAATAGAAGAGCAATGTCATTTTCGCACTATTCACAGAGAAAAAATGAATGATGAATGAATATGAGATAGAACGGAAATGAACGTGTGGACAAGTACAGAACTAGAAAGAGCTCTTCGTGATAATCAATATATCATGATCGATTACACCGTTTCCATATAAAGTCCATAAAATTTATTTTAAATAAAAAATCCGACAAAAACTACTAATAAAACTAATTTGACAACTCAATTATGTTTATTTAATTAGCAACAAATCTAGAAGTAAAATAAAACAATTTGTATTATTGATGTTCGTATGAACTGCAGGCTTTTCGATCGTCTTTGGTTTCTTATAAAAACGAGTGCAATGAAATCTAATTCTGATTTTCATAAAACGAAACTTGGCCATTAGTGATTATTCATTACTGACGTCAATTGATGTTTATTTTTGTTAGCTACGCTTGAATTGATTCAGATCTTATCCAGAGGATCATCGAGGTATATATATATCGAGAAAGACACCTGAATATTTCAAAATCCACAATCAGTTTCTTCGTAAATACACTCAAATAAAGACATGGGAGCTCGACAAGGCCGTGTGAATTACGATCAATGGGACACAAATAATATTCAACAAGCTACTGGCTTATCTCCCCAACAAATTCAACAACTTAAACAGCAATTTTTCAACGCCGCTGGTCGTGATGGAGTGATCAGTAGAAACGAATTTCCTAATGTCTATTCAAGCTTGTACGGTGGACAAGGCTACATATCACCCGATCAAATCGAACGTATCTTTCGAACATTCGATCGTGACAATACCGGTTCAATCTCCTTCGATGAATTTCTAAATGCTATGATCATGAACAATCATAACATGCCTCGCCAAGATCGTATTGGCTATGTTATTCGTCAGAATAATCCCGGACGTGGTGATGGCCGAATTTCAGCACAGTATGGCCATCAAGTGTTACGCCGTCTCAATGACTATTACAATTTACCACCAGGCACTGAGCATCAATGTTGGAAACAACTCGATCGCCAAAATCGTGGTTATGTCACGGAACAAGAAATGATGGGATACATCCGTCAACAAGAAGGTTATAGTCGCCGTTACCGTTAGAATTTCAACTGAATCTATAGACTAGCTTTGCTCTTTTTTTTGAGAACTTTTCTTCCTAACCATATTAATTTATTTTCGCACTATAAATAAAGTACCAACTCGCTCATTTATAATAATTGCACGAAAAGTACCTTTTTATTTTTATATATGCACTGCGAGATCATTTACCTGCAGCAGAAAGGAAAATAATCGTGAAATCATTCTTATTCATCTCGGTGTTGAAATGTATAAATAAATGACACATCAATGTTACACCTTGAAATATAAAAATTTCTCCACGTCACATCTAACTATATATTTCTGTACTATGGTTTTGATTGATACTTATTTGTTTGCGTAGACAATATATACACAATTTAACAGTTATTCATCAGTATATTCCCATGGGATCTCGTTCAAGTCGTGTTAAACATACCGAATGGGATCTGGATCGATTAGCAGAAACGAGTGGTTTATCACGTAATGAAATCGATCGTTTACTTATTGATTTCAAACAAGCAGCTGGTCGTGATGGTGTTTTGCAAATGCAAGAGTTCATTCCATTGTATTCTCGACTTCCAGGCGTGCAAATATATGGCACAGAACGCATGGAAGAGCAAGCACGTCGAATTTTTCGAACATTTGATCGTGATAATACGAATACTCTTTCATTCGACGAGTTTCTCAATGTTATTGTTTTAGTCAACCATACTCTTCCGCGTCACGATCGTATAGGTTATCTTATTCGTCAGAATAGTACTGAGAAACAGCAACATATGAATGGAATGATTTCATCTCAATATGGACATCAAATTCTTCGTCGCATTTGTGATTATTATGGCTCATCGACTGGACAAGAACATTTGTATTGGAAACAAATTGATCCAGAAAATCGTGGTTATGTTACACACGAAGAATTTGTGAATTTTATTTCTCGACATCCGGATTTTAATCGAAAATAATTCGAATTATTATACAAATATTAGTTCTATCGTTCAAATAAACTGATGGGTGACGGTAAAGTTTCCTTTGATTTCATTTCTTATGAGAAATGCTTGTCTTTTCCGTTCTGTCTCATTCCAGAGATTTCTTTTTTTTTTTATGAAAAGGTAAATAGAAATCGAGAGTCTCTTGTTTGAACTTTATTATCAGTAGTGTATAGAAAACCACTGTTGTAACATATTGAAATAAAAACGTTCTCCGGAGTAATATACTTCATTTATCAATGTATTCTTGACTAAATACTTAGTTTTATTTGAATCAATTCTGGCGACTTGTGCTTGCATCCTCTGCTTGCGATACTCGCTGGTGACGTTCCATTTCTTGTTGAATCAATTTCTGACGGGTATGCGGCGGTAAACCAGGATTTAAACTCATCACATACGGTAACAATGTTTTCGGCAAATTTTCGAAATCAATCAGTATTCGAATAAACATAGTATTGTTCCTAACATAAGGATTGTTCACTTGTTCGAAAATGTATAATGGTACGAAATCGGGTATTTCAGTAGGCGTATTCATATCCAATTGTGGCCTTTGAGAACAATTTGATTGCTCATCGGGTCGAATTGTTCGAATAATGTGACGCTGTTGATCGGTTTGGTCAAGCAAACAGAACGTCACTTCATAGTTAAAAGGATAAAAAAGTACTGGGTCATTGGTGCTTCGCATGACTACAAAAGAAATAGACATGTGTGTGCCGAATGTGTTTTCATCACCGTATGGATAAAGACGTGCACAGGTCTTGTAACCTGTCGGCGACGAATAGAATGCCGACGAATAAATCGAAATTTTATGTTTGGTTCGAGCTTCAGCTAAATATGTATAATATGCCAATCCTTGTATTAGATTGGTTGTTACACATGTACGTACTCATCTTTTGTCCAATATCAGTCAGTTTCCACAAAAATGTTCCGTCGTACGAAGTTGACTGATATTCTGCAAGTTGCTGTTTTAATTCGGAACTTTCTTGTTGAAGAATTCCCATAGTAGTACTATGCGTCTTTACCGATTCGTTAGATTCTCCATGTAATGCGTTTAATACTTGTAAATATTGACCTGTTGTTTCAATTGATTGAGATTGCTGTAAAAACTGATCGTTTAACTTTTCCAAACCTCTATTTAATACTCTAACGCTATCGGCAATATCGATAATCGTACCTGTGACACACATCTGCTGATCAGCTGATGAACTCGCAGTGGTCACAGATGGAATCGTGGTATCCAATGATTGTAAATCTTTGTCAAGAGTATCTTCATAATGGCTTTGACCGGAGATGGTTGTAATACTCTGTGATACAATTAACGCGAGAGTTCTTTGATGTATTTCGCTACGATAATGTTCAGATGCTTGGCTACGCAAAAACTATCCTTGACAAACAAACGTGAATGTGTCAGACATATTTAGTATTATATACTTGTTCCTTGCAACCGAACGGTTGAAGTATGCAATTTATGATTACATTCGGACATACATTTTCTTTGTGTTGATTGAGTGTTACTGCTGAATCGAACGTTTCGCAGCAGTGCAAACATTCGTAAATTTCATGAACTTTCTCAAGATGAGTCTTTGAAAGAAAAAAGAAACGAAATTTGCTAATACTTCACAAAGTGAAACAATGGGAATACTTGGTAATCTTTTAAAACACCTAACCATTCACATAAATAGCAAGAAGAATGTAATTCATATATTTCACTTTCAAAATCATTATCTTGTTGAATCTTGCGTAAAATAAGATTAGACTCTATGTGATACAGAAGACGGAAACAATGAAAAGTACCTGCGAAGCCAATGTTATCTCATGACATTTAGGACAGTGAACGCTGAGGAGAATGGAAGATTTCAGATAAAGGATATACAAGACTGAATCCTTACTTCCGGTCTATCGCAATACATCCGAAACAGATATGATGACCACAAACAAGCACCATTGGACGTTTCAGAATCAATCTACAGATCAAACACTTAAACTTTTCATCGACAAGACCTGCGGCTTTTATAGCAAAGCCAGCCTTTGTAGAAGCACTCTTTACAAAAAGTATCGAACACGCTAAATTCATTTTTGGTTTCAAAAAGCCTACCATAATGAATTGCAACAACGTATGTATATATCAAGATAAATAGACTATGACCTAAAAGAAAGGACAACTTGTATTACACTGTAAGCGTTATGGTATTTACCAAACACTATGTACTGCTACGAAAGGAAGTAAAAGGTACATTAAAAAATTAATCATTTTGTAGTGATAACATCATGTTTGTCGATTGTAAACAATATCGTTATGATACTCACTCAGAAACACGACGGTTGGAAGTTTCGTGCTTTCTGTTTGACGAATATAATCACCGTATCGAATAACAATTCAAAACTTTGTTTCAGATTGTAAACAACTCGTGCAGCACACGTGGACACAATAGTTAATTCTTCTTGCAACGACAATCAACGGCGAAAATTCACCCAGCGTCTTGAATAGCAAACGATTTGCAGCATTAAAGGGTTTAGTAAACACATTAGAAGGAGTAACTTACTTCGCCGATAGTTAATGCTATCTATTGTTCTTGATAATACGGAATAGTACTACAATCGAAAATGTGTAATGACCATACATAGAAAAAAGTCAATATATACTGATAGCGAAAAGGTCAATTGAAAGAAAAGAATATAAATTCCCCACCCCTCAAGATGGGATAGATGATTGTCGTGAATGAGAGAAAATTCCGATCAGTAGCCTATAGTTGCTTGGCAAATTCATTGTAGTGAATCATACAATGGATTTTTTCCTTTTCTTCTGTCATGCAATTATACGAACGTTAATAGATGATTTTGTCATGCATTTGTTTGATTATTTATACAAATATGTTTTGTTCGAAATTGTCACTAAACGTTACCTGCAATCTACAAGAAATTCATATTGAGTTTTAATTTCTAAAAATTTTCTCTTGGAAAAGTCTTCGCAGAAAATGTTTGCTTAGTTTTTAACAATTAAAAGAGGCGACTTGGGGGTATGGCAAGTGGTCAACTTGAACGAGAATTCAACGTACTTTACGAACAGATAGTTAGGTTTTTTCTCTGAATTGAAAGCGAATCATGAGAGACAAGTTCTCGTTAATAACTAAAACAAATCACTAACTGTGAAAAATTTTTCGCGATTTTTATGATACTTATATTTACATGAAAAGAATGAAAACTACGTAGTTACCTGAAGCTGAATATGCTAACGAATTAGGACGCTATTGTCTGTATGATGGTATCAATTTTTTCCGGTTGTTTATAATTCATCTGAAGAAGATTTAAAGATAATTTTATTTTGTTATATTACATAGAATTCAATGCTCTACAACAAAAGGATTTAGAAAAACGGCCAAAAAAAACAAGAATTTTTCACGAGATTACAGTTTACATGATGAACTACAGCGAAATGAGTGGTTGAGGATATAAGAAAATCTACGAAGAGTAAAGTGAATCGCACATTCTGTGGAATAACTTCAATTCTACAAAAAAAATGTTTTCAAAATTTGAATTCAAATGCTTTTGAGAAAAACTACACTTCTTAGATCATTCTATACCATAGTCAATAATACCCATTAACAAAAATCTTTATCTCTCACGATCCGCTTTCAGTTTTAAAGAAGAAATCCAAACATCTGTTCGTAAAGAGCGTCGAATTCTTGAATTGCTTCCCACTCACAAAATACTAGATAAATACTTGTGCAAAGACCATTGTACTAGAAAACTCCGTATGTTTGTTATCGAACTCATCTATCCAGCCTCGCAGTAACGTATCGCTGACATGCATTCGATAATAGATTAATTACATGAAAATATTCTCACCCACCCTCACATAAAACACGTACTCTGGATATTTTTCCCCACAAACACTGCTTGGAAATTATATTGACAATAAAATTAACGGGATGCGTATATTTTTATGTAAGTGATATGTTATCATAGTTGGTTTTTTCTCATTTGGAAATTTCTCACATGTACCTACATGGTGACTCATTTTATATATTTATCAAAAACCATTAGACGTCTAATTGGAGATGCTATATTACCGTTTCACAGATGCTCTGGTTGATTGATGACGGTAGGTAGTACAATTTTCTCGAAGTCGGCAAATGAATTACTCACAAAAGTAGGAAGTTGGAATCTGCATGGAATGTTTATTCAAACTCATGAAATACATTGTTATGTAAAAGACTTCGCTCATGATCAACAAACCATCTGACAATTTTCGATGGCATTTCTATGTACACGTAGTTTAGCTTGTTCGCTGATTTTTTTTTTCATTCTTTCGAGAAGTATTCGTATTGAAATACAACGTAGTTCGTGAAAAAAGGTAACAAATGTCATAGAGTGAACAGTTAAACTAAGAATGTACAATGGATGAACAAAATATTCAGATTTCGACGATATTTTTCGCATGGAAATAGGGAGAATAGTCTCATTTACATTTATTTAAAACTTTTCTTAATAGGCACTCAATTGCATATCATAATAATCTTTTTTTTTCCTTCTGGCAAAATAATATAAGTATATTTCGGTAATAATATCGTTTCATTCGTCGATGTCTGTTCTCAATTGCAGACGAAAAATACAAAAAAGAAATCTTAATATGCATTCAGATCAAAGAATAATCGACTAGGAGCGATAAAAACATCAATATTCATAACAATCTACTCCAATTTTGCTCTATAATCGCCATATCTCCATAGACTAGTGAATGCGATAATCGAGTCAAATGGTCGAAAATAGTTCGACAGTATCACCATCTGATTCGCAAGAGTTCCGTATGACTGTCAAACCTCAACGGACTCGTTCAATTATCCGAGAATTCAGTCTAAACACCTCAACACACGGCATTCCAGGTATTGCTCGTAGTGAAAGTAAACACAATCGAATCTTTTGGTCTATATCGTTACTTATTTTCACTGGTGCAATGACATATTTCATAGTACAAGCCATTCTAGCTTATTTTGCATATCCAACGCAAACATCTATATCGATTACTCATGAATGGCCACAAGCATTTCCTGCAGTGACCATTTGTAATTACGCTCCGTTAATTTATGATCGATTCATCGAGTCATTTTTAAACTATACGAATTCACTTCAATTGATCAATACTAGTGATACAACTAATTTTACTATTGAACAAGCTTCGTACATTCAAGATTATTTGACATATAAACTCAATCATAATGAATCTTTACACGATTTTTTCTATCCTCTTGATTCGATGTTGATCTCATGTTCCTACAATCGATTGACATGTACAGCAGCTAATTTCACTTGGTTCATCTCTTCAAGCTATGGTCTATGCTATACATTCAATGCAAAACTAAAAGATAGTTTCGGAAATACTCTAAAATACAATGCTGACAATGGAGAGAACGGCAAACTCGAATTACATCTTTACATTCATCAACATCAATATGTACCCTACTTATCGAATGGTATACAGAGTGTGGGTTCTAAAATATTCTATATGTCTTTCTTATTTCAGGTGTTGGAGTGGTGGTTTTAGTTCACGACAATCAACAAATGCCTTTCATTGAAATGATAGGTATGCTGCTCGCACCTAGCCGCCATCATAAATTGGGCTATCAGAAGAAAACAAGCTATTTTTTGCCAGCACCGTACACAACATGCAGTGATCAGCTTACTTTGGGAATGCAAGCCATGTTCAATGAATATCATGACACTGATTATGGATATTTCGAGCTTGCGTGTTTTGCTGCTTGTATACAATCCTATACGTAAGCAAATGAAAAGATAATTTGATTTGCATTGTGTGAACGCGAGAGAAAACTTGTTTTAGATATCAGAAATGTAAATGTGGGAATCCATTTCGATGGACTGCGCGTTTCATTGTACTGCCGGGTCATGACGAAACAATTAATATACCGCTTTGTAATGTCAGCGATCCATGTTATAGGCTAGCAGCAACGGAGATCATGAATACGGCCAGTATTTGGACAACTTACTGTCCGACATGTAAACAAGAATGTATGTTTACTGAATTCATAATCAAACCAACATCAGTCTTGGCACCACCGACTTATTTGTTGGAGAATATTAAACAATTTGTTGAGTCATCTCAAGTTCCACTACCGGTGAATTGGTCAACATCATGGATGTCAGAGATTGCATCAAGTTATGTATCGGTGGAAGTGACATATGAAACGACTCGAAGTGAACTTTATTCTCAACAAGCAAGTATCAGTGCTGTTGATGTTATTTCGAATGTTGGTGGAAACACAGGTCTCTGGATTGGAATTAGTTTTTTATCATTGATGGAACTTGCCGAAATGATTTATCGACTTGCGCGTGTACAATGGTTTAAACTTCAAACAGTTATGCAACGTAATAAACAATAAATTTATGTATTTTAAAATGATTTCTCGTGTTTTATCTTATAGTGAGAAAATAAAGTATTCTTTCAGTACAAACCCAGATATGGCAATGACGTATTCTCTGACTTATTGTTGATATATTGCTTGCCTAGCATTCCTGTTGTCATCTGTGTCTAGGACGATCTATTATCTAGATAGCTTCGAAGAAGTCGTGCAAAAAATTCAAGACTTCGAAATTACTGCGATGTCCTTTGTTTGATTAGACATCGTTTACTATAGTGCTCTGCTCATATATCTTTATATGAAATTAGATTTATATTATGCATAAGAAGAGATGAAAAAGTAGACGAAGAAGAAGAAGAAGAAGCGATATGTAATATTAACGAGAGAAGAAAAAATGTATGCTTTTTTTTAACATAGTGAAGGTTGAGGGAAAAGGTTCACACGTATAAGAAAGAAAAATAGAACTGAAGTAGAACAAAACGACTTTCTTTCTTATTGTTCGAGAAGGTTATTCCTGTTGAGTAAGACGTCCTTCGGAATGTCCTTTCTCGATCTTAATGTAGATATCTACCGAATGACCAAGGCTGTGATAAGCGATTGAATGTTTCATGTTTAAATTGTTGAAGATTACGAAGTGTACGTAAAGAGTTGTCAACTTCACGGCGAGCTCGACGCTAAAAAGTGTAACATTTGTGAAATCGATGTATTTATTCGCATTCGAAATTACTTACAGAATCCACATCGAAATGGAACCATCGTGGAGCAACACCAGCTTTATCTTCTAAGAGCCATTCTCGGCTTGCATCTATTCTGTCTTGATTCTCATAGATTTTATCTAACGTCTCATCATTTTGTGCTTTTAACTCACTAAAGTAAACAAAAAAAAAGAAAAGAAATTCCTCTTGACATACAGCAATAAGAAAAATATCCCAAACGTACTATGCTCTTTCGACATTATCTTCCGCTTTCCAATAACTTGGTTTATGTTCCACAGTTCTTGTTAAACCATTATACTGAACACCAACATTATTGACACCTCTCTTTTCGAATTGAACATACTACATATGTAAAGAAATCGAATGAACTTCTTTTTTCTTCATTAACTGAAATAAATATCCTTACTGTACGTCCGAAGTAATCTTTAGGATTGTCAAGACGTGTGACACCACTACCGCCAACGCGTGAATCAATTGCACGTCGAACATCATCTCGTGCTTGGCCAATATAATCACCGCTTGTAATCGCTGAAAATGTTGATGGCGTACGGTAACGCATTTGTCGTAATTCACGTGTATAATCGATATCACGCATAGCACGTTTCAAAGACGAGACACGATCAATTGAACTATTAAAACGATCATTATACGATGAATTAGTACCAGCGGCTGAATAAAGTGCAGGCGAACGGTAACTATGAAGTGGTCGATAGCGCCAATCATCGTGTGGAAAATTATAATAAAATGTGCGTGGAGCTGTATGATACCAATAATAAGGCCTGTAATGTGTGTAATGACTATCGAGAGCGATTGGAGTTTTATCTCGAATACGCTCTGTGTAACGATCGAAATAATCGAAATCATGTGTACCATAGGCGGAATACGGACGTCGTGCTCTTAAATGATCAAAGCGACCTACCGATTGTGCTCGGCTGTAACCCCCACCGGTTAATTCATCATCGACATCTTTAAATCGAGCTACCGAAGTAGCTCGAAGAGTGCGATTTAATGCTCCGTAGATATCGGGTGTATGAATATTCAAACGGGTTGAATAGCCGCCTCCACCAGTACTTGATCCAAATTCATAAATTGATGAAGTTCCTTCACGTCCGGGCGTTACGCCACGGAGGCGGCTCATTGAACGGGCTCGGCGGGACATATTCGTCTAAAGATGAAAAGAAATTTTCACAGATCGTCTCTTTTGTTTACTGATAGTTTCTCTGTCGAACAACAAGAAATTCTTGTCGAGCGTGTATTCTAAGATACTAGTTTCTATCTATATGTTTGTATGGATAGTGTTTATTCAGCGTTAGTGTATTGACGATCTGTTTTTTCCTCTGTTTGTCTCGATAGTATACATAAGCCAGTCATTTTTATGCATATGCGGTTTTTTGTCCATTTCTTTCTTTTTTTTCTCTGATCGACCTTGGTGCTGACAACAACATTTACGGCTTGTGTACTGCGTCAGAAAGAAAAGAAGGACGCTTTGATATCTTTCTTTGTATAATCAGGGATGTCGTCAGCAGTATTTTACTAGATAACTAGCTAAAATATCACTGACGCCAACGTATATTTTTCGGTCGTCGACTTTATTTCCGATCGGAAGATATTGTTCTGTGTATAACAAGCGGAAACCTCTAATATAGTATTGCTATTCAGCCTAGTAGGAAAGAGCAAAAGAAAAAGAAGAAGCAGAAAATAGATGGCTGTTTTTGTCATTCTGATGTATTTAGGGTGATATCGAAGAAGCACGATGACGACAACAACACCAATAACAAAAATAATAATAATACTCGAGATTTTTTTATTCGATTATTTTAGAACCGTCGTGCCCTTTAGTTAAGATTTGATCGATACTTATTATTCGTATCAAAATATTGAGTATTGATGTTAAATTACTCAGATACAATGGAGCGCAAAGTTGACAATACACGTAGGGGATTATATAGCAAACGGTTGCTCTCTTTATAGACAGCAGTCGATTATTCGGACATTTGATAGACATTGCGCACATAGCAGTTTAGGAGTTAGGATGAATTTTTTGGAAAACAGAAAGTTGCATTGGTATGCTTATAACTGCCTTTTTATATGTCTCACCGTACTTAAAACCAACAGCTGCATATGAATGTTAGGAGTTTCAAAAATATTAATCTGGCGGCTAAACATTCACACAATAAAAACAGTTGCTGATGCATTGATCATTCTTCATGTTCATGAGCTGCTATTTAGTAAGCTTTGTGACTGTTGTCTTTCATTCTTGCATTCAGTCAAATCTATTCAAGTTGTAAAAGGCGAAAGGCCCCGGATGGAAAACTATCCAGTAGGCGAAGAAATACTATCTTTGTATACTAAGTAGAATCTCTATCGATCTTGTACGAATGCAACGACAAATAAAATCAAATATGATCAACATTCAGAAGTTCGATTAAATGCTATGAACAAAATAACTTCCGGATCAAAGATTTGAACGATTATAGTTCAATTCATTGTGATCCTTACAGTCTATATATACATGTTAACGATTCATGCCTATGTAGTGACCTTTCGCTTTAAAATCTCCCTTGCGGCAGATTGATAATACAACAGTGTCGTTTCCAATTAAAGCGTCAGTATTATAAGCTTAATTTATTTTCGAAAGGAGCAGTGATTGGAAGCAAGTATTTAACCAAATACGATACACCGAATCATATGCAACTTATATGTTCTATTTTCTTTTAGAAAAGAAAGGTACCTCCAGAGTTTTATTAAATTCAACAATTTGTTTCTATTTGCAATTACCTATGTAAATCAATACTCTTTTGTTCCATTGTCAACGACTATCAATCAGATATTTAGACTAGAAAATTCATCAGTCGATAGCTATCCGTGTATAATAAGTCAATCAGAGAGTAGCAAAGAGTATTTTTTCAAATGGCAATCGATGAAGTGAGCTATAATGTGAATGATATCTGTTTTGAACGTGTAGAGAAGATAGATGGTACCATATTGATCAGAAATATTATTTAGTTTTGGAGTCCATTAGTATTATGTGATAATAATTGGAATAGTTGAGAAAGCCTACCGGTAGGTTGGTTTTATGTGCACTCTTAAGTTCAAGAAATGATAATGATGATGATCTTCGTCATAGATTTGCTATACACTTTTTAATGGTTTTCCTTTTCTGCCATAAATGTATGACTTGAAATTTGAATTCGACTATTTCTAGTATTCAATATCAAAGTGAGGATATGGGGTGGGTGCACACTAGTGGAATACTTGAGCCCATCTTTCAAGTTTGAAACTATTGGATCGAACACATTCTGTTTTCTATGAATATCATGGGCTGACTTTGATGCGTTCATCAATTCATAATACTGTAATGTATTTGAGAAAAACATTTTCATATCTATTCGATTGACACGATCAGTTGGATTAGAAATGCTCGGGTTGTTCTCGAAGAAACTTTCATTTGTATTAATCAGAAAGGCGGTAATTAACGTTTTTATCATATTCATGGTAAAAGTTTTTTGTGAAATAAACGAAGAAAGATAACACAATCTAAAAATTGATCCGTTATGGACTAGCCTTCTTCAACTATCACATTGGCACATTTGGTGCGTTACATATTATAAAAAAAATAAACAGATCTCTACAATGATCTTTCTTTCTCACATTGTCTTGCGCTGTGAGTTGTTATTTTCTGTCATTCATTGATAGTTCTCTTGAATGTTGAAGAATCAATTCACCAGCTGTGTTTGGTACTCGAACGATCATTACTTTTGTTGGAGGTTGTTGAACGACAACTTTTGCTGTTGGAACCGGTACACGTCGAAAGAAAATCGTGTCTGTTGAATCTGAGTTCACTTTTGTTTGAGTTTCAATTGTTGTCGAAGGTTTCTTTGATCGATCAATAATTGTATGTGTTTTTGCTTTGGCAGGTGGATTTTCTTCAGTTTGAACTGCAACTGAGGTATGTTCGGGTAGAAAAATAGATTCAGTAGATATTGCTTTCGTTGGACTGTATGATGGAAATTGTATGGGTGATGAAGCTGTTTCTTGCATTTCTCGAATATCTCTTGGATTCGTATCGACATCCTTGATATCTAAGTCTTCGACATCATCAGTATAATATGTATCGTGATCAACAAGAGTTTCTTCTTTGGTCAGTTTCCATGATCGATTACGTGTTTGTTTGAATATGCTAATAAGTATAAGAATAATTCCAATCAGACATATCACAGCACCTAGGACAATGCCAATAATCTTCCAGATTTGTGTATTAGGGTCCGCATCTGTAATAATAAATGTTTGTTATGAGGGACATTAACAAATCACTTACTTAAATATATAGCACAAACCACTATTCCACCTAGAACGAAGAGTTGTAAGTAATCTGTTGAACAAAGGAACAAAAAAAAATTACGAACCAACTCCAATAAGAACGCACAGAACTAAGAAAATATAGAGACAAGCAACACCACATATGTTTAGAGTACTCGAGCATATACTCGGTTTCAATCTGCGTTCTCTTTCTTCTCGCCTCTTTCGTTTTGTTCGCTCGGAAACTTTTGGAATAATTTTCTAAAATGAAACGTATGAGCTTTTTCTAAGATAAATTAAATCCCTAGGATACATACATTTTCAGTGGTGACTACCACTGGTTGAATAGTGGATTTTTTATTTCCCCGCACTGGCTGTCTCAAAGGCTTCATTTAGAATGAGAAAAGAAAACGGCAAGCATGCATTAAATGAAATCTTGTGATGTTGTTCTTTTTGTTCTCGAGTTGTCTCACTTGTGAAAAGAAAACAGCTTCTAATCGTTCTTGTTTCGAATTTTATTCCATTATTTCGTTTAGAATACCTACAACTGATCTACTTAATAGCATGGTAAATCATTCGATTCGATTCCGAACTAGACTTAGCAGAATGGTTACACATGATTTCACATTCTGTCAATATTAAACATGAACATCTGTCGTTCTCCTCCTTAGACAAAAACAAACAATTTCTTTCCGTTGCTATGACAGATTCTGTGTTTCACATCGCCTGTGCGATGAGTCAATCAAACATTGAGTGTGTAATGATGACTGCGTGATCGACAATTCGATGTGATTTCTACGCATCGTTTTCATTGCTAATGAAAAGCGACGTTTTCGAAAAAAACATAACCAAGCGCTTTGATCCAAACCGTTCTCGCGGCAGCTGTCGAGATCCGCGCACCGATAACATATTATTTTCTCTTCCCTATGTACATATCAATATGAAAGAAACATAAAAAAAAGACTGTAAAAATGCGATTATTCATGAATTTATCGGCGCAGAGTGTATTAAGTTCCACCTTGTTATTTATCGATCGCTATTACGAGCTAAACTATTCTATCGTTTGAATATAAAAAGCGTTTGGTTTGAAAAACAGCAATGTTGATATGCAAAGAAACCTCTACTCTAGCAACAGCTGTATCAGACATATGATGCAGAAGAATTCGACACGAAATATACACGTTTTTGACTTTGATTCTGACGAGACATTTTGGAATTTAGATACACCAACATGACGGACAATATTCAAGATATGATAGCTTCTAAAGCCGAAGAATTGTTTAATGTATGCGATAAGGAACAGAAAGGTTTCATTATTAAGAAAGATATGCAACGTCTACGGGATGATTTGGGTGTTGAACCTGAACAATTAGAAGATGTTTTTGATTCATTAGATATCGATCATAATGGTTTTCTTACACTAGAAGAATTTACCTGTGAGTAAAGCTGACTTTTGTGTTTCTTTCATTTATATGAAAGAGCTGGGTTTTTGTTTTCGTTTAGCCGGTTTTGGAATGTTTCTTGGAAATCAAATGAAATGTAGCAATGATGATGAGCAAGAATTCGTCGGACATGAAGTCGATGAGAAAGAAGAGGAGAAACAAGTATTTCAAGATGCTTTGGAAACGTTAGGTGCAAAGAATTTGTATGATGATGAAGAAACAATCATGGGATTGTGGATGAAATTACGTGAAACTGATCCAACGTTACTTCGACAATTCGAGCAATTTATCGGAAAAGTGACTGAAGAGATCAAACGTTCGAAATCTGATCACCGTAGCATTGAAGCGGCGTTACAGAGTAAATCGAATGTATATAATGACGAAATAAAGAAACTTTATGACGAAATGGAACAGCAAATAAAAACTGAAAAAGCCAAAGTTCTCGAAGAGGTAAACTTTGATTAGAAATGATCAGTGAGCAAGTTTTGGTTCTTTTTTCGTTTGTTAGGAAAAATTGAAGGAACGTGAAATTCGCGAGCAAATGGAAAAAGAACTGCGCATCAAAGAGCAACAGTTAGCCGATATAACAAAAAGTCAGAAAGAACTGGAATTGAAACTACTTCACACGAATTTGAATGAAGCAGAAACGAAGAACGATAACGATCGACTACAAAAGGTCTGCTCTGAATTTCCAAGATTGTTTGTCAACAAATTGTTTGTGTATTCTACAGGAAAAGATACAGTTGGAACAACAATTACAACAGATCATTCAAGATTTAGAAGATTCAAAACAGTACATCTCACAATTACAAATCCAAACGAAAAGAGAAAAACGTGATCGTGCAAAGTTCGTCGGAGAAAGTATTGAGCAAATGAATATTGATTTTATTTAGACAAACGTTGAGTTTGACAGAAAATCTTGCCATTGAACGTGAAAATTTGGTCAAAGAATTGGATACACTCAAGTTTGTTTGGAAAGTCTTTTTCGAAATCAAACCTAATTTATATTTTCTAGAACTTTAAACAAACGATTGGTTGATGAACGCGATATGCACCACAGTGCTAGTGTAAGTTTCTCTAAGAAAAAAATTCGTTCAATACAACGTTTTATTTTAGTCGCAAGGACGAGATTTATCTCCAACACATCATACATTACGCCGACAGGGTTCGGTTCTGTCAGATTATTTTACTTCGCCGCACAGGTATAGTTGAGAATGTCATCAAATCGATTTCTTAGCCGAAAAGCAGAAAGGTTGATCTTGATAATTGATACAGAAAATATCGTCCATATGTTCGATACGAAAGATACAGACTGATATTACCAGGACATTTCGAAAGGTTAGCAATCGCATGGTTTTCTGATCTGGAAAGATGGTTAATGAGATTTTCAATCGAATGATGATGATTTATATGACACAAATGCAACCTACGTAATGTTTTATCTGTAGAGGTGATAGTGAACCTGAAGTAGACGATGATGTTGTACTCCCATCGGACAACGATGCAGATTCGAAGCAAAATCAAGGGTAAAAATCGTACTATTGTTATTACGTTATCTTTATTTTGATTGAATATTCCAAGGTTAGGCAGACGTCAACAACCTCTTGGTGCAAGTTCGGTTTTGCAACATTCCGAATTGATGGTAGAGTGAAAAAAATATCGGTCTTAAGAATATATTCTTCTCGTTCAGAATGTTCCCCAGAATGCAGTACCCGATCGAGTGTATAAAGTAGCTTTTATCGGTTGGTTGAAATTGTTTTTTTCTTCGAAGAATTTCTTGAACAATTTTCTTCTAGGTGATAGTGGAGTCGGAAAAACTAGTATTATTCAGCGGTTTTGTACAGATAGTTTCAGAGAAGCTTTTTCAGCAACGATCGGTATCGATCTTCAAGCAAAAATGCTTAACATTGATAATCGTATTATTGCCTTGCAATTATGGGATACTGTAAGGAGATATCTTTCTTTTTCACTCTCTCTCTTTGATAATTATCTTCAGGCTGGTCAAGAACGGTTCGTTACAATTGAGTGCATCTTCAAAAAGCCACTACTTGTTTCTTCAATGATAGATTTCGGAGTATAACAAAACAATATTTCCGTAAATCTGATGGGATTATACTTGTCTATGATGTTACATCTGAGACTACATTTCGTAATGTTCGAGCATGGATGACAAGTATTCAAGTATATGATCTCTCAAGAGAAAGAAAGATATAGTATACTTTTTCGTCTTATTCTTCTAGGAATCGACTACTGAAGATTGTGTGATAGCACTCGTAGGAAATAAGATCGATCTATGCAATGATGATGAACGAAGACCAGTGAAATATAAAGATGGAACAAAATTAGCAGACGTAAATCCTTCCTTTAAAAGAAAACATTCTCCTATACTCTGGTATAATTTGTACGTAGGAGTATGGATGTTTGTTTTTTGAATGCAGTGCTCGACTGGGAACATCAGTCATAGAAATTATGGAAGCTATGACCCGGTAATATTTCAGTACATAAACTTATCCTATAAATTCGATCTTTCTTTTTAGATTAATGCAAGAAAAAGATGATCAATTACGTAACAGTGGAAACACGATTGATGTCACATCTAAAACAAAGAAAAGCAGTTGTTGCTAGTTAAGATACACTTATTATACATATTTTTCGACGGATGTACAACATATCTGTAAAATGAGTATTAATAAATTTCTATTCTACAACCTCAAAGCGAAACAAATCACTGTATTCATTGAATTTGATGGTATCGAAAAGAAAGACAGAACTTTGTTTTATAGTACGATATTTTCTGGCGTAACATCGAGTCATTCTAATTGCAAGAATAACGACAGTATTTCTTATATCAATAAACACATTTCCAATGTTACAATTCACTGCTATAAGCAATCAATGTTTCGAGAGAAGTTCTCCTTTCTCTCTTTTTCTGCGTATACGTATGTATCCGTCTGTCGATCATCTGTCATTTCAACAGCAACATAAACACATAATTATATATTCGGAAAACATTCGCAATTGTCATTAACATGTAAGTGTCATCAAGACATCAGCTTTGAACTTGTGTATGTGTGTGTTTAGAGAAGAAAATGAGGACAGTTTGGACGATTTTGTGTCTTGGTATATTGAATATTTCTTGTCAAAACATCGCGGATATAGTCGAATGTAATAATATTGATATTGATCAAGAAAAATTAGATAAAATGACAATGAAAGAACAAGAAGAATATGTAAGTTAGTTAGGTTTTGCCAGATGTAAAACGATTTGGATTTGTAGGCGAAGTCAATTCTGGATATTTATGATAAGAATCTAACTACTCTTGCTTATATAACCTCGTCATCGGAATTTGAAACACATTTACATTTGAATGATTCGCATAGGAGACGTATTACGGTAAGTGTTTTGCGCGAATACGATTAGCATGGTTTTGTTTGAATTCAGGAGAAGAATTACGAAATTTATCGAGCTTGTTTGAAAACTGTGGCTAACGTTGGACGAAAATTCAAAGATTTGATCGCTCAGAATGAGTCTTCGATACAATGGTTATTATTACGTACACAAGCAATCGGTGATGCCGGAGAAAGTGATACAACGATCAAATTAGAATTACAAAAATTAAAAGCTCGTATGAAAGAAATTTATCATCGGAAATTCGTTTGGAACGGCACACGATTAGGTGTCGATGGTTCGTTCATTCAATTAGACAGAAAACATGTTGATCACTGTTTAAATCGTTAATGTTTAGAAGTACAGGAAACACTTGGTTCACTTGAATCGCCCGACGATTTATTATCGCTCTGGAATGCAGCTTATGAAGTACCGATTCCCATGCGTGATTATTATTCAACGTTGATTAGTGTACAAAATCAGCAAGCCAAACAGAACCGTACCTCAGCAGTAACCCACTCTCATATCTAAATGCTTAAATAAATCTCATCGAGCTTTTCTCTTATCTCATCGATTTTGAGCTCTGACAGTTTTGAAAATATGTGTTCTTGTTTCCCCGGATTTTCTGATTCTTATTTCGTCAATCGATTTTGATTTTCACTCTCTTCAAAGGTTGGACGGATAAAACTGAATCTACGACAAATGATGAAGAACGTCGGATAGTCGAACAGTTATGGCAAGAACTGAAACCATTACACCGACTTCTACATGCTTATATAAGACAACAGATGAGTAAATTGTATCCTGGCCTTATCCAACTTGATCAGCCCATTCCAATTCATTTAACAAGTAACAATTGATTTATAAGAAAATCTTATCCAATGCCTTCTTTGTTTATTTAGAGGATGTTTTCGGTTCGATGATGACATACTTAGAAAAAGATGTTCTACCATTTCCTCATGTCAAAGGAATCGACCTAGGACCGGCAATGAAACGAAAAGTATCGTTTTGTTTGTCTTTGTTGCTTGTAAATGATGATTAAAACGTATTTTGTATTAGAATTTTACCGAAGAAAAAATCTTTCGTTACGCGGATGAATTCTTCGTCTCTTTGAATCTAACTCGAGCTCCTGAACGATTTTGGAATTTATCAGTTTTCAAAAAGATTCCTAATCGTCACATGGCTTGTCATCCAACGGCATTTGATGTGTACAAATACGACGATGTTCGGTATAGATTTTTCTCTTCGCTTTAGTCAGTGAATGAGCTTTTTCTTCGCAGAATACGTATGTGTACAACTTTAACATCACGTGATTTTTATGTTGTTCACCATGAAATGGGCCATATCCAACATTATTTGCAATATAAATCATTGCCATTTTGGTTTCGCCGTTCACCACATGGAGCATTTAGTGAAGCTATCGGTGATGCCATTGCATTAGCAACAATGTCGCCGACACATTTAAAACGTATCGGTCTGCTAGACGATTACACATCATCACGTGGTGAGTCTTTCTTCAGATAAAAGCTTCCGCACGAATAATAATTTGTCATTGAAGAGGATACAGTCAAGTTCTTGATATCACAAGGGTTAAGTCGATTGTTCTTACCGCCTTATGCATATGCACTTGATACATGGCGTTGGTCAGTTTACAATGGATCGATTCAACCATTTGAATACAATCGACGTTATTGGGAGCTGGTGTAAACTACTGCGTTTAATGCATAGAACATTCGAGAAACTCGTTTTTCCTCTATTTAGCTGCGAATATCAAGGTATGAAGCCGAGCGAAGCGCGGAACGAACGATACTTCGATGCTGGTACTAAACTTCACGTCGCTTTTGATTTGTCCTATATCAAGTAACGCATTTGGTTTGATTTTCTTCAGAAGAACTTGAAAGATCGATTTAGATACTTTCTCGCTCATGTTTTCCAATTTCAAATCTTCGATGTCCTATGCCGAGAAGCGGGTCACCAAGGTCCATTACATCTCTGTGATCTTCACGGATCGGTGGCTGCAGGAAAAAAACTTAAGTATGTTTCGATATTCTACAGAATTGTTTGCTAAAACGAAACCATTTAGGATCTTACTTGGTTTGGGTATATCCAAACCTTGGCAAGATATTCTAGAAGAATTTGCTGGTGTACGAACCTTTTCTGCTCAAGCATGTTTGCGTTATTTTCAACCGTTGAGAGATTATCTCGAAGAACTAGTTGAACAAGGACAGTTACAAGTTGGATGGACATGTGATACAAAGAATAATTCAAACCGAACAGAACTAGTTCACATATCATATCTTTTATTTTTGTGTATGAGTTTAATTGTATCGAAAAAATTCTTCTGACTATTTTCATGTTGTGCGCAATTTTCTCATAGATTTCTTTAGAAAAGAGAATAAATAGGATTTCTACCATCGAATGATCCAGGTTGACTTCAATATACGTATATTCTATGACGACGAAAGGACGTATTTCGTACTCTGATGACTAATTGAGTGTGCCCACGTATATGCACACCATCGAAAAGTACACTTATGTGCGTTCAAGCATAACTGACTTTTATCCATTTTTCTATGGGCCTTAATAGTAGCAAACTTAGACGAAACTCTTCTCCGACCCCGCCATCTGCAAATTCGATCACTCCACTGTATGAAGCCTGCCGCAATGGTAAGGAAGATGAAGTTCGTACTCTTCTATTGCAATATTCTCTTCACGATTTGAACCGGGCAGAGCCTCTCTACGGTGGTAACACTTGTTTACATGTTGCAGCAGCGAATGGTCATGAAAATATTGTCAAACTTCTTCTAAGACATGGTAGCTATCGTTCAGCTTCGCTGAACAAACACAATCAAAGTGCATACGATATCGCCGAATCAAATACTGAATCAGTGCGTTCATTATTTCTTCGTCAAAACAATACTAAATCAACGGAGAAGTTCTCTTCACGGTTTTATGAAGAAAATTCGTCGGATTGTTTTGATATCGTTCGAGTTGATCGGGCTGAAAGTAGTGATGAAGACAATGGCGATGATACTGATAATGAAAAGTCGCAAAAAGCTCCACGAACTTCATCGATTCAAACTTATAAGAATGAAGATGAGAAAGAACACGCAATTGAATACTCAGCCAGCTCAAAAGCCATGTGTCAGTCACGTGTCGGCCGATTTTGTATCAATCATCTTCATTCCGATGAACCACTAGATCATCATACCATAACTAAACGATTAAATCACATTGTCGAACAAATTCATCGCAATCAATTCGACGATGATGTTAAAATCAGTGACCTAATCGAGCAATACGAAGAAAAACCTAGTTCCATCGAACTTTTACTTCATTTATACACATTAGAAACACCATTCTATCATCAATTAAAAGAAGATTGTTTACCGTTAGCTCTACCAATATTTATCCATCTACCGAGATTAAAAGAACGATATTTCAAAGGGCGTGTCTATCGTGGTATGCATTTAACGTACGAACAACTGTTAGGCTATCAACTCGCAATGGAAACACCAGGTACATTATTACAAACACGTTCATTTTCTTCCACATCGAAGGACCGTCTCATAGCCGAACAGTTTGCTTATGAAACAACGAAAAGTACCAATCAGGATTTACATGTCTTACTGATTTTCGACTTTCCCGAATTTTGTGATCAAGCCATCAATCTCTCGCGTGTTTCACCGGAAATACCATGCTTGAGCGAATACGAAGATGAGGAAGAAGTTTTAATCCTACCTTGGACGTTATTCGAAGTGACACGTGTGCGAAAAGCCAACAACGAAGATGATTTCTATACGATCAATCTGACGAACGTTATTATTCCGAACAAAAATCTTCTCTCGACGTTCAAATGGAGTTGGGTCGAATTGAAGAAGCAATTTGTGAAAGAGAAAAAATTAAAATTCGATTGCGGATTTCAGAAATATAAACCACCAGTGACTCCGAATAAACTGTCAATTTAAAGTTATTTATCAAAACAGAATCGATGAACTTTTCTCATTCTACAATTTCATATAAAAACTTCTCATTTCTGTAGATTTTCACGTTGCCAAATAATCGTCTGCTATCATGAAAGCTCATCTAACTTATATAGAGCATTTTGACATATGTAGTTCTACATGATAATGTGTAAATATCTTTGATGTCATCAGTTACTTATGCATGAAATGTCGGTTAGACTTGTCTTAATTTAGAAAGAGAGAAGAACATGCAGTTGATTAAAATATAGGTAAACTTTGCTTCTATGTTCATGAAAAAACAGTCGATAATGAAGAATAGACATATTAAAAAAAAGTTAGCACGAATCTTTTGACAATGAATTTTAGGAAAAGAACAAACAAGTGACTCATGGTTCGACTTCTTGTTTCGTTGTCGGTGCAGAAAATAGAATAACAATCGAGCCGGTTATTGTCAAGATAAGAAATATAATTAGAAAACATCGATCAATAACAAGAGCAATGAATCGCCAACCTTCGCGTTCCTAAACGAAACCGTTTACTCATCGACAACAACATACAAAGTCGAGTTACGAACCAGATCATCTTTTTGTGCTTCACGTTGTGTTTCACTGATATATCGAATATCTTTTATTGCTTGCTGAATGATTGGAGGATATTTATCAATCGATACTCTTCGAATATAATCATTTAACGGCTTCATATTGGCTTCGTTATTAATTAACATATCATTCTCTTCTATTTGCAAAATCGCATCGGCAATATGTGGTTTAGACATGAAGATAAATGGTGGTATTATCTGAAAGAACCATCGTTTGACCCAATCAGGCATATGATGTGTATTAGGATGACGCCAATGGATATTTAATGTAAGAATGGTTATAAATATCGATGCATTGACAAGAATCAGCGTAAAAAGAAGATATTTGCCGAGTAGAGAGATTTTCAACGATGTCGGTGGAATTAGATCAATCAAAAGAAGATAAAACACTTGTAGAGCGACAAAAATCGATATAGACAATGTTAATTTTTCTCCGCAATCGCCTAAATAACGCATGATTTGACAGTTCGTGTGCGGAAAGCAACGCGTTTCTCCTTACTTGGTAAACAAAAGACTAAAATAGTCAGAAAGGCAATATTAACACATGGAATAACCAGATTAACCATATAAAACAGTGGTTTGCGTCGAATAATTAATGCAAAGGTTACATCAAAATAAGGATCATCTTTGCAACAATCGTAGAGAAGAACATGACGATACGCTGGCTATATAAACAAAGATGGGAGGGAGAGAGAAGTTGATACAAATGATAGATTCACATTGATTCCAAATCAACTTACAACGGCAAGAATATCCCATTCGATCGATTTATAATAGTCTGTTAGATCAATGCCATCTTTAACAACAATCTGTCCTGATTTATGATTGAGATCAACCTAAATGCGAGAAAACGATCGAATCTTCTCTCTTCATTTCGATCATTGAAGTGAATCTTACGAGATTGCCATTATGCGTCCATGTACCGAACTTCAATGAACAGTTTTGTTCGTCAAATGGGTAGTATTGGATGTTAATATCACAATAAGATTTGTATATAACAGGTGGATTCCATCGAATTGTTCCATTGTAAAACTAAATTCATCGTTAAGAGAGAAATACTAACCATCGTATGTTTGCACTTACTACATGCGCTTTTGTTATTGTATTAACCTCGTATGTGCCATCGGCATTGTTGTAAAGAACAATATCAGGCACCCAAATATCCGATGATGGAATTTCTAAAACATCAATATCGCCATAATGACTTGGAGTCCATGTTAACTTATAATCTGACCATTCCTGAAAAGAATGAACTATTTCAAAATTCGCTTCTAATGGAAATTTACGTGTTCAAGCCAAACATTGGTTGTCATGATTTGATTTCGTTCGTCAATATCGGACAATTGTGAGAGTTTCAAACCCAGTGTTACGTTTATTTTTTGATTTATCGATTGTACAGGAAGAACATTTTTATTGTAATCTTTCATCAGTTCATGGAGAAGACGTTTGGCATCGATATTCGCATTGATTTCTAAATCGATTTCAATCAGTTCGATCTAACAGGCCAATTTCGTCACTTACCATCGATTTTGTGATACAATAAGAAGAGACTAACGAAATAGAAATTGAACATGGTTCTACTTCTCAACCAATAGAAGAGTTCTTATTGCCATAGCTAACTATTCAATTGACGAAAGACAAATGGTACTATACTAGTGAGCCATTATTTCTATCTGGTATAGTTTTTTTTTGTATACATAATACAATAAAGCGACGATCGATGGAAAGGCAACAGCAGTAGAAAGAGGACGAGCAAACATCATCATCAGGGAAGGAAAAGAATAAAGAATCAGAATCTTCTATTTTTCTTTCCTCTATTATCACTCGATTGCCAACTATATATCGATGATAGGAATAAGACAGTCAATGTTAGACCATCTAACTTAGTTATGTTTTCCTTCTTCTTCGATGATATTCAATCCCTCTTTTGACTTATTCAATCAGAGAAAGAAGAATTAACTTTATTAGAAAAGAGCTTGCGTCTATCTATTCAGCTCCCTTGAGGAGGAAATCAATCGCAAACGTTAAATCAACATAACAAGAGAGATACTACAATTCTTTGTCATCTGCTTTTTTTACAGAAGAGAAAGAGAAAAAAATGTTGATGAAGGACATGAAGAACAAAGAGGAAAGTCAATTGAAAAAGATTCATCTTCATGATGTTAATGATTGGATTCGAGAGAGTCATGTCATAAGAGATCATATGTATAAGCACAAGTATCTTGATGTAATTTTTCTTCTTGACATCCCGTTCTTCTTAACTTCACTTGTTCAAGTTCGAATTGAGAGATACTCGAACTCGTTTTGCCTTCTCATACAAGAATTCTTCTCCGCATACTTGTTGCTGGAATGAAATATTACAACAGAGAAAAATGCCCATAAAATACATCGATTATCAATGTTGTGACATAATTGCGAACGAGTAATGATAATAACAAGAAACAACGTCCGAACAGAATCAGGGATGTTAATAGAAATAGGCAAGGACAGCCTTCGCAGGGATAGAAAGGATATTAATGATTTTCTTTTGTTTTCGAAGATACATCGGAAATGCTAGCTTGAGTAAACGAGATATCTCAAGCGATATGTACTATTTCTAAACCGTATCGAAATATTTGATATATTATCATTCAGATCGCTACTTGTGAATCACATACAAACAAATAAACACGATTGACTCTCGAATTAAGTGTTTGCTATCTGTGCGTGAGATAGACAATATTAATACTTGTCAAACAATTTCAACAACTAATCTATCAATGCAGACGTATTCCATCTTGTCATTCTATTTTAACGGTATTTATAAATTCGAGGAAAACAAACAAAATCATAATGGAATATAAAGATATTTTTCATTCATATCGTTTCAATGCATCTCGGGAAATGAGTAGTCGCATGACTTCATTAGTTCCTAAAATAAAAAGAAAAACAAATTAGACAATGAAAGGTCTTTCAAATCGACTACTGCCTTCAAGGATTTGATGTACACGGCAGTCGCGCATGTATTGTTGGACGGATGTGGACTTGATGTAGCCATAACCACCATGCATTTGTATTGCTTGATTGCATATCTGATAAAAGAATCGAATGTGGTTTCGGACAGTTACTGTAGATCTATACGTACATCGAAACATGCATCGGTAGCGAATAGCTTTGCCATGGCACACAGAGTTACTGTATCTTTCGACTGATGATCGAGTGCTAACGCCGCTTTACGAACCAAGAGACGACTGGCTACGAGTTTTGTACACATTTCTGCTAATTTGAATTGTAAATGCTAGGAAATACTAAAATGCGTTTATCGGTTACCCGAACAAATATTTACCTGTAATTGAGCCAGAGGTTGACCGAATTGTTTTCGCACTTGTAAGTATTCACCGGTTTTTTGTATACTTGCTTGTGCTGCACCGAGGGAACAGCTTGCTGTAAAAAGAAATTTGAAATGTAAAATGAAAATTACATCTCTTTTGAACACCTTACCAATATTAATTCGACCACCGTTTAAGCCTCGCATAGCTATTTCAAAACCCTGACCTTCTTTACCAATGAGATTCTCAACATCTACTTGACAATCATCCATAATGACTTGCCGTGTTGGTTGGGAATTCCATCCGATCTTTTCTTCCTTTTTACCAAACGATAAGCCAGGAGAATTCTTCTCAACTAGTATACACGATATACCTTTGGGTGTTTGATCACCAGTTCGACATATAACAAGATAGACATCACTTTCACCGCCGCCACTTATGAACGCTTTCGTACCATTCAATATGTACTTATCACCTTGACGTTCGGCTCGTGTTGTTAACGATGCTGCGTCACTTCCAGCTCCTACGATGGGCATATCTTCGAAAGATTGCTACTTTGAAAGAGAAATCTACCTGGTTCGGTGAGACAGTACGAACTAAATAGTTCCATCGTCGCTAAACGTGGCACCCATTTTGCCCGATTTGCATCAGATCCGAAAGTATCAACCATCCATGCACACATACTACAATACCACACTGATCAAGAAAACCATCATTTCCATTGCAATTACTTATGGATACTGAGATATGCTGCTGTACTAACACATCCCTGTGACAGTGCTTCGAAGATAACCGATGCGTCAAGTCGTGTACTACCCGTTCCACCATATTCATCGCGGCAATAGATAGCAGCGAAGCCGAGCTGGGCTGCTTTTCGAAGTGTTTCTTTCGGAAAGAATTCCTTCGAAGAAAAAAAGATTACTATGAAAAGCATGGGGATCATAATGCATATTTTGCTCACTGTTCGGTCCCATTCATACATAAACGGTGCCATTTCGCTTTGAGCGAATTGATAGGCAGTCTGCTGAATCGCTTTTTGTTCTTCGTCGAGGCCATCCTCAGCTGTTACAAATGAAAGAAACCAATGTTCAGTTCCATGTAACCAAACAAAGCTCACCATCACACCTATGTTCTATAGATTGACATCTGCCGATGGTTGATATGACTGATCCTCGTTGAAATAATGATAAATGCCGAAAGATGGCTGAATTCAAGCGAAACATATCTATGTGAATATCAAGAGAAAAAGAGAATGAGTAGTTTTGTTCTATTTTCTGCTACTTATTGAATTCTTCTTTACTACCGAACATTTTTTATTGTTTTATATTATTCAAGAGGAGAAAAAAAACATTCATTCGAAATGTTAATTTTTACAAGGAAAGAGCGAAAAAAAAACGCGTTCATCATAATAGTCTAATTCTTTGTCTTTTAAAGTTGACATTCAATTTCAACATACATAAACAAACAAAAACAGTTTTGCCAACATAGATCAAATTTAACAAGAAAATACTATAAGAGAAGAGAAAGAGAGACACGGTGCAGACAAATAAATGTGAAAGAGAAATAGATACATCTACACAATGAATTGAAGATCAAGATCGGTGCATAAGAAATAAGAAGACAAGAGAACACGAAGACATAAGAAATTCGTAGAAAAGATGAATATACATTAGAGTTTTTCCTTCGTTGGAACCCAGACCGTATCAAGTGATTGTTCACGATCGATCGTTTCGCAAATGTGATCGTACACATCACCTAATGTTTCTTCTTCGATAATAGCTGAAAAAGGAGAACAGAGTAAGACTACATTGGTTATATGAAAGTTAATATTTACATGTGAGAACATCGCCAAATTGTTGTTCAATTTTCATTGATTTTTCATAAATTTGTTGAGCACGCTCTTCATTCGCTTCTTCGCCCATGTTATCGCTACAACGAAGAAAATGTTTTCCATTTCAATGTCCACACTCAGTTTGGAAAAAATGACTTACAAAATCCATTTCACGTCACGTGGTTTAACGAATATGGCAATAGGATAGAGACCAGCAGTTATTAATCGTCGAATAGCATGACCACTGACATCCAAAATACAATGTTTTGTCTAGAGATGTAAAACAAATATCTAACATCGATTGGAAGATCCTTGTTTCAATAAACATACGGAATTTGCTACTTCACGAACGGCACTAACACTAGTGCCGTAAAGATTGCCACCATATTCGCCGGCTTCAATGAATAGATAGTTTTGAATATCTCTTTCCATTTGCTCACGTGACGGAACAAAATAATATTCACGACCATCGACTTCTTTGTCACGTTTAGGTCGACTTGTATCTTGAAATCGAATAAGAAACAAGAAATGAGAAACTATTTTCTTCAAAATTCAACATAGATACATACGGGGTACACAATTAGCAAATTTATCGGGTCGTTCGTTGAGAAGTTGATCATTGAGAAGCTCTTTGAATGGGCCGAAGATGATCACTGGTCTTGTATGGTTAACTAAAACAACAAAAAATAGTTAAAAGATGTCGCACATTACACTAATCTAATCTATAATTCCACAAACATCAACGAAGTCTATAAATTAAATCATTCTTTGATCAATCGTGCGGGGTATTTACGAAACTTATCACGTTCTATACTCAAGAGAATTAGTCGGCAATCTCAGCACTATATCTCTAACGAGGTTCGATCGTATGTAATTAGATTTCTTTCGCTGAAAACTGATCTACTATGATAAATAGAGTAGACTTACCTTCGTGTTGAGTAACTAATTCATAGGATGGTACAGGTTCAAGATTATCTTGTTCATTATCTGATTCATCGCCCGATTGAGTATCCTTTCGATCGCCACTTTTGCCGAATAAACCAAATTTTTTCTTTTTCTTTTTATCGCGATCGAGTGTATTGCTCTGCAAAAAGCAGAAAAACACAGCCGTGAACACGATGAATCGATCAATGATTCACAGTTACTTACTCGACTATTATTTCCTTGATTGAAATTGACGCGTTTTTGTCGGGCACGTTCTTTTTTCTCGACTCGGGATTTTGATGGAATTATACCTAGTTCTTCTTCTTCCTGTCCATCGGTTATACGCTTAGCTTGCCACCAGGAATCATCGGCTGCGTTTGTGACATAGAGAATGTCACCTGCATGAAACGCTAAACCTCGATCGCCTGGAATACTTGGATCTTTCGATGGGTCATAGTCAAACTCAGCACTACAAAGGAAGAAAATGTTCACTATCAATAGAAAAAGTTGGTTAAAAACTTTTACCGAACGAAAAATTGTCTTTTCGTGGATGTTTTCAAACTACCAGTACTACCAGCTACTTCACCTGTCATTTTACTTCGGCGTTCATCAATGCGATTTTCGAAACGAATAAAGTCTAAAGAAAGCATCCCATGAAGAACAAATTACGCGTAGCAAGTAAACAAACCATCATATTTATTAACAACATGTAGATCGGCGGTATCTCCACAACTTTTCAACACTGCTGCTGCTTCTTCGTGAGTTACACCTCGAAAATCGATGTTATTCACTGATAGGATACGATCGCCCTTTTGCAATTCACCCGATCTATCAGCGATGCCACCTGTTTGGATGAATGAGATGTAAATGCCTGAAAAAATCCACAGATCAAATATAATATAGCCAACAATCCTTTGAGAATGTTGATAAAGACACCCCTTCTCTCTCTTTTCTCTTTATATTAACTTCCGAGATTATTTCGAGTTTGTTTTCTTGATCGACACATTCTCTAATATCCTGTCAGTATCTATCTTAATATTAGACTATGACAAATGAGAGATATTTTTCATAATGTAATCCAAGCAATCTCAGGAACTTTAAGAATGTTGGCTACGAAAAGTCTCGTCGGATTGTTAGAGGTAATGAAAGTGAAAGACTCGATTTGAGTGGAACTATAAATCCTTAGTAATCTGAAACAAATGTCAAAAAGACGTCTGTTTTAATGATTTGATTACACAATGATTAATCAAAACAAATGTTATCTATTTGCTTACATCAATCGCCATACGATTCTCAGCAAGGAAATCTATGTTTATATCAACTATCGCTGAATCTCAATTAATGCAAAACAACAAATGCAAGAATCTTTGTTCACTTTACCTTCGTCACCGTCACCTCCAACAATGTTAAAGCCGAAACCAGTTGGACCACGATGTAGTAGCACACGACGTTCTCTAGAAGAGTAAAACTTCGGTGAAAGGAGACAGTGCGAAGCAGCGATTCTTACGATAGAAGTTCTCCTTGATCATCATTCGTCATCGGTGAACGATGTCCATTTGTTGGCTGAATTGTCGTATCGCTTAGACCTGGATAATCAGTTGGATGGCCAACTAAGAGAGTTATTGCTGCACCTTCTTCGCATGCACGTCGGATAGATTCTACTGCATGTTTGTGTTCAACAAATTGAAGATCGTAGCCGTTTTTCTATGCAACATAGAAAATAATGAAGAGTATATTCTAAAAGAATATCTTTACCATTGATTGAACATGCATCAAACGATCGCCGACTTTCAGCCGTCCATTTTTATCCGCTATGCCGCCTGGAATTATATTTGTGATAAAGATTCCATAATCCCTACAACAGACAGAAACAAACGTGTAAAGTATGGCTTTCCCTCAAGGATGAAATGAACCGTATACGAACCCTTTCACATGTTCGTGGCTGATTCCACCAGCAATCGAAAATCCCAAGTGCGAATTGGGCGGTTTATTCAATTGAATTTCTTCCATGACAGGCGGTGATAAGCGACGAATTAACTAAACATTCATAAAATCTTATCTCCACAGCGTTTATCGGACAAAGAAAACTTACGAGATTAACATGGTTACCAGCAGCTTTGAGCCCATCGACAGCAGCTTGATGGTCGATTTGAGTAAAGTCCATATCGTTCACACGTAGAATAATATCATGCAGTCTGCAAATATTGGATGACAATTTGTCAGTTAATGAGCGAAATTCTTACTTTAATCGTTGGTCACGATCGGCAAGACCACCTTCTGTGATACGTGTAATAACAACAGCTGGCGAATCACTGATACAAGGTGTATCAACGCCTCCAGCGATAGAAAACCCAAGACCAATCCCAGGTCCCTAAAATGACATGAAAATAAATGGATCAGCATTTCTCATCGAATCTTCTTACTCGTTCGAGATCAACTTCAATTTCTTGCCAATGATCATCATAATTAAATTGCGTGATGTCAATAGGTGAATTTAAAGCAGGAGGATTTACACGATTATTATTGTTCGTTCCGTCATGTGCATCAGCTATTTGAGAAAATGGCGTTGGTGTCGCATGTCTTTTACTATTTTCTTTAGTATTTATCGGCCGAGAAATTGGATTATTCGTTGCGATCGGTGCGATTGCTGGCGATTCGATTGTCGGTGTACCATTCTATGATAAACAAAAACAGAGAAGTTTTTTTTCCATCAATCATCGAAACCGGAAATCTTAAATACTATAATTTCTCGGGAGAAGTTAGACAATGTGGAATGAGGCTATAGAGTATATCGTTAATGGTATAGGCAGCTTGCGGACATAATCACTTTGTCTTTTTTCTAATTTCTTTCTTTCCTAGCTGCGAGCAGAAATTTGTACAACACATCTGCGTCGAAGTTAACATATACAAAAACAATCTATATACAACTTGCATATGACATGAACATGGTGATTAATGAAATCAAGCAGGGAAGCTTCAGTTCGAAGGATGCGTCTCTTATCTCGAAATAAAGTTTGACAAAAATGTCGTTTGAATCACCTAAGGAAATATCTATATGAAGCATTTATACAAACCAACGTACTGCTTGTCTGACAACTCAATTTTTACAGAGGAATTAAGACATGATTTGTAGTAGAGAAAAACTACTTACTCGAACATTTCGTTTAAGCATCGGTTGTTTTTCCCATTCTTCAGCTAAATGTATTGTTGCATCCATTTTCGCTAACCGATCACGTTGTTCATCGAGTAAAATTGATTCATAAAATTCTTGAATGTCTATTCACAAAACAAATCATTATGTAGAAGAAAAACGTCGTGTCGCCTTACCGATCAACGCTTGAAATAGTCGACTTTTGAAAACTTTGATCACTCTAGAAGAAAAAAAAAAGACAAGACCGTATGGCGGTTGTTTGTCCTGGTCAAATCGTTTCATACCTATCTATGGCATTCTTCAATGGTTTGTCTTCTGGTGAATCAAGACGATTATAATATTCTTCGAGCAATTCCAATGCTCGATAAGCGTCTAATTATCAAAATAAATAGAATACGTTTAGTTTGACTCAAAATCAAATATTTACCTTGTTTCCGGACAGGCATGTTGAGAATCATACAAGTTCCATCTGAAATTCGTAACTGAAAGCTTCAAGCAATGATTAAATATCGTCAACAACAAAGAAGAAGAAGAGAAGACGATAAGTGAGGAAGATCCTGAGGGAAATAAATGCATGCATATCATCAATATAGGATGTGAAAGATAAATTGTTCTACACTTAATAAATCTATTTGTTGCTGATGAAACTAACTGCCTCTGTCTTGGAAAACAAAAGACAAACGATTCGAGAGATGATCAACAGTATAAAAAGGATCATATTGATGACGAAGGATAGCAAAGGAGTGAAATTTAATGATGACAAAGAAAATAAACAAAATCAATCAGAGAGAAAGAAAGGAAAAAAAGAAGAACAGAACAAACCACCCTAGACATTTTTAGGAGAGTTCATCTACCTCGAACAAATCATTTGTTTTTCATTCGAATTTTTTTCTCTAGAAAATTTTCTCGAAGAATTTTTCCTTATTTTTTTCGCAAGAGTTTTTCCGATCTTCTTTTTCATACTTGATAGAGGTCGCTCGTACCCAATCGAAGATTACAATAATTATCTTTAATAGCTATACGAGAACAAGATTGATAGGAATGACAGTAAAAGGCGTTCACTTTCTTTTGCATCCCCTTAAGCTCTGTCTATCGATGATTTATAATTAAATATTTCTTATATGCATAGAGCGAGTTGAATCAGTGGAGTTTACACGTGTTTCGTAGTGCATTTCATTTTCAACAACGAAAGACAATGTTGGTGATGTCTTTGAATCGTTGTCAGATAGAGAAAAAGAATGAAATGATCATTTTATATCGTATTTCAGCACATAAGCCTTGATATGAAACTATGAATAATAGCGTGCTGCTATGTTGAATCAACAAAACAATGTACAATACATCGCTGATCAATCTCATTTTTCTCGTGTATATCATATTTCTACTATTTCCCAGACATCCATGAGTAACGCATACGAAATCTTCATCTCGCTCAATCTGCTTTTCTCATTTGTATCCATCTATATAGATGTCATCGTATTCGATTTGTTCTCTATTGGATAATTGTTTATACTGACCTATGTGTGTAAATGCTGCTTATTATGTCTATTACTTTGATAATGTATAGAAAGAACTTACGCCATATCGACGAAAGCAAGTTTTCTTTTTCCTCTTCTGTACATAATTAGCAATTCGTTATTTTTCTTTCTTGCCGTTCTTCTGTTTGTTCCAAACTGTCGTCATCTACACCCACACAAGTCTCTCCCTCTCTTTTCTGACGTTATGATTTCTCTTTTTTTCGTATAGTAAATCATCCATACGCAAATGTTGTTTGGTATGCAATAGATTCTGTTTTAGAAAGAACTTCTCTTCTCGCCAGAAGCACGTTGAATCAGCGACACTTGTCAAAACATGGGTAAATCATCCAAGAAAAGTGGATCTAAACATAAAAAGCATAATCGTCGTCATTCTTCATCGTCATCAAGTTCGACTAAGGTTAATAGAAAAAACTTTTTTTTTTCGTTTCTTTTTCATACATATGTCATCAATTTTATGACAGAGTGAGGACCAATGGCAAGAGGTTACTCCTACCGAACCGAGCAACACTGCAATTCCACTTGGTATCGTTAAAGGTCCAACTATGCCAACACAAGCTGATTTGCAACAATTGGTAACTAAGTATAATTCGAAAAAGTGTTCGGCTTACCTTTTTTTGCGTAGGAGAAGGAGCAAAGTGCGCCGGTGACATTTGCATTAGAACCGTCCGATTTCGATTCAATTGGCAGCTATCAACGAGAAAACAAGCAGGCTGTTAAAAAAGCGCAATCAACAGCAGAAATGGAAGCGATTATGGGTGAACGTGAGTTGAATCCCACGTTACGTCGTCAAGCCAATGACAACGATGACTCGAAACGAGCAAAAGTTGGTGATGCCGGTCTCGAATGGCATCGGCGAGCTTTCGAGCGCTGTAAGCAACAAGCGAAAGAAGAACAACGTTCGTTGAATGAAATCGTTTCGGAACGTTACGGAGTAAAGTATTCCAATACAATAGTTTTGTCTTATCTCTAATTTTTCTATCTAGTCTATGGAAAAACTGATGGCATTAATCAATGATGCTGAAGATCTTGATCGCGACCATGATCGTCATCATCACCATTCATCGCATAAGAAGACATTTCTGCATCCGAATGAGAGAAGAGACGATCGAAATCGTCATCGTCATCACCACCATCACCATCACCATCATCATCACGAGAAAAAATCATGGAAAAGAGCTGCAGACGACGACGAGTCGTCCATATCGAAAAGACAACCACGTAGCGAAGATGTGGAAGAAAAAGTGAGAGAAAGAAATGCTGATGACGACGAAGTAGAAGAACGGCAACAACAATCAACGTCAACAGCGGCGAAATCCGAAGAAAATGATATGATGTCTGAAGAGAATCTTTTAGAATTGAGAAAGCAACTTATTCGTGCTGAACTAGCCGGTGATGATGTAAGTTTCGATTAATCTGAGTAAATACACAGAGAAAAATACTTCGAAATTGTTTCTGTAGGAAATGATTGAATTACTTCGTAGTGAAATCAAAAATATTGATCAATTACGAGGAAATCCACAGCATGAATCGGGTGCCGAGCAGCAGCAACGATCTAACGATCCAAAATTACTTGTCATGACAACTATTGATCGTTATGGTGTCGAAAAACCACTTCATAATGCTCACGAGCCAGGAAATCAACGTCGATATGGTCACGTTGACAAACGTGATCGAAGAAAAATGAAACGAGAAATCAAGAAAATGCGTCAAAATGACAAAGATCCTGAACGTGAAGGTTTATCATTAAATGATCTAGTCGAAATGGAACGACATTCCACGACAAATTCGATGCCTGTACTACCAAGTAATCGAAGCAATCCCAGTGTATCGTCTGATCGACAAATCTTAGCATCGACTCGTCATTTATCTGGTTGGTCACGCATCCAAGCTCTAGCAGAGCAGAAAAAACGACAGCAGACATTTGAGCAATGTTGGCTATGCATCGAAAATCTTTCGAAATCATTTATTTTCGGTCTAATGGATCAATGGTTCTTGTGTGCCCCTCCACAACAGTCACTGGTGGACGGACATTGTTTCATCGTGCCTATTCAACATTCTTCTAGTCGATTTCATCTAGGTAAGTTTTTTGTTGTATCGCATAAACATAATGGTTACTGACTCGTATATATACGAGCGTGTTCGTCGTGTTTTGTCATTCTTTGCCGTTCTGCTTAAGTGTGTATGTATATCTAAGATAATCGTTAAGCTTTTCTTCATGCACTTCGTTGTTAAACGGCTTCATATTTATCGAGAAATTTTTATAGGACTAATGACAAGTGTACAGGTAATCAAATATTTGCAATTATTTCGATGTTCTATTACTATCCGGTTAGTCATTCACCAGTACAGTTCCGGAATATATACATATATATACAGACACCCTCTACTTGATCTGTTTAATCTATAATTGGCTCTGTCAAAAAAAAAAGATCGCTTATCTAACCCTCCTACGCCTATGTGCTAGAAAGAATAATCGACGATGAGGACAGTACTAATCATCAAGTATACATAAAGATGCCGGATCTATCCGTTTAAACAATAAGAAGTCTTGTATTTTCCTCAGACCATTTCCAGAGTATTCGTATATGTAAAGTTAATTTATTTTAGACGATGACGTACTGGATGAACTGGATAGTTTAAAACAACAACTAACCGATTTGTATCGGCAATATCACAATCAATTACCAATTTTCATTGAAACATTCAAGAATCCGCGCCTGTTACCACATATGTATATTGAATGCATTCCAGTTCCCATCGACCAAGTCAATTTAGTTCCGATGTATTTTCGAAAAGCTCTACTCGAAAGTGAATCTATGTGGTCAACAAACAAGAAACTTATTGAATTGAACCATCCACGTTCGCGCACATTGAAAAATGTTCTACCTAAAGGTTTACCTTATTTCTGCGTGGAATTTCCGGTGGATAAAAGTAAAAACGACAGTGTTTATGGTTATGCGCACATGATCGAAGAACGTGGCCAATTTCCGCTGTATTTCGGTCGAGAAATTCTAGGAGGTTTGATGCAATTAGATAATCCATTGTTATGGATGAGACCCGCAAGTAAAGAGCCGGAGGATATAGTTGAAAATAAATGTACATATTTAAAACAATTATGGAAAAAGAATTCATCGAAATCATTAACATAATTGATGTTTGTTGTTGTTGTCTTTTCTAGATGTATATGAATGTGTTTAGAATGAATGTTTTATTAATTTTAATCTTATGTGTTTGGAATATCAATGCCTGTGGTGACGAGAATGATGATGATGATGAATTTATTGATATTGGCATACAATTAAATGGTGATAATCGAGATATTCTCATAGCAGATCTCATTGCTGAAGAAAAGGATCTTTACAATGCAGGACATGTAAGAATTTCAATGTTTGACGAGCGTAGAAGAGAGCGTCTCGTTCTTTTATATAGATTTCTGGCATTGGTTTACATCATTTTCGAATTCAACGAAGATGCAATCGAAGATCTAAACGTTCAGTCGAGGATATAGTTGACGAACTGAAACACGACGAACGAGTAAGAATTGGATGATTAGTTAAAAAGTTTTACATGTTCGCTATTTCAGATTGCTTCAGTCGTTGTCGGCGAGCCATTAGAGAGAAAAAAACGTGACTTTGTACATGATGATGAGCTGGAAGCGTTGTACAAACGATATCGCAGCTGGAGAAAACAGCCTTCACTCTTAGATGATGAAGCTGACATGAATGGTTCATTGTTTAAAATGACTTTTGATGATGCTTTGTACAAAAAGCAATGGTATTTGGTGAGTTTATCGATGTGGGAAATTCAATTTGTATTTCGTCGTTTTAAGGAGAATGAAGGTCAATTGAAAACTCCAGCTAATCACGATATCAATGTCATTCCAGCCTGGCTAGCTGGCTATTCTGGAAAAGGTGTGATAATCTCCATTATTGATGATGGTCTCGATCATAAACATCCAGAATTAACTGAAAAATACGTAAGTGTAATAGGCAAAGCCTTTTTCTTTTATGCTGACAGGAGAATCAAACTGTCGATTGAATGAGATGGTAAAATATCTATTGTTTTATACGCATAGTTACCTCAGTTCAGTTATGATTTGAATGATTTGAATGATACTGAACACGATCCAAGTCCAAGAACCTATGATTCTGCCAATAAGTAAGACGAGAATGCCAGAATCTTCTAGTATCATTACTAATATTATACTAACAAGCACGGCGTGTGTGTGTTTATATCCATATATGAAAATAATAATAATGCATGCTTTTTTCTTTTCTTCTTAACAATCTTGACATTCAATAGATCATAACGCTTGCATACTTTGTTTTCTAGTCATGGTACGCGGTGCGCCGGAGCATCGTCTGGTAAAGCAAATAATGGTATGTGTGGAGTTGGTGTTGCTTACAACTCGTATATTGCTGGTACGTTTGAAAATACATGCACTCGATATTATGAACGTTTTCTTCGTCTTCTTCATTAGGTATTCGAGTTCTCGATGGTCGAATTACGACATTACTTGAAGCACGTGCATTAACATTATTTGCTGTAAATACATCTATTAAAAGTGCTTCATGGGGGTAAGGAGATTGTATAATTGTCTGGTAAAGGAGAGTTCGAATTGGTTTTTTTTCATGTTCATTGTAGGCCTACTGATGATGGCACGAAAATGGAAGCACCTGGTCAACTGGTAAATGCTGCTCTTGATTACGGCGTGACACATGTAAGAGTTTGCCTTTATTGTGGCCGAAAAATGAATGAGTAACTTAAATGTCATTTGAAATGCATCTAGGGTCGTCATGGTAAAGGTGTTTTATTTGTTTGGGCTTCCGGTAACGGTGGAGCAGCGGGTGACGATTGCGGTGCTGACGGATATGTATCTCATCACAATGTGATATCCATTGGTTCGATCAATCATCTGGGTAAAACAACATATTTTGGAGAGTTTTGTCCATCGACAATGGCAGTTGCGTATACTGGTGGACGGCATGGAAAGTCTTCGCTCGAACCGTCTATGCCAGTTGGAGTTGTCGCCGCAGACGTAGGTGGCAAATGTACAACAAAATTCTTCGGTACATCTGGCGCAGCGCCAGTCGCTGCCGGTGGTTTAGCACTGGTATTAGAAGCGAACCCAGACTTGACTTATCGTGATGTGATGCATATCATCGCCGAAACAGCTCGCATACCAAATCTATCTGAAACCGATGATTGGATCATTAATGGAGCGGGCTTTCATGTTAGCGATAAATTTGGTTTCGGTGTTCTTGACATCGGACAAATGATTGCTCGAGCACAAAACTGGACAAATGTTAATCCCAGATATGAATGTTATCAGGAATACAATGGTACAAATGTGTAAGTATTGAAATGAAACTAGAAGCATTCTACTTCATGTTCACATCTTTCTAGTGCATTACCTATTGGTGCTACTGTAGAAGTATCTCTGAATGTCGATAAATGCCAAAATGTCACATATCTTGAACATGTTGTGGCGAATGTGTCATTCACTTTTCATCGTCGCGGTGATGTCAAAATAACATTAATATCACCAAGTGGTACACCTTCAGAAATGATTTCATATCGTGATAATGATGCTGCAAATAAAGGTGCGTAATGATCTTTCTGTTTCTCAAACGGAGCTAACCTTTGCCATTTTAGGTATCACATTTTTTCCATTTATGTCAGTGCATAAATGGGGTGAATCGCCCGTTGGTCGCTGGACGCTCAGAATCGAAACTCGTACACCACAAACTCGAGATGCACAAAAGTCAGCAATGAAAAATGATGCTGGTCAATTACTCTACTTTGGATTACGTCTCTTTGGTTCATATTTATCAGATGATAGTAACAATATGCAAAAACGTCATGAATCCAGCGCTTTCGTTCCCGGCCAGAAAGAATTGGAATGGCTGTACAAACGAGAATTATCGATACGACAATCACCAAACATAATGCAAAAACGAGAATTTCAAAATCTAGCGACCGAACGACAACGACGTAAAGAACAGCATTCTGAAGAATCTTCTTTACTTTCATCATTTTGGAAACGATTTGGCTTTTAAATACAAACAAACAACGATCACCGGTGTGATGTTTTTGTCACTCTTTCTCTCACTCATCTTCCTGTTTCTTACACAATGGTTTTATGTGTGTATGAAATATTTATTTATGTATTCTTTTTACTGTTTTCTTTTTTCTCTATTCGACTGTGAAATGAATGGCAATAATCTGTGTTTTTTCCTTTCTTTCTATCTTATTCGTATTATTTCAAATGTGGTTTTCTCGCTCATTTGTATTTTGTTATTAATAATGGCAAATACTAAATAAAAAATGTATGAGTGCTCTAGATGCACGTTTAAATGGCTCGTCGTGTATTTTCAAACACATTTCATTTACGACTCACAGATCAAATACCCAGCTAGCATACCGACAGCTCTTCTCGTCATGTCAACTTGTGTTTACTACGAACTATTCGATACCGATGAATCTAGGGAACCCGACAGTCGGGCTGTTCGTTCTGAGTTTGATTCCTACGATAAATTGTGAAAATAGACTTTTCATCATGATCATCACCTCTTGACCGATTTGATGAGTCTATGCCTACTATTGTGCAATATTAACTTTTTTACACTTTTCTTTGTTACTCATGCGAGAAATACAAGATAGGTAGCTGGATCATTTATGCAATCCGGTCAGATCGATTTTATTGATATGGTCTTGATTTGTACATTGCTTAATGTACTAATATTGGTATTAAAAAATTATCTTTCTCTAATGTGGTTCAAGTAACCCAGAAATTAGACACTTTGTGGCGTGTTGTTCGTAAAAAACAAGCTATCCCTATTCTGCGAAAAGAGTGTAAATGAACACTTTATTTCGATTTTCTGCCAAGACTCCTGCTTCTAACGAATAAACAAAAATCACAATATGGAATTTTTGAAGACTTAAGCATGATCCTATATAGATCGTATGTTTTTCAATAAAAGTCCTATATTCGCATGAGGTACCGCTACGAAATCGGGCAGTATCTATGCTTAATGGTATGCATACGTTTTCGACTCATAATTCAACTGAATCTGAAGAAGAAATCGTTCGGTTCGAAGGAAATATCAGCTTGATAAAGCTTGAACATGTGCACTGGCTGCGTAGAGTGCGTTTATAAGGATATTATTGATGACATGATTTTGAGAAGTTTACGCGGAAAACAAACCGTGTTTGATTCGGTACAATCTTGATCGAAAAATTGTCTTCATCAAGTTTAAATTTGACTTCAATCTCAGTAATTTGGTAAAGTTTCACATTCAATTTGTGGGCCAAATCCTCGGCGAAAGCATTAAGGAGCATAGCTACGCACTACATATTTTCTTCTACGGGTATCTGATTAGTTTAGATCATATTTCGTTGCTTTTTTAATCTAGAAAACAATTACTATGGCTTAGATCATAAGATCGAAGTTTTCGTGAATTGCAGCGTCACTCCTTTTTTTTTCGCAGGTGTGTGCAATTCTTCACTTAATCCCGTAAATCGATATTTCTATTGGCGCTGTTTTTAAATTGAGCTTTTTATAGAAATGTTTATCAGTCTTCAAATACGTAGACAAAAACAACAATGTTGTTTTCTCTTGCTCTTGTTGTCTTATCCTTTGTAACGAGTCCAGTTCACAGCGATAAACATATTCCAGGTGAGTTGTTAGTCTGCAATCGCTGTTTCTTTGTAACTTTATCAAATCCGTTCATCTAGTTCGAAAACTCCGAGCATCGGATACTTGCTACGGAGAGTATGGCTGCTTTACAACTGGATATCCATTTGGTAAGTGATCATTTGTACTTTCTAGTGATACTGAAAAAAATCTCTGCCAAAATAGGTGGAACATTACAACGTCCATTCACAGTATTACCTGACCGTGTATGACGAATTTACATATTTTATGACTTTTCTCACATTTCTTCTCGATTTTTTGTAGCCTGGCGTGATTGGAACTACCTTCTATCTATATACACGAGAAGCGCGTAAAAATCGCACGGAAGTAAGCCGTTACACCAGTCTTGGTACATGGAAAGCATCTAGACCGACGAAATTTTTCATCCACGGTTTCCTCGACAGCACAAACAAACCCTGGTGGATCGATATGAAAAATGCCATTCTTCAAGTTGTAAGTATTTGCGACAAAGATGTAAAACAATCGAAAACGAAATCATTCATTGTGATATTATTCAGGACGATGTGAATGTCATTATGACTGATTGGTCTAAGGGTAATGGATTTCCGTATGAAAAAGCAGCAGCAAATACTCAAGTCGTCGGTGCAGAAATTGCTCTATTCATACAATATTTGATTGCTGAACACGGTGCTCAAGCTTCCGATTTCCACGTTATCGGTCATTCGCTTGGTGGACAAACTGCTGGATATGCCGGCGAAAGAGTAAAAGGATTAGGACGTATCACTGGTAAAGTGACTGCCGAAGCAGTAGTCCCAAAATGACGTGCTATATTTGATGACGATAGGTTTGGATCCTGCTGGTCCTTATTTTGAAAATACTGATCCTCGAGTTCGTCTCGATCCTACCGATGCTCAATTTGTCGATGTCATTCACACCGATGGTACTCACAATCTTCTTCTTGGACTTGGTATGATCACTTTCTTTTTCCTCAAGATAGTAGTCATTTGTTTATTCGTACAGGTTCTCTTCAGCGCATGGGGCATGTCGACTTCTTTCCCAATGGTGGCTTTGATCAACCTAAATGTCCTAAAACTTCTGGTAAATTGATGCACCTTGTCTGGCAACTCGGCACAATGAATGTAGAAGGTAAACTAATCCATTTAGTACGTGAGACATCGATTCAGCTTCGATGAATTGAATAGGTTTCATGGAAACATCACTTTGCAGTCATTTATCTGCTGTCTACTTCTTCACGGATACCGTTCGCAATCAATGTCCTTATGTTGGCTTTTCATGCTCTAATTTTGATGACTTTAGTGCTGGTAAGTGTTCACTTCAATGTGATGGAAACGAACATCAATGCAATCGTATGGGTTACTGGGCAACGCCGAGCGATGGCAAAGGTGATCTTTATTTGAAAACTCAAGATGCAAATGCTTTTCCATTCTGCGGTAAATAGAATACACTACCGGGTTTTTTTTGTGACACTTGGAAATATTTTTGTATTCATCTATTTGTAGTGCATCATTATCAACTGACATTAGAGTCAGGATCCGAGTATGCTCAAACGCGCGGTAAAGTTTCTTTAACACTTGTTGGTACTCTTCAAACAGTTACTGTTGTTTTTGATGAGTAAATCAATAGATTTGTTTGATTTGTTCCAATGCAAATCTTTCCCTTTAGCGATCAAACAACATTCAAACGTGGTTCGGTCGAAACACGCTTCATTCCATTGACCGTCGACATCGGCGAAGTAACAGAAGTTAATATCGAATTTAAGAAGACACAAAACTGGATATCATCATCATGGTATTCATCCTCGTGGTTATTCACCAAAGCCACTGTGTTTCATGCTGATCAACAACAAAGGTAGTATACCTTAATGTGCACACTATTTGTCACAGAATGAAGCTAAAATTTCGATTTGTTTTTTTTTTAGTCGTGCATTCTGTTCGCGTGAATCCATTGTCTCTGGTACTGCTGCTCGCTTTGCTTCGTGCTAGTATTTTCTTTGGAATTAAAATTTTTCTCTTTGTTACAATAAAATAAGAAACAACAGCTGTTGTAATATAAATCACACTGACTGCATTACCGATATCGGGCGTCCTCTTTTGTCAAGCTTTTTCAATGCAGAATTTAAAAAAGTAAGTAAATAGGCGATAAAAACGAAAGAAGAAAAACACAGAAATAGATAACCAGATAAGCGATATTACTTTCTCTTTTCGTTCGCATGCATTTACTTTTCATGGTTCGAGGTCCATTTTGATAAAATAACTCCATTCTCGTCTTTTCTGTCGAAAAAGTTCAAGTTTTGTAGAACATGAATGACTCTGTCTGATTTCGACAAAGTGTGTAAAGTTCTCACCGTACTATTCAATCCAGGACAATATGTCAATGTAGCAATTATAGACTTTTCTTTTATTGAGAAGAGATAACGATAAGACTATCGATGGTCAATAAAAATTAGAGAAAGATGTGCTTGTGTAGATATATTTTCAAGTACTTTCATCGCAGTTCGTGGGTATCTACATATCCAATCTTTTAGATTTACATTACCATGGCAAACACAAAACAACCCGATTTGAAAGAACCTGGTCCGTCCGACAATCAATTGTTTGATTTCAAGAAATCACACGTAAGCAATTGTGACGACTTCATTCTATGCATTAACGTATTTTCCTATGCATAGAAACCGGAACAATTAACAACTGGTTATGGCCGTCCACTCGGTGAACGATCTACGGTAATGACAGTGGGTCCACGCGGTCCAATTTTGCTGTCTGATTTTCCATACATCGAAGATGTTCAACGATTCGATCGTGAACGCATACCCGAACGAGTTGTACATGCGAAAGGGTAGGACACATCTCCTTTAAGGATCGAATACAACTTTCTAATACACTAGTGGTGGCGCTTTTGGTGTTTTCGAAGCAACTGATGACTTATCGGATATTTGCAAGGCTAAAGTATTCAAAAAAGGAACGAAAACACGTGTCTTGATGCGTTTTTCGACCGTTGGTTCGTATAAAATTCTTTTGCCTCACACCCGATAATCATCACTTTTCATTCTAGCTGGTGAAAGTGGTTCTGCTGATACCGTACGTGATCCACGTGGTTTCGCCATCAAAATGTATACAGATGAAGGCAAGCCATAATTCGATCTCACAAAAAACTCCTTCTATACGAAAGCCAATCTTTCTAGGTATTTGGGATTTAGTCGGAAATAACACACCCATCTTTTTCCTTCGGGATCCATTTCTAGTATGTAGTACAGAATTTTGTTGTTGATGGGCAAGAACGAATGTGGTTTGTTTTATCATTATAGTTTCAAATGTTTATCCATTCTCAAAAACGAAATCCACAAACACACTTAAAAGATCCAAATATGGTTTGGGACTTCTTTGCTAATCATCCAATGGCGACCCACCAAGTAAGAAATTAGTCACAAATGCAATTGTAGATGAAAACTTTCTGCGCTAGTTCATGTTCTTGTATTCCGAGCGGGGTTTACCCGACGGTTTTCGTCATATGCATGGCTATGGTTCCCATACCTTCAAAATGGTTAATGATAGAAATGAATTCGTTTGGGTGAAATTTCATATGCGAGTAAGGCTTTTTTTTCTGTAATAAGATGTCGAGACAACTCTGTGGTTTAGACTGATCAAGGTATTAAAAATCTTGATCCGACAAAAGCGAAAATCCTAGCTGGAGAACAACCGGATTATGCTCTGGCTGATCTTTACAATGCGATCGCCAAAAAAGAATATCCAAGTTGGACTGTCTATGTTCAAGTACGAGACACAGTTCGATAGAAAAAACGTTCTCACTATTTCCCTAGGTTGTAACACACGAACAAGCGAAAAATCTTCCATTCAATCCATTTGATTTAACCAAAGTATTTTCGCAAAAACAATTTCCATTACGTCGCGTTGGCAAGATTACTTTGAATGAAAATGCCGAGAACTACTTTGCACAAATTGAACAAGCTGCTTTTTCACCGGCTCATATGCCACCTGGCATTGAAGCATCACCCGACAAAATGTTACAGGTAAAACCTACATGTTTTGCAAGCCTGTCATGCATGTGAGTACGCTTACAGGGTCGATTATTTTCCTATGCTGATACGCACTTACATCGTGTTGGAACTAACCATCATCTTATTCCAGTAAACAATCCTGAAACAAACAAAAACGTTAAAGTTTGCATGTATCAACGAGATGGTGCTATGCAAACCGGTCATAATCAAGGTGAGTACACTGACTTCTGTGTAAAAGTAGGATAAGACACTTAGTCATTTTCTTGTCTTGTGATGTTCAGGTAGCGCGCCCAATTATTACCGCAATACATTTAATGGTCCTGATGTAACTGATCGCAACAAACATCTTGAACACGCCACATTCGAATCGGGTATGGCAGCTCGACATGAAGCAAGTGATGACGACAATTACTCTCAACCACGAGTCTTTTATCAAGTACGAACTTCGATAAGAACCAACATCTCGACCTTTGATCTAATGTTCGATTCTTCGGTTTGTCTTTTAGAAAGTCTTGGATGAACGTGGCCGTGCTCATATGATCGACAACATTGCTGAACATTTACAACAATGTACCGACCAAGATATTGTTCGCCGTTCGATTGCTATCTTTGCCAATGTTGACGACGATTTAGGACGACGCTTGGCACAAAAACTTAACATTGACACATCTAAAAAAGTATAGTTTTCATTCTGGACATTGAAAACTATGCTGACGAATGATTTTTTTTTTCTGTAATAGACATCGCCAACAACAACAGTTAGATCGAAATATTAGGAGGAAAAAAAGCTTTCATCAAATTACCAAACATGAAATCTATTTATCTTTCTTATTTACCAAAAACATCACTTGATTTTAAGCGTTTTGTTTGATTTTCTCTAGTGAACTTGTACAAAAAAAGGAACACCAGAGTCATGCGTTTTTTCGTCCTATTTTTTTTCCGAATAAAACATCCCGCGTGATTGCAATAAATCTGCGATAGCTATATATCATATCTTGTTAAAAATTCATCGGATCCTGACTCGATTCGAGCGAATATCCCTACTTCTTCATAACACCTAATAAGAAAAAAAATTAATAAAGTAGAAATGTGTCACAGACGGCAGAAACCAATTTCAACAAAGATTGCAGCTTTTAACAATGTATGCCGATGGAAACGGATGTTATTATCAACGTTTCGAGGACGCAGATGCCTGCTGGTGAGAAGTACCTTCTTGGTAGATTCTATTTTTACTAACTTTAATTGCAATATCGAAATTGTATTTAACTTAGATTGCAATTTTCTCTGATGAATAGAAAAAAGTTAGTTATGACGTTTTTTTCCGATATTGTTCGCTACTAATTCTGCATGAAGTATCTACTTCGTTGCATGATGAATACGTTTGACGACATAAACATCAAGAGTTTGCTTTTTATCGTGAAGGAAACTAAATGACATTTGTCATCACGTGCAGAAAATAAATTTTTATTATTAACTTGACGTGTTGTATTATCAAGGATATCGTATTTAATCGAAGTCGACAAATTTGATGAGAAAATAAATATTCATTTATCTTCTGTCTTGATCTCGTTTAATTACAATATCGATTTGAATTGCCGTTTTTTTTTCTGGCCTCCTTCGACTGAAGACGGTTGAAATCCAAAAGATATGCCAACTATTGTTCTGTATTAAAGTCAAGAAATAATTGCAGAATGAGTTCTTGACTAAGTTTGCTATTGTAATATACTTTATAGTAGAAATTTATTTTGTGCTCATGATATAACGTATAAGAGTCGACAGAGTTCGACTCGATGATCATTGAGTTTTTTTTCTAATTACAAAGAAGAATTTTTTGTTTTCAAGTCCTTGATTCCTGGAAAGCGACATGTTTTTTAACTATGTGCCACTCTTTGTTGACTTTGACAGCCAAGCATATTATATTTTGCTTTGCTTGCTGATCAAATTTCAATCAATAAATTTATTCATCAATATATATTTATTGTTTTAATAATGACGACAACGTCTGTATCTTACTAGTTTAATCTTTTTTCCTCTTTTTTTGCATTCCTTGACATGTCTGTAATTAGTTTTAGTATTGAAAAAAGGAGTAAATAAAAGTGAATATCTAATAACAAAAGGTATTTAATGTTCTCACAATTAAATGAAAAAAATGACGATAAAAGACGTCATCAGCAGATGTATACCTGTCGTCTTGTCTGTCTCACAGTAGTTTATGGGTGAAAACTGGCAAAAATAGAGAACCGACTAAAAGTTTCTCTCGGACACAGTCGTCGGATGAAAAGAGGAAAAAAAAGCAAAGGAGGCAAAGAGTGAGAGAAAAAAAGAGCGAGAGAAAAAAGGTGAATATGTAAATATCATATTCCAATAGACTCGTCATTTTCTTATTTTACTTAACTGCGGTGGTGTGCGCACTTTTTTGTTAGACGCTAGTTCGTTCTATCTGTACATTTACTTCAACTGCTGGACAGTTTCGAAGACATTTACTCTGTCGTTGAACGACCATTATAGTATTATACATCATGTCTCATAAACGTGGTTATACGGTAAATGCTCGAGTTCATTGTTTTCTGTTTTTTTGTTCAAACTTGTCGATTCTAGTCATCATTGTCTGATGCTACACCTGCTGCTGATTCTTTGAGAGAATACAACAGTACGCCGTACAAACGACGAAAACAAACAGGTCAAGCTTTGGAAACATTAGGTCAACTCTTTAAGGATTCGTCTATGGACGATTCGGACAATAGCAAGTTCAATAAGAACGACATACTTAGTTTAACATTGTCGCGTCTCTTACGATATAAATATTGGCCAGCTGACATTCGCAACCGTGAGTAACAAATAGCGATAATGAGAATGACCTAGGAATGCAACGATCTTAATTATTCATTTAGGATACGTTCAGTTGGCAGCTGGATTACAAAGCTCATCGATTGAATGCGATCTTACAGGTTTCGTCATCGTTCTCAATCAAGTCGGTCGAATAATCTTGATCAGTGACAATGTCGAATATTACCTACGTAAAAATGTGGTATGTAGACACCATACTTTTGACTTTTCTCAAGGAATGTATATCGTCTTCTATTTCAAGCAATCGCTTTATCCTCAATTAACAAGTATCTACGATTGCGTTAGCAAAGATGATCACGAAAATATCCGTCGCATGCTCTCGATGCCGACCATGAATGAAAAACATGCTATTTGCACATGGATTTTACCAAGAGGAAAACGGCCGAATCGATCACAAACGGAAACAAAAGTGTGTGCTTTTGTTTTTCTCATTGTGTTGCAAACTAATCTCTTTTTTTTAATTGTTTTTTTCCAGTCAATGCTCTTAACAGGTCACTTTTTTTCAATTGAAAACGACGATGTGAAAGAACCACTGTTCGTTGCGCGCTGTGAGCAAATCCTATCGAGCACACCGAACGTGCCAACAAACAATATTGGTTCGACAAGTACAACAACGCTCCGCTTCGTTCTCAGCGATCAACTTCATATCAACGAAATTTCATCGAAGTGAGTTCTGACTTTCAACAAAAGAAAAGACAAGCTTTCGCGTTTCTTTCTAGTGCGGAATTATTACTAGGTTACAAATCCAGTGAATTGATCGATCAATCGATCCGTCGGATATTACCAACGGAATGCATGGACACCTTGGAACAAGCGAAACAAAACTGCTGTAAGTACTTGTCCTTTTCAAGTATAAATTCATTCTGTGGAACTTTTCTAGTTTCGGGCGAACATTGTACGTCGATGAATGTTTTAGACCTGTTTACGAGCAACGGTGATCGATTGACCTTCTTGTGCAATACGCATATACTCATTGCAGGTCGACGTAAAACAATGAAACTAGGTTTTCTGGCACAACTCATCGAGTATGTTTAATGTTGACTACCGAAAGTCAACTGACCTTGTTTTTGTAGTCCTTCAATCCGATATGACTGCCTTATCTATGCGAACAAGCAAAATATTGAACGACAAAAGGCTTCGTATCATCAAGAGTCAATATTTATGACGAATTTTGTATTAAATAATTCAATAACAACAAATGTTACAATGTGTAGGTGATTCAGTCGGTTGTATTTAACTATTAGTTCACATCTGCCTTGTTTTTCTCAATCTAGCACCAAATGATCAATGTTTAACCATGAATGATAGCCCAAAAGCCAAACGTCAATGTCTTGATCATCAATACATGGAAAAAGAAAATCTCGTTCGTTTTCAATCACCTCAACAATATGCCCAAGTGCCTTACGAAACAAATTTCAGTTACCATTTCTCACCCCTACCTAAACAAGAACTTGGTCATGTTGATGAGCTTTTCAATTGGCTTGACGAGGGCAACATGAAATCGACCAATGATGTATCATCCTATAATGTTCATTCGGATGTTTTCGGCTTCTTAACACCGACAACTATGGAAATGAGCTTCTTCTAGAACAAAACATCCAGTTTGAAACATTTTCCTCTCCGCCCCACCCCTCTATTTCTTTTTTTTTGTGCAGTTCGTTGATCGGCTGAATTTTTTTTTTGCTTCTTTGTATTCACTTTTATGCATTAGCTGGCAAACTAATGTTGACAGTATTAATGGTTCAGTCATGCAACAGCTGGTTCTCTTTGCATGATAGACAGAAAACAAAAGGCCATTACTATTATCTACATTTGTGATTGCTTTTGCTTTCAATCTTTTTATTTGTGCAATGCATGTTCAAATTGATGAAAATATATTAAAAAAATTAACACACATGTCCTTCGATTTCATCTCCAGGGTTAAACACTTGCAACAATTGTCTGTCAGTCTAATTATACAAATGTTCTGCGTGCAAAATCGATCTCGTTGTTAGATAGAATCTATCCATTTAATGTCAATTAGTTTGCTAATGTTAAATTCTTCAAATGCTTTTCAATCAATTATCAAACTCATCCAGTTTGACTTGTTTCGTCAAGTCTGAACACCCGCAAATATTTAATTGATTTTTAGCGAACGTATGTAAGTTCAATCCGAACTTAAAAGTCATTTTTCTTGCATTATTCATCAAACATAAACCTCCATTCTTCTAGGAAATCATTTTAGTACGTGTGATGCTTTCTCCGTCTCGTTCATGCATAATTTCAAGCATGATATCTTACATGAATAACGCATAGGTAAAGAACAAACAACGATATTTCGTCTGTAGATGAAGAAAAAGGTAAAACATGACAGTCTAATGACATTTTGTCTTGTAGGCGTACTGAAAGATTCTGAATCAAATTAGTTAACGTCCACACACTTCAGAGATATGACTTATCTACGGACGCATTTCTAATGAGCGACGGAGTATCACCGCGCTTTTTCCACTTTTGAGAATGAAAAGAATGCACTTCAATTCGAGCAATATTTACTTTAAGAACGAAAAAAAAAAGAGAAGAAACAATAAAAAAGAGCACAACAAAAAATGATGATGAATTCATTAATTAAAGTGAAACAAGATAAAGATTATGTATACATACGACATAATATGTGTGTTTTTTGCTTTGCAAATTGATTTTCGTCTAGTGATGAAATCACTAGTAGAAGAGAAGAAGGAAGAAAGCTGAAGAAGAAGAAGAAGAAGAAGAAAAGACGAACAATTCTATTTATTTACAATACACAAAGAAGTATTAAATTGCATCGATAGAAAGAAAAGAAAAACGAAGATTTGTATATTTCTTGATCGTTAGTTTTCGTTTTTTAAACAAGATCACTCTTCCTGCGACCTAAGCCATACCGGAATCCGCTAGAAAGAAAAATTCAGATGATTATCAATGAAGAACGAACAGCAAATGATATTGTTCATTACCAATAGCAAAGTTCGAAAGCATAGTATGAGCAGAGGTAGTATCACGCTCGAGCGGATTTATTCTAAGATGCATAACATGCGTTTTCCAAACAAACAAAGTAAGAATGTTTCGTTCATTTACCTGCCACTTGATATGGAATTTCTTTGTTGAGTCATATCATCGTCTGTTTGATCATCCTCTGGCCTAAGATATCGAGGAGTGAAATATATACGTAGGAGAGCGTGGATGTGGGCAAACTTACTTTGCTAGATAGGCTGGTGTTTGATATTGCGATAACGTTGTTTGCATTATTTCCGTATCGTTATCGTACATAGACCGAGATTGAAGTATTTCGGTAGGAGTCATTGTTTTGACTTTTTGTTCTGAAAAGGAAAATGAATATTTGTCGTTTTCGAATAGAGAAGGTGGTTTTGGATTATACCATCTTCTTGTTTCATTTGAAACAATTCGTGTTCGTTGATGTATTTAAATTGTCGAGCTAAATTTCAAGACGAAAATCGATTGTTGATTATCATAGAAACATCGATACACATACGTTTAGGTTTCGGTCCATGAGCTTGAAGACCGCTTTCGAAAAACTTCTTTTTATCTTTGAATGACCTTTCTGATTCCGTTACGGATATGTCAGACTAAATACAAACGAGTGAAATCGAATGATGAACACTGTAGAAGGATATCGATAACCTACTTCTTCGACTTCGAATCCATTTTGGGATTGTTTTGGTGTTGGATAGTTGTCACCATTGATGGGTGCGAATTGTGCATTAGGAGAGCGATATTTGGGTTTGGCGGGAACAGGCGGAGGTTGTGGTGATAATGGCTGACTCGTAGTATTAGCATAAATTGGACTAACAACTTTCGATGAATTCGAATTATTATGCGGTGATGATACACCATTTTGTCTTGTTGGAGGTATGGGTGAACTCGATTGTTGTGTTGAGGGTGGTCGAGTATTTTCGATTTGTTTCGATGGTTTGCTCGGACTTATGATTGTCGGTATCTGCAGACGAAAAAAATAGAACGTGTTCGACGATATGCAAATTTCTTACTTCTTTCGGTTTGAAACCATGACAGATTAATAGATGAATCGTTTCACTCGGTGCACTTAACCATTTCTGAGCATCGTCTAACCGTGCACCGAATAAACTTTGATTATTAACCTAGAAATGAAATCAATAGATAATCATGTGACAAAAATATTTCCTAATCGATGCTACGTCTAGTTTTATTTTGCCTTATTCGTTGTCATAGCGTGTATAGTTCTCTATAATAAACGCGAGTAATACATTAAAATAAATAAATAAAAACTAAAAAGTCTCATCACAATCTCGTACATAACGGCACGCGCAATAATCTGACCAACACCCTCAGGCGCGCGTGGTGGCAGGAGGTTATTTGCGACAATGGTTTCTGCCTCGTCATCGGGTGAAATAACCGGTATTTCTTCGGCAACTTCTAACAGCGATGACGCCAAAGCATCAAGTGTTTCATTCCGTTCGTTGACATTTTCGCTTGTTGAATGAATTGCACAGATAATTTCATTAATTTCGCATAGACTTAATCGGTCGGTCTCCTTCAATATTGCGTATTTCTCTGAGACGACCGATGTCGAATCGAACTGTTCATAAAGAGAAGAATTTGATGAGAGATACATATCAACAGCATGAAGAAGACGTAATGAATGAAGAGATATCTCATCGAGAGAATCGTTCTGATTTGGATCGGTTTTTATCGATAGAGAACTGTTACTGGAACAGTAACGAAATTCTTCGTGATGAATCTGAACATCAACAAATGGTTGACAAGTCCTCAGATTAGATCTTCCAAGATAATTCGATAAAGACGCGTAAGTACGAAAGAATAATGATTTGGGTGTTGACATTGATGATTGAGAAGTGATTGATTGTTTTTTAGGTAGACGTACACGTTTAGTATCAGTCGATGAACATGACGATGAAGATGAAACGGAAATTAGGTCTTTTAATGTAACGATTGGTGCAAATATTTGTTGTGTTAACGTTAATTGCTTTTGTTCATTCATGTTTTTCTTCGTTTGTTGACATAGAGTTAGAAAACAACATGATCGCAGTCGTTTGCGTTTCGTCTTCCTCTTTTGTACATGTCCATGTTGGATTTTTCTTGCCGATTTATCCAATGATAACGTTCGTTCGATATATGCGAGATCATCGAGGTTGGTTTCACAATAATCGTGAATTGGCTCATCAGTCGGTGTTGATAAGCATGATGAAACCGAATTCTGTGAAACGCAACAGCATTGTTTACGATAGGTTTTATTCATTGCCTAGAACAAGTGTTCACGTTGGACTCATTTTTGTAAGAAAGGCTTTCTCGGTTGAAGCATATATAAACGAAGATACATGAAGCAGTAGGCAACTTGATAGATGGATAATTGAGATGAAAATCAAATAATATAATGACCAGATGTTTAGCCTATGAATGAACACCATCACCCCCAGTTTAGAATCTTTTGACTAATTCTGGTGATGATCATTCACCGTGAAAAACAAAATGAGCGAGAAAAGAACATAAAATAAAGAACCGATATTCAATGACAGAGAAAACTACATACACATACACGTAGCGAATAAGGCAATAATAAAACAAGGCGACCATGGCGAAGAAATTTACCGTTTGAATACGGTTTCTCATTCTCAACTTACCTCGAGAATTCGAGTACCAACATTCAATATACCGGACGCTGGACTACCATCCTTGACCTTCAAACACAAAAGATAGCATAGTTTGGCGAAGGTGAGGATGGGAAAGCAAACCTCAGTAACAAATATGCCGTCATCCTCTGAATCGTCTGGATTCACACGTTTGCCATCAACTCCCCCATTGATCCGTATACCTAATGGTTCGCCTGTTTGTCGTGTCAATGTGACGTCCTAAGAAAACCCGAAGCAAGTTTTATAGTTAGCATGTGCGCTTCGACAACTTACTCTTAATCCCGCTGGTTGTGGATCATGTCGCACGAGAAGAACAACTTCTGTGGTTGGCTGTAGAAGTGCTTCCACAGCTTCAAGATGCGTCGCCTGTGAAACATCGCGGTTGTTCACTTTTAAAATTCGATCACCAATACGAAGATTCGTTCGAGAAGCTGATCCATTTGGAAGAATCTATTAGATCAAACATTGTCCCTTTCCTTTCTACTCATGAATATTCTCATACTTTTGATACAAACACACCACGTTGGTCCATGCCAAATGGTGGACATGCTTGATCAACACCGCCGACAATACTTAAGCCCATGGGACCATTTCCTTTGGTTACCCGTGCTTCCTAAACAAAATCATTCTCTGTTAATCTTGGATTTTTCTTTGCGATGAATACTAACTTCGATCGTATTATTGATACTTCCGGTTGATCCTGTTGGTACATGATGATTTCCATTCGTGTATTTTTCTCGATAGAGAACTAAATCCACATTACTTCCTCCATTGTTGATGATATTGATTGCTTGATCATGAGTAATATTTCCCGTGTCATAACCATTGATTGATAGGAGCCGATCGCCTACAGCTAATGGAGAATGGGATTCGGGTTTATTAACTTTGGAAATATAAAGATTTTCAAAGCCATTGACGGTTGATGGCGATGTCGCTGTCGCTTGATTTCCTCCAGCAATGGCAAAACCAAATTGTCCGCCTTGTTTCTCATCACGTTGAACAGTTGTCGAAAACTTCTCTCCTTCCTTCATTGGACTAGTGTCATTGTAATCATCAGATGATTGGAGAATTTCACGCATTACAATCATTTCAATATTATCACCGGCTTTTTTTAAAGCAGAGACCGCTTCACTATGTTCACAATTGATTAATGAAATTCCATTGACTGATACCAGTTTGTCACCAACAAGTAAACCAGCCTGACCGGCGGGACCATCTTCGTTGATTTTGGTTAAAAATATTCCCTAAAAAACACAAGAATGACTTCTTGAAACACAGCTCGTTGACATTTCCTACGTAATCATTGTCTTTATAAGGTGTCGAGCCGATACCACCAGCAATACTGATACCAAGACCAGTATTTGGTGGTCGATGAATCATTATTGTCAATTGCTCTTGATGAATAGTCATTTGACGACTATTTGTCGGAATCGATGATGACCGTGACTAGAAAAATTGACCAGAAAATAAGAAACAATCGATCAAAACCTCATTTGACAAAACACTTACATCCTTTCCTGGACTCGTCAGCGATGATTTCGTGGAACTATGCGACATAATGTGCTAAAAAGGAAAGACAAGACTCGATGAGTATTCATGACAGAATCAACGCTCTTACGTCAAAGTTGACCGAATCATTGTTTTTATTGAGAACTCGTTTGTTCTTCAAATGATGTGGTGTGTCACGTCGATGAAGTTTCTGTTGTTGCTGATGATCTCTGGTATGTTCTTCATCATTGACATTATCGGTAAATTCCACGTGTTTCTCGATATATTGCACTTGTTCACCGGTATTCTCATCATCTTCATCCTAAATTTGCCAAACATAAAGTACTAATTTATTACAAAGAAAAACACAAAAACCTACATCCGAATGACGTCGATCCGTTGTTGAAATTTCAGGTGGGATATATTCCATAGATTCTTGTGCGAAAGTGATTGAATCTGAAATCGACAACGATTCACACTAAAACTCATTTAGCATTACAATGAAGTTTTACCTGGAACGGTTTTATTCGGATGAGCTGCCGAAGATGCTGATTGACCGGATGAAGTCGACGGTTGGATAGAATTTCGTTGTGTGTCATGTGGATGAGCGTTCGGTTGAAACGGATGTTGATGATCGTGATGAAGCAGATTTCCATCAGTCGCGTGAAATTTCTTCGCAACTTTATTTCTCCATGTTCGTAAATCTTTTGGATGAGGTGTGTTATGACGTTGTAATGAACTCTAGGAAAGTGCAGAACATTGTTTGACGATGATAAGAAGAAGAAAAAAAGCTACAGCATACTTCTTTGCCTTCATCAGATTGATCGGCGAATTTCACAGAGCCCGTTCGTTCATGTCGATCTTCAAACTCTTCGATATTTTCTTGTTCAAGGCGATTGTTTATTGACTCATTATTGAGACTTTGAGATTTGGAAGCATTAAGAAGATTTTCTATGAGGAAAAAATCAATATTGATCAACTCGAGATAAGAAGAAACTAATACGAAGTGCAAATATTCCAAAATGATAATTGCCGAAAGAACGTAAAAGAACAAACCCAGCCTGATTAAAACTAGACTTTACCCTCCATGCGGTTATTGTTAGAATTGAAAGAATAAATCTCGTAAATATTCCATTTTAAATTCACACATCATCAACACGATTCGAAATATTCAATGGCGCATACATACCCATTGATGAGGTCGTATATTGTTGTTGTGGAAGCAGATAGCATGTGAGAACTTTCTCTCCTGTCGTTGGATCAATATCTGTCGCGAATTTCAACATGGGTTGAGCTTGATTTTCTGCAAGCCAGATCGCTTTAAGATCACATTCCAGTAATGTACAGGGTAAATTCAATAATCGATTGCCCGATAGATCCAAAACGTGAAGATGTTTCAAGTTGGATAATTCCGATGGAACTTGAGTGAGACGATTATCACGTAAACTGAGCATACCTAGTGATTCACAGCCAGCGATCTATGAACGAGAAAAACAGAGAAATCGACATGGTTCTCGAGAGATTGATCTACTTCGTAGGGTAAATAGGTTAATTGATTTCGGTCGACGTTTAAATTTGTCAGATGCTTAAGATTTCCAATAGTTGATGGAAGTTCGGAGAGTGCATTTTCGGTTAGAATTAATTCAGTTAGTGCCAAACAATTGCCGATCTCATCACATAATTTTGCTAAACTGTTCGAATTGATTTTCAAGATTAATAAACGTTGACTAAGTCGACCGATGGTTGATGGGACATGTTCGATTTGATTTGAAGATAGTTCTAGATTTGTCAGCGATTCTAAATCTCCGATATCATCAGGTAAATATGTTAGTTTATTCTCGGATATATCTAAACATTGCAAACGCTTCAATTGACCAATATCTTGGGGTAATTCGAGAATTTCATTCGAGTCCAGCCATAATTCTTTCAATGAATGTAGATTACTCATGTATGGCGGAAGTTGTTCGATAACATTCGAGCCCAAATCGAGCGATTCGAGTTTAGTTAAATTGACCAATGAATCAGGAAGAATTTTGAGCAAATTTTCTCGAACTTCAAGGATACGTAAATTGCTGAGACTAAAAGAAAACAAAACAACTTTCCCTTTTAGATTTCCTTCCGTTTTCCACTTCTTCTTTTGACAAGACAAACAAACACGATTTACTAACAACGGAAACGTCTTCTAACTTTGTTCGATCTTAAAAATAACAATTATTTCCATCGGATAGATTCTTCGAGATAATAATAATAATATTCTTCTTCTTTCACACATCAAATTCTCGTCTAATAAGTAGTGTACTCCTATTCATCGTTCAGAAAGAAATGCGTTCGATTCCTATTGCCTACAAAAGATCAGCAATTGAGTAGAAAGATGTTTCTTTCTCTTTCCACTGTTGAGATAATGAATGCACAAGGATGCAATTAATTAAAGGTCAGAATAATCTTGAAATGATTCGTTATATGTATCGAATTATTCCGGTGGATGAACACTAGAACCCTTCTGTGATGGGAAAACATTAGTTTTTATCTCGGGATGAATGCGTTAAAAATACAAGACTTAGTCTCAGCTGTCACAAACAGATAGAATTAATATCCTGATTTCAAGTCGTTTTCTTTTTGTCAACAAATCTCGCTTTTTAGATCATATTACAAGCCGAATAGAAAATGAGAAATTTTCAATGAATAATTTCGATGAGAGAGAAGAGAAACAAGATGAAGTGTTTGATTTGCCATTACTCCAGATTTCTCGTCAAATTGGTGTCATTGTCATTTTTAATTACCTGCCAATTTCTCTTGGTAGCTCAGCAAGCGATACATCGTTTAATGTTAACTGACTTAATTGACGAAGATGAATTATACCAGGTGGAAGACTAAATATTAAAAGAAAAACGAAAAAAAATAGAAATGTATCGAACACAAAACACGATTGCGATGTACTTATTCGCTAATGGATTTCCACTACAATCAAGTCGTTGTAGTGATCGACAATGACGAATATTCTCGGGAATTTCGGCGATGTCTAAGTACATAAAAAGAAGACAATCAATCATTCTTTGACAAAGTCGTGCCGTACCATTTCTTGAGCAATCAAGCTCTTCTAAATTAACCAGTTGTCCGATCTCAGGTGATATATATTGGATTTCGTTATCGCTGAATGTTAGACGACGTAATTGTATCAGACGATAGACGCCCTAAGAAAAAAAAAAAAAGAAAGATTGATCAGTTGGTAATGGATATTTGTTTGTTTTTCTAATAACCTTAGGCAGATCTTGAAGTTGATTGGCATCGAGTAATAAATCCTCTAATGTTCGTGTATAGCGAAGAATATCATCAGGTACATTGGTTAGATTACAATGTCGTTTATCGACTTGTTCGACGTTGCGATTACAAAATGGAATTGGAAAACACTTGAACATGATTTATGCGGCGCTTTGTGTTTCAATCGAATTTCGAGTTAACTAAGATGATAAGCCAATGAATGAATTTTGTTTTTATCTGACCGGCCTCGAACATTGTCGTCGTTTTTTCATCTGCAATGATATACATGTTCAATCAATACTTCTCCTCCTTTTCACCTTCATTCAGTACGACTAAACACGAACGAGGAGAAACGCACTTTTGCTTGTCGTCATTCAGGGAGATAAAGGATGAAATTTTAGTCGACATGCATACACATACATATGCAGTGAGGAGAAAGAGAAAGAATACGTACGCATTCGTATCCATTCACTGGGGACGACGTTCATCGCGTGTCGACATGTTCTGTTAAATGAGTCGACCAACAATATGATGATGATGGTAGAAAAGAAATAGAAAGAAAAGGAGAAGAAGAGAAGAACATAACGCAAGGAAATTAAAGAACGATCTTCGAAAGGAAACAGAACGAGAGGGAGAGAGAGAGGGAAAGGAGATGAGAAAGAACTAGTAATAACGATCATGATCATCATCAACAGCAGTCGCACTACGATACATAATGAGATGGAAGGTTATTATGGTTATACAAAACAAGCGATAATAATAGTATTCTTTGTTTAGATTTCGGTTGCAATCAGCGGCAGAAAAAAAGAAGAAAACCGACAAATAGAAAACTCTTTGTTTTTGTTGTCTGCCGATAATTTATTCTAATTTTCTATCGGTGGAAATTTGTTATTATGAAAAATAATATGAATCGACGCGTATCCTTTTTTTTCTCTCTCTCTAGCACGATTACACACATTGTATTTTGTATTTCCATATAAAATAGTGTGAGCGAGAAAAAAAAGAGCAGACGAAATCGAATGGTGCATATGTATGCGCGTGTGCAACAGCTTGAATAGAGATGATGCATATAGGCAGAGAAAAGTACTTCTCTCTCGCGCAAAAAACTATGTCGATTTGCTTGTTACTGCTATTATCAGTACGATGAATGATTGTCCTTCTTTCTTCGATGTGCACTAGAAGGCTTATTGCACTGCTTATGATAATACTACAAAGTGTATGTATCGGTATATGAAAAAGACAGAACTGACAAGGAATTACATAAAAGAAGAAAACGTCAGGCAACGATATGAGAGAAAAATGTGTTATTCTTGGTCGAAGTTACAGTTCGAGTATCAGCAAAGAAAGAAAGACTTCTAATCGAGATTTTTCTTGATAGAAATGCGTGATATGATTTGTTTGCCTATATTTAAGAAGGAGAAGAAAAAGCAACAAGGAAATGATAAATAAGAACGAAACAAGATGGTTAATATATGAAATATGTTTTACAAAAAGATCTTACGAGAAAGAAGAAAACACGGTCAATGAAATATACTCGACTCTAAACGACGCTGGAATTGCAATGCATAATAAATACATACATGATTGAAATCAGATGTAAAGATTTAAGGATCTGATGTTTTTCTCTTACTCTGTTGTTGTTGTTGATTGGTTGACAATAGGGAAAAGGTTAATGAAACTGAGAAAAGTCTAAGTAAGAAAGCAAAGGAAATATCATGGTGGAAAATAAAAATTGAAAAGAATACAAGGAAAGAGTTTTCTTTGCCTTTCATTGTTTTCCTGTTTGTTTTGTTTTTTGGGATTGTGATTTTTTTTTTCATTCCATTTCTTTTCTCTTTCTTTGTCTCATCAATTGATATGAACCAATGGAAAGTCATTGTCTTTGTAAGATGGTAACTACCAATCGGAGACTCGCGCATTCTAGATGCCGCTGTAAGCGCAAATCGAGTCATTATATATTGATGATCAGATCTATTAATTGAATCTTCTAATCTTTTTTTCTGCTTGATAAAATCAATGAGCTTTTTCACGTTCGAATAAGCACACTGTTTGCATTAGATCGTTTCGACGGATGTTGATGATGAAACATCCATAAATCCTGTCTCGGTAGTCGTCAAGAATGTGTTAGGAATGAGTAATTCCGTCAATCGAGTTTCTCTTTTTCGAGTAAATAGATCTCGCCGAAGGAATTCGTCGAGAATTCAACAAGTACCATCTGGACACATGTGTCGACAACCCATTTATTTACATACGGAGATTTCCCGAGACAACTATCATATGTACATTCAAAAAGCCATTAGTGTTCGAGTTGATGTTATTGAAATACATCGATCATTCGAAATGATAGCGACTTTAATTGAATGATTAATGCATTGGGAAGATATTCATATCTTCTTAATGAATGATCATTAAAAATACTTCTGATTAAGTTCTAGTCTATCAACGAACGATCTAGTCGAATGTTTACGCGTTAATTAGGAAATAATTTAATTACAATATCATAACATTCTCGTTTTGACGTAATAATATCCGTTCCGAGGAGAAAAGATCAATTTCTCCTTCTAATTAAAGAAACAAATTACGTTCGATCGTACGATCGCTTTTGCAATCATAGATTTTAATTCCTGTCAATCAAAACACATCAATTGACCATTGAATCCAATCTGTCATTTCACCTGAAGAAAATCCACATATGCGTATTTGAGGTCATAAAAAGATTTCTTTTTCCGATAGTCGGCCATTTCATGTTTTTGTGTAATACCGATTTTGATGACTTAATATATCATTGTTAATCAGTTATTAACGTTCGAACTGGTTCAGTTCATGAACATTGAAAAATCAGAATAATTATTTGATAGTATCTCGATATACTGAGCGAAAGCGGTAAATGATACGCCTGAGTTAATATGAATACAAACATAAGTATCTCTCATTAGAAAGAGAAATGCACGGCTCTTACAGCAAAGTTAAAATAAGAACATCACTAGAACGAAGCGAGAGAAAGAAAGGTAAGCAATCAGCGAAAAACAAAAATCGATCAATGACATCGACTGATATGCTCCAACATTCAAGCGAATGTGTTGAGTACGTATGTGTGTTTGTTTTTTTCCATAGGTGAATCACAAAGTTATTACACGACAATCAATAAAAGATAATTCAACGCATTAGACATCCTTTTCCTTTTTCTTTTCGCTTTCATATTGCTTGTGTACATATATACACAAACATTTGGATAGTACTTCTAGTTGTTTTGTTTTCTTTATCCATATTCACAACATGCCATCATTAGTTATTGGCCTGGATATAACCGACAACCATGTAACTTCAGCTTTCGTTCGAATCGAACAGATTTCCAGTGGTAAATTAGCCGTTGAACGCGACACGTATTTAACTCGCTTATATGAAATTACCAACGAGACCGATCCACGAGATATCCTGGCCATTTGGATTCAATCGATCGACGACCTTCTACTTGATTTTGTTGATCACTATCAAGAAAATGATCATATTATTGGTATTTCAATCGGCATGCCTGGTCCAATGGATTATCAATCAGGCACATGTCACATTCAATCAACGTTATTTCAGAAATTCTTTGGTTTGAACATACGTTTGTCACTTGAACATGGCCTAAAAGATTTAATCTTACGTTGGAAACATGACTATTTCGATAAATATCAAATTTTATCAACAGCCTCATTAAGAAAACCTTTGACTAGTCTTGATAAAATGCAACAAGGGCAAAAAACAAGAAAGATGACGATAACACCACCCACAACTCCACATCTTCCAATAAGTTTCAATATCGTATCGTCGACGATTGAAAGCTTCCAAGACAAACAATCTATTAACCAGATTTTATCGAATTTTTGTGGACGATATGATCATGACGATTTCGACATACCTCGATCACGCCGCGAAACGTATTTTCACGATATCGAACAAATTTCTACTCCAAAATCAATCAGTACTCGATTTACACCAAGATTATGGTCAATTATCGAACGTTTAAACCACATACCGATTACATTCTATAATGATGCAGCATGTTTTGCTTTAGGAGAAATTCAATATGAACACAATCAAGTTTACGAACGAATATTAGCGTTAACTTTAGGTACTAGTTTTGGTTCGGCATTTCTCGATGGTGGCCAAGTTATCACGCAGCGAGAAGATGTTCCATTAGACGGTGCGCTATGGAATTGCCCGTATGATCAACACTCGCTGGCTGATGATTGGTTTTCAACTCGTGGTTTAATCAATTTGTATAAAAAACTACTTCGTTCAGAATCGCCTGACGATAGTTCCGGTACGAGTAGTATGACATTATCCGGTGATGAACGTCAACAATCTGACGATTATTTATACATAAGCGACGCTTATCTTCTTCGACGAGCGTCTAACGGTGATCCACTTGTGATAAAAACCTTTCAAACTTACGCTCGTTTACTAGGACAATTTCTCATTCCCTACATAGATGCATTTCGTGCTCAATTAATTATCATTGGTGGTGATCTGGCTCAAGTTTGGTATTTACTCGAAGATGAATTGAATTTAACCATCCAAAAATTTTCCCAAGCGACTATCTATTTCAGTCTTTCGCAGGGTAAATCCATTTGTCTAGGTGCTGTTCAACAACATATCTATGAACCGAGAAAACGACCTCTTCGGCAAATTCACCAGTCTCTGCTACCTGTAGTGAAAACGATCGACACGTCAAAATATGATATCTACCCATGCCATCCGATTCCAAATGGATCGATTGGCATCGGACATCGAACATTGAATGACAAATTCTATCAACTGATCGAAGATAATGAAATTCTTCTGATCGATGGTTTTGTTGGTACAGATTTCAGTGAATATGCACACCATTTAAATCGATACTATTTGGAGAAAGCACTGAGTAAAAATTCTTTACCGTTATTATTCTACGATAGTCAAGTATTTGTTCAAACCAATTCGAATATGCAACGCGAAATTTACCTTCAAAGTCCTCGATCATTCTTCGGCCGTATTGCATACGATTTAGATTTTCCACACGATTTTCTCGATGTCAAGAAACTAAACCTTCTCAAAAACAATCTTTCCTATCCATGTGTTGTCATCGGTCCAGCTTCATCTTATGTAAACGACAGCGCACCATTAGCTTACATCGACTTGCCTAAAAACGAACTATATTATCGTTTAGCAACCGGATCGGCTAGTTCGTATTTGAAACCAATGCGAAAAATCAACTTCAAGGACAATCCATTGACACCGATGATGTACGAACGTAAATGTTTATATTGTCTCGATTATCCAGTTTTGAATAAACTCAAACAAGAATTATTACCTCGAATGACTTATTTTATCGATGGACAACGACCGCATTGTCCGACATGGATCAATGGAGATACATTTCGACAAGCACTTCATTCTTTAGCAAATCAACCGGTTCGTCCTCGACCTTGGTTTGAAGCAGGTCCATGGGGTGGTCAATGGTTGAAATCAACCTGCCAAAATATTTCCCAACATGCACAAAATTATGCACGATCATTGGAAATGTTTCCGTCGGAAAATGGCATCATTTTGTCCGATGTGAACTATCGTCTTTTAGAATTCTCATGGGATTTGTTCTACGGTTCACAAGTGAGTCAAATCTTAGGTAACGATGTTCATTGTCGATTATTTCCGAATTCGATGGACTTCCCACTTCGCTTCAACATTATTGATACGATTGAGGGTGAAAATATGTCATTACGATGCACACCGAATCTTCAGTATCTTCGTACGAATTTCGGCGAGAAATTACCGCAAGATCAAACGTATTACGTGCTCCACAAAGATCGAAGAAAAGACTCAGCAGATATCTATCTTGGCTTTCAACAGAATGTCAATCCAGATGACTTTCATCAAGCTTTAGTCTTAAGTGATACAAGAAAATACGAACTCAACGTGAAGAAATATATTCAATCCTTTCCTAGCAACGTTCACGACTTCTATTTAATACCAAATGAAACAATTCACGCGTGCGGACGAAATCAAGTCGTTCTTGAAATCTCCACAGCACCTCATTTATATTCATTCGAATTATACGATTGGCTAAGGAGAAATCCTGACGGACGTTCACGCCCTTTAAACATTGAACACGGAATGAAGAACTTGAAATTCGATCGCCATGACGATCAACTTTGTTGTCAACCTAGAATGGAAAAGCTCGAACCGAATCGATACGAAGAACAGCACTTGCCGACGCATAATCTACACTTGTATGATGTACAACGTCTGATTATCGAACCGGATCAATCCATTGAAATAATACGTTCAACGGAAAATCGTTTTCATTTGTGTATGTTAGTCGAAGGTAATCGAATCGAAATCCAATTTGATCAGAATCAAGAAAAACAAACTCGTCGATTTAATTATATTGAAACGTTTCTGATTCCGGCAGCTATCCAACAATATACTGTGCGGCCAATAATTCAAAATACGGATGATGTAAAGAAATGTATTGTACTTATCGCTTTTCTTAAATGGAATTGTGAAAAATTACTCGAATAAATATTGTTAGACACACGTCATACTTAATCAGTTCTTATAATTAGTTTTTGTTGAGTTAGAAAGTATTGAGGATGTATGTTTTCTTTTTGAATTTCTTTTTCTTTTTCTTTACGATGTTAACAATATCACATGAATGATACGTTCAAGAAAACAAACTCAGCTAAAAAGTTATTTCTTTGCTGGTGAAGCGGTAGTTGAAGTCGTGGTTGGTTTCGAATTCTTCGATGGATGCTTACGAACGGCGCGTTTCTTTTGTTGCGTTGGCGAGGTAGTTTCTCCGGTAAAGTACGATGTTACATTTTTCAATAGAGATGAGAGTGACCAGGATGATTTCTGTGGTGTTGTTTTGATCGGTGTTGTTCGTCTCATGGCTTTGCTTGGTGAACCGTCGCTGGTTGTTGTACTAGCGAGTTTAGCTTTGCGAGATTTACGTAAGTTTTTACGAGCAACATGATTGTGATGTTTGGTGAATTTCAAATTACGGACGTATTTTGGATCAACCTGAAACGAATACAAAAACCGTTAGATTGACTGGAGAGGAGAATGTTCGTTGTACGTACTCCGGTTAAAGATGGAAAACGTTGCGATTTTGGTCGTTTGATTCCATTACGATGATCCTTACGGTCTGAGGAAAATTATCGAGCGAAATATATGAGCGAATTCGAAAACAGTAATTGCATACTTTGATTGTGATTCGTGTGATTTTTGCTTTTAGCCATTGTTCGTTTCTCTCAATACAAAAGATCAAATATCTGCAAAATATTCGAAGTGAATCAGTTAGGAAAATCTTCTTCGTTGAAATCGATCTGACTAGAACTGAATGAATTTAATGGCTAAACTATTTTGTCAAATGATCTGATTGGTTTCGAGAAAACGTTTTTTCAAAATTTATATGGTGGAACATATCAACATTCATGTAAGAGTGACATCTATTCTTGTATGCAGTTGTTTCGTTGAAGAGCAGTTATTATAATATGAAAGGAAGGATTTGATTACATCTTATTAATAGTTATGTTTGTTTTCATGCTGTGTTATTCTTCAAGAAGTTAGAAACATGTCGATAGCCTAGATCTAGAAGAAGCGTGTCTGTTCGGGTTAAATCATGACGATTGTTTTCGAGTTCAGGCTGTTTCACGAGGTTGATCTTGGTCAATGGCCGTGCCATCGTCAGCTGTGTTTGAAGTTGTATTCATTTGTAAGACGTTTTTTAGCAGTTCGATGATGATTGTATAATCTTCGTTGAGATAAGGAATTTCGTCGAGTTCAGATTTGGCCAGTTCTAATTGACCAACTAAAAATATCAATGAAATGGATGATTAGAAGAATGTGTTCATACTTGTCGGTTGCTCTTCATAAATATGTGCAGAACTTTCTTCGATATTATCCGATAGATTAGGTACACGATTAATTGTTGGATAAGGCAGATCGTGATCTATAGAAAAAAGTATCGCAAGTTATGGCAGTTAATCTCGATGGATTGACATTTACTTTCAGGAAAAGATACTGTTTTGCTCTTTCGATCTAAATATTGTTGAAAGTCAGGATCGAACTGATAGGTCACCTCGTAGCATTCGGAATATGTGTCGCCATTTGGGTGAACGACATATACTGTCTCATCAGGATTTTCCTCGTCGGAAATGAATGGTGATGACGGGTTGATTGGATCTGTGATGATGAACGTATCCGTTTGAAAGATGTCTTTCGCATCGGAATCAAGAGTGTTGTACGGATGGGCTGATGATGAATCGGCATCGATTAGAATTATTGGAATATTCGGTGGTGGTGGTGCTGTTTGTTCTGTTCCGCCATCTTTTGAAGGAATTTCAGTTTGTGATGCGTTGGTTATGTTATTTTCTGAGTCCGTTTTAGACGACGCGGCATGTTTCTTTTTGATTTGTAAACACTTTCGTTTAATGAAAAGAATCTTCGGAGTGAGAAAATCTGCTTTTCGACTCTTGGTAGTTTTCTTTCTGGGCGATGAAATTTGAAAGTTTTCTGTAATGATCTCCACATCGGGAAGCACTGGAATGATCGCTATTTGATTAACATCTGTGGCTCGTTTCGATTTACAACTATTAGCGAATACTTGGCTTAGATTTCGTAGGCCTATCGCTAAATGTTTAGTACTAGTCGATGGAATATGTGCCTCCGGTGATTTTTCGTTTACGCTATCTGTTTTCTGCTGGTTTAGAATCGGACAGATCGGTGCACGACGTTTGAAACTTGTTTCGCGTTGAGTAACTATCGCATCGAACTGATCCATATTTGATGGATACGCTGTAATCGTGACCGATGATGACCCATGGTGATAATTTGGAACGCGGACAATCAAATCCGCGAGATTTTCATTTCCTTCGTGTTGCTCAATACTAACAATCGACCCGTGATAGATCGGTATTGACGGAGGCTTACGAATTTTCGAGACAGGTAACGATCCGCCATGACGCTCGTCGACAGACTGGGAAAGAGTGGCTGTCAATTCTTTCACTTCAGGAACGGTTAACTAGACAAAGATTGTACGAAATATTCGTGTATCATCATCATCGGAAAACTTGGAACACTTACGATCATCGATATAGTTCGACTTCCAAGAAGCATTGCCATTGCTACTAACCGAGAAAACGGAAAGAAATCAAAGCTTCTGTCTGAAATAACAACACTGCTTGTTATTCTTGGTTTGAAATCGGGACAATTAGTTTTTCTTCTTCGTCTTATCAGTTCAGAGCATATGCTATACCTTCCGACAAAAACAAAACCTACTCAAATTACCTTCGATTGAAAAATACTGGAAAAAATCATCGCGTCTCATTTTTTATTCTTGTTTTGTATTACACATTGAAATCAATTATAAGACAAAGAAGAAAAAATACACAAAATATATTTAAAAAAAAAGAAGGAAGTATTCGTCTAAATCAGTACTGCTTCGTTGATAACTTCAAATTCGAGCTTATTTCGTGTTAAACCATCTTTGATCAACATGAGGACATTGGCGAATTCTAAGTTCTCCACATTCACACCATTAACATTGACGATTCGATCATTTTTTCGAAGGCCAATCCGACAACCAGGAGAGGACGGTTCAACATCACGAATACGATGATTTAAACGTGTTTCTGCATCGGTTGCTATCACAATTCCGAGACCGTTATAAGAATTCGTACGTTTCAATGTGTAATGTCGAAGTGTTAAATCAGGATTTTTCGCAGGCTCTGTAGATTTAGGTGATTCTAGAACAGGACAAAACGAAATGAAAAGAATTCTTTTCTTGTGTCAAAAGAAACAAAGACTTTGACATTCAATTCTGTTCTCCTTACCTTTGACTCACGTGTAAAACTATTAATCATACTGTGTTGATCGCCTACCTGTATAATTGTGCGTTATGCATATTAGAAAGCATTGAAAAAAAGAAAGAGAGAGAGAGACAAATGAAGCTATTTTAGGCGTCAAAGTGTAAGCATGGGCTGTCCGAAAGAACGATGTTGGTGTTTAGAGTGGTATAGATATGTATATATATTAAAATATAGATAAACTTATGAAACAAAAATTCACACATGGTCCTCAAAAACACAAATGATGATCTGTTCATGGAAGAAAAGAAAAAGAACGTTCTTTTTTTTTATAATCAAAAATATGCTCTGTGGTTACCCTGTGTTTGGTTTGTATCCTTATAGAAATGATTGGATCGATCATAATGATTATCTCGTTCGAGTCCAAGTGGTGATCGGGTGTAAGTTCTATCGTCTGCAGTTGAATCTACTCAATAACATAGTTCGTAGAAAATCCTTTCAACTCGTTCACGATCGGCTATCTTACCGGAAAAGTGGCTGCTGGAATAGTAACGTGCATCGTAGAAATACTGTTGATGTTGTCGTCGTTCATATTCATATCCGGGGGAAAACGAGGCTTCTTTTAATTCACTGTAGCTACCTGATTCCTGTCCGTAGAGCTTCGGTTTGTACGGTGAATCAATCGCAACTCTGATTGGAACAACTTCATGATCATTGGGTGCACGTTCGATGAAGACTGATGTTGATGATTTTTTATTACTATCCGTATTACCATCATCGCGCGGACTCCATGTACGAATTTCACCACCATTGTTAAAGTTTTGTTTATCTCGAGTGTAGATTGTTGCTGAACTGCGATACGTTACTGGAATATCAGATGATGTTGTGTGCGATGTTCGGGATGTCGATCGATAATCATCGTGAGGATCGATATGAATAACGCTAACATCGGGATGGACAGATGATTTTGACGGTGTTAATGGACGAATGTAACCATCGAGCGGTGAAAATGTTTCTGAAGAGTTAGGTCCGCGGAATGTCGTAGTTGATGCGTCGAAACGATGAGTTGAGTAAGGATTAGTTGAAAGAATCCATGGATGGCTATTATAGCTGCTAGAAAGTGGTCGCATATGATGTTGAACAATGGCACTCAACCAAGGATATGTTTTATCTGAAAGGGTCAAATGAGAATGCTCGGCAAATGAATTTTAAGCAATGAAACTTACCGATAGGCGTGAAATTATCACGATAAACATGATCTGTGTCAGATAATGCGCTGTAGGTACTGATAATTGGTTTATCAAACTTATTCAAGTTCGATGTCGAACGGTATGATTGATTCGGATCCGCCTGGTTTGTTTTACTGCCAAGTGTTATCGTTGGAGTGTGTAATTTTGGCGCATCGATTTCCACAGATGTGGGTGATGTGGAATATCGTTCATTATTATCAAAAGATGTTGTTGATGTAAGTCTCCATTGATTTGCATCCGTAGTAAAGGTTCCTGACGATGGATAAACGGCAATTTGTGGCAGCGTCGGTGTCGAATTTGTTAAATTTTGAATCGTACTGTTCACTTGTCGTTGTTGAGCTGGTCCTGGTATGATTTCAAGATTGGTTATCGTTCGATTGGCTGTAGACGGTACCGACGTATCGTAGCGACGCGGATAATCAATATTTGCATAATGTGTACCTGAAGGATCTAATATTGGTGAACGCCGTGATTCCGTTAAATACGATCGTGGAGGAGTAGTGGCATCAATATTTGTTGTTATTACCTATAAAATAAGTGAAAAGCGAAATTGACTTCGATATGAAGAGTACTTCGTGTCAGAAGGCTGAATGTACAGGATAAAAATATCTCGACAAACAACTCAAGTTAATGATTTTTGTGTTATTTATGAGGCGAAAAGAAAATACGATGGTTTTATTCCTACCTGTGGAGATGTTTTGGAATTTTCAATAGTCGTGTAATCGCGAAAGCCTTTCGTTGTTGTTTCATAACTTGATGTAGATTGAATTCGTCCCGTTCCGCTGTGAGCAAATTCAGGCGTTCGTGGTACGTATGTTTGGGTATGTATCGATGTTTCATATTCATCAATATGCACAGGCGCAGTTGGTTCCGTAGTTGGTATCGATTTCTTTTTACTTTTTCGACTATTCTTTGATTTCGTTTTGATACTTGGTTCCGACGGTGATCGCGGTTTTTTCTTTCCAAATGGCCATTCGACAATGGGTGCCCGTAGAAGTGGAGAATCAGTCGATGTTCTCAACGTTTCTGGAGTTGGAGATCGTTGTCTTGTTGTTGCGAGCGGTGGCGGAGAGGGAACTCGTTCGGTCGTAGTATTCCGATTCGGAGAATTGGAACTTTTTCGAAACAAATTTCGAAATTTGCCACTCAAACTACGATGATTCTTCTGCTGTTGAGAATTACTCACATTGGCAGTCGCATCGTTCCTAGTCGGAGTACGGCGTGTTTCAATCGTAGTCGAATTTTGTCCAGAAAACATCGTTGTAGACATCTTTCATGTAAATAACACGTTGTTCACTTCTTTCTAATGAATAAATTAGAAAAATGATTTACAAATATTCATCACTATATATATACATGCGGCATTTACTTACACTTGAATGAAATCTTATATGTGTGTTATACGTATATTTAGACACGCGCAAGCACTTTTTTGTCGCAGAGGATAAGTGATTCGATAACACGACTATGGTGAATGACGTCGTTCGTATTTTTCTCTCAAGTTTAACGTTGTATTTGCTTGATGAAAGATTTCGTCGCATAATCTCTCCTTCTCTCGCTCTCTGAGATGAAGAGAGAGAGAGAGAAACGGAAGCAAATATTGCAAAAGAAAGCTGATAATATAAAATTCCTTCGCCTCTTTTCTCTTTCTTGATCACATTTAATCTTATTGATCGAACAGTTCAAAAAAGAAATGAATGATTATATATATATACATTTCCATCGATTACGTCTACCTATGTTCTTTTTCTCCTTGATTAGACATACAGAAGTGTTTTGTTTATTCACGAAGATATTTATGACAGCAGGAATTTGCTTCTCTTGCCATGCAAATTATTCCTTCTCGTGCCAACCTTCTCATATTCATCTTCGGCGCGTCGTAGTTGTGAATACTCATCAGTAAAACGAATGTCTCATTCTCCACCTACATTCTTCAAATACAAAGGATTCTTCGCGACGTTTCGAATTACTTTGCTTATTCATTTTGACAACGTTGATAAGAAAAAGTAACCGAATGTATTCATAATCACCGTGTCATATACATCGTTTTTCTTTCCTTACGATAACAATCTTTTTATGACTCGAATTCGTTTTGAAAATATCGTTTACAAGCATCTTTTCACATATATGATTGTGTTTTTTCTTCACAAGAAAGAATAATTATTGATTTAATTCTCCGAACATGTTGATATGCCGAGAATCTGCATAACATATTAATTCTATCTCATTGAGTTTAGACACGAATTGTCATCCAAGAAGAAACAGCCTTGTATGCATAGTTCAAGGTGATTCATTGAAGAAAAATCGAGTCAAGCAGAACGAAATAAAATTTTCAAAAAGTAAATCATTCGATCGGCATTGAATGCTGAATATGATATAACATTAAATCCGATCCGTATTTGATTATTCGCACCTGGAGAATAGCATCAAAGAATTGAGATGCCAAACATAGTTGAAAGAGAAAAGAACTTATTTTGGCATATACCTCACAGCTACGCACTTTACAGTTGACAAAAATTGTTTTGTCATACTAGAAAGAATATATTTCTGAAGGGGTTGAGAATTTGAAAATTATCGCTCGAATGATTTTGAATACAATTTTCAGGGGGAAACGCTCGTATGAAATGTCTAAATGTGCCTTCTAGTTCAATTTTTCTTCTTCTTTGTTCCTGCTGCATTGATTGCTTTGCCTTTGGAGATGAATTTTTGTTCTTGGAGGGTGATTTCTTCTAAACGCTTGCGTTCATTTTCAAGAAATCGCTGTCGAAATGCTTCGCGCGATGCATCAACGGCTTGACGGGCTTGATCGATCTTTGTTTGTAAATCAATGTACTCTTCTAGCTGACGGAGTTTTTCTTTATGACGGTTATTTTGATCGATTTTCTGCTCGAGACGAATATCGTTTATGCGTTTGGTGAAGTCAAGAAAACTCTTTTGACGCCGTTCGATATCTTCCTGTTCGAATCTTGTATCTGATATAATAGGCTCTTTTGAAGGTAATTTTTGTCTAGAACAAAGTAGACGAACTTGTGTTGATTGGAATTGAAAAAGAACAGTGAATTACTTGAGAAATGGTTTGACATTGAGTAGCGGTAAGATTAATTTCGGTTTGCTCGGTGATTCGTTTAAGAGTGGTTCATCAATCGGCGGTGGCGATGTCTTGATTTGTGCCATGGTCTCAACTTGTTTTGCAGGTTCTTCTTTCGCGGAAGTCTTTTTTGATGATACAGAAGATTTTTTTGATATTAAAGACTGTCGAATAGTTTCTTGTTGTTCTATAATTGGAGAACTGATTGCACCGTTGTTGGGCTGACTTTCTGAATTCTCTATAAGCTGCGATGGTGGTTGATCATCAACTTTTAGCTGCAAAGATTCGAGAAACTTTTGCCTGGATTTCATTGCTTTTTCAGCTCGACCAGCTTGTAATGTTTCCCAAGCTTTTTTGATATTCATCAGTTCGTCCTGTCGTTCCGTATCCTTCTTTATAGTTAATTCATCCTAAACTCGATCGATTGAGATAATTATACAGTTCAATCCTGTCTTACCATTTTGTCAGCATCGGAGACGACTTGTAGTATCCAATGGGGTCTACTTTTGTCGAGGATTTTATCAGCAGTTGCTTTTGCTGTGCTGGGTCGTGTAGTTGCAGTTGTTGTATTACCTTTACTACCAGTAGAACTACTTCGTCCTTTTCCTGTTGCTGAAGATAATGTCCCGGTGTTTCCTTGGCTTGTTCGTTTAGTAGTCGCTGAAGTGTTTGGAGATCTATCCGTCTTTGTTGGTGTCTGTTGTCGATTTGAAACTATATGGAAATGAATTTGATCCAAGCTGAATTAGAGAGGGGAAAAAAGTGTACTTTTCGATTCATTCTTTTCTTGATCCTTGATGTGTTCAATAAAATGCCATTGACTTGGTGTTAATGGCCATGATTTATGCAATACTGTGACTTGAATAATATACTTATGGTACTAAGAAATCAATGGTTAGAGAGCGTTTCATTACATGTTAACATGCGATTAAGTAGATTACCTTTTCTTCTACTTCAATTGTTGGAATTGCTGATCTACTTTCTGGCCTCTAAATCATTTTTTGAAAACTCTTATTATTGTCAAATAAGCTCATGCAGTGTTCACTCACGACTGCATCTTTGTCTAATCGATTGGCAGTATTCAAGGGTGTTGTGTCGCCCAGATTTGTTCGGCTTCCGTCTCTTTTACGTGACCCTATTATAGAAAAAGATCAATATTCAACAGAAGTTTATCAAGAATTTCACCACCTCCTCCTCCTGCTTTCGATGTTGGTCTTGTTGATGATGACGATGGCTGAATCGGAGGCGGTGGCAAAGGGGGTGGCTGCTGTATTGTATTCGTAACATTACGCATGAAAAGTATGGAAGGCACGACAAGACATCCTTGCCCTTCTATGTGTAATAGTTCTTCATTGTTATCGAAAACAGTTAAACGCATCAACACATCTGAATTTGATGTTTGAAAACGCAGACTAGCTAAATGAAAACCGCGGCCAGTTTGATTGATATCATCGGCAACGATTACTCGATATCTAAAAGAGACAAAATCTCCTTCGATCCACTCAGAACGGAGTTACTCTACCGGCATATCAGCTGTTCTCTGTTCGGAATGTAGTAGTCCATGATTTCTTTGGTGATAAATGCAGAAGTGATCTGCTCCGTATGAATTTCTGGAAGATGTGTATAAGATGTTATCAATCGTAGTCGAAAACGTCCGTTTGAAATTGATTGATCTGTTGATTTACCTTCAGCCAAAAAGGTGTAGCCGTTCTATATTCAACCGAAAATCAATGTTAGTTTTCTTCTGCACAAAAAGTTATTACTTTATTTTTAGTAAATATATGTGGTACTAATCGGTTGAATACGAGTGGCAATTCTTCGTAGGTATCGTTGTTAATAACACGCAAGACAGAATTTGGTACATGTGAAAGTAATTTGGCAGCTATTAAATTCTCTGTGATAACATAAAATATTTCTCTATAGGAGAAAAGGCGATATTTATTAGCTATTATTATCATGTGCGAATAGATTGCTTACCGAAACAAAACAAACCACGTATTGGCTGGTTGTTCTGAATAAATTCCATGGTAATCCCGATAGGTAATCATATTCCAATCGTCATGATAGAATCCAAAGCATTGGACCAATCTTGGTTCGGTTGACAGAAGATTTCTTCAAAAGAATATGAAAAGATTGATGATTGTTCGAATCTCGTAGGAGACTTTACTTAAATAGAAGAGAGGCTGATTTCGCTGATTCGTGTTTCAGTACTGTCATTGTTGATTGTAATAACCGTTGAGTAAGTAGATTCTTTTCTGTTCCACCTGTGCGCGCGAGCATGATGCGGCGTTGAAGAAATCCTCGAGCACTCTTTTGAATATTTGTCACAGATCGTAGTTCGCCAACGCTTAGCTCTCGAGTTAGCAAATCCGATGATGATTCTTAAAATAGTAAAACAATGTATCATTTTTCAAACTTTCGTATTTACCTTGTATTTCTGATAATGGCGATGAACGTGTTAAAAGCATGTGGTGTTTTAGATTGCTTTTCTCGTCTGTACTCTTATCTTTTCCTGTACTGGACTTTTTACTCGAGGATGAAACCGATGAACTGGTGCCTGTTCTTGCCGAATGACGTCCAGCACTTGGAGCAGCTAAGAAAATGATTTCAAACGATTGTTTTCTAAACTGAAATTCTTACTCGGGCGTTTTGGCTCATAAGCTGCCAGTATATCTGGCGTCGACAGATCATTTGTGTAGCATCTCCACGCAAATTGTGTGTCTGCAGTAATTGTTGAACCTGACATATTCAACATTGTCCGAAGTGTCACGTATAATGCTTGGTGGAATGCTTGTAAACATTTTGCAAAAGGTATTTGCAATAATTCAGGTGCTTGTTGACAGTAATAACGTAGAAAATCGTGTAGCTCATTGGTTCGCTGATCGACTAGGTGGAAATTCTGTATCGAATCATCCAGAGCAAGAAAGAGTTCTTCAGCGCGAATTTGACACTCAGCATCTTCCTGAAACTCAGAAGACTTCATCAATTTTAATGAGATGATCAAGCATTCAACCTACAGGTACGGATGTTAGTCTATTCATCAAGTGATCTTCATCACCAAGCATGAAATCATTCGTATCACATAGAATTTGTAGATTATAAGCAAACGAGCATGTACTGACAAGTTTTAACACATGCCGACTAGAACTCTTGAATGAGAAACAAGTATGAGATACTTTTATGAAGGACTTACCCAGGTGGTAAGGTTAATAGAGCAGCTTTAGTTGTTGTTGTATGAAGACGAAGAATAGGTTGTCCTTGTGAAACCGATTTCCACGAATAGAGATCGACGATCAACGAACCTCCTTGTGATATGATCTCTTTTTGTGACACTGACAAGAGACGAAAATTATTGATCTGTGTTCAAATGTTAGTCATCGGTAATTACGTATAGGTTTGGATACATTGGGATCAATAGAAGGCTTTTCTATTGACACACTTGAGCCGCGAATAACTTTTTCGTTGAGTACAGGACCATCGAGAGGAATAGCGTCAAGCCACCGTGAGACACAAGTTAAGCTGACAAGCAATTCGATATTTTTATCTAACGTATCACGTGTACTATCGACAAATAGATACATGACTGATTTGTCATCCTGTAGGTTCTGTAAAAACCGAGTAATGAAACGATTGTCTTTCGAAAGGCAAAAATCGATCTCTGTACCGGAATTTGTGGAATCACTGGTTGGATAGTTTCTTTCTTTCGTTCTCGCTGAACAGGAGTTGCCACAGGCTGAAGACAATCAGTATGTGAACATCATCTGAAACAGGTCGTATTGTCTTACCCGTTGATAAGGAGTGAACTACAAAAGAAGGAGATGTCTGAAAATACTAGTGCGAGTGATAGTTTTTTTTCCTTACTTTGATATCCGTATGTTTATGCATGTATTGATAACCATCAGGATTATGAAATACGATAATTGAACTAGAATAGAAATAGAACCGGTGTGAGGAAGAGCTGATGTTTTTGTACTAACGTAAAGCATGTACAAAAGTCATTGAAATTCATCCAAACTTTTGGTGTTAAATGGGACTTCTTTGGTAAATTTTGTTGTTGGATCTGATTTTCTATTGTTTTCACATCTACTGGAGTCATAATCGGATCAATATCATTGTCTAGAAGTATTGAGCATATAATTCAGATATGAGACATAATCAACTAACCTTTACTCTTTACTGATAGTGCATCGAATGATAGTTTCGAGCTAAAAACCGACGATTTTCGTCGCAGCTATCAAAATTCTCAGAAAATATCAAGGAGAAAAGAATATAATCGTTTACTTTGCTTCTGTCAACAGACAATTCACGTTTGAATTTATTTGCTGCACAGCGCATAGACTCATCAAGTTTGTCTGTTGCATCATTAGTATTTAACTAAACAAATACTTCTACTATCTCTTTAATTTGCCTGCAAGAACAGCTTCACCTCTTTTCTCGATGGCATTGAACCGACGGTAGTGAGAATTTCCGATGCATCACTATTTTTATTGTCATCGACTTCATCGATGCCACTCATATCTGATTTGCGTCGACGAGTTAAACGTGATGGTCTGCTTGGCGAACTATAAACACATGGGTTTCGATGTTTATTATCGAAGAGATGTACTTACATGACATTTTTCTCTAGTGAATGTGATCGAGCCTTTGGTTTCCTGTGTTATAAGAGGAAAACAAGTGTAAGAGAAAATGTAGCTGAAAGATTCGAAAAAATACGTTTGTAAAGCACTGGCTGTTGGATAGTTGATGTATGGTGAAGTGATTTCAATCCAACGTTCATCAGGCTTTGATTCTTGTAAAGCTAGAAGAAAATCGATAAGTAATGTAAGTATGCGTTTTACAAAGGTGTTCAGTACCTGCCGGTTCAGCACTCGGTAACGATTGGGTTTTCTTTGGTCGAATTTGCTTCCATGCCGGTACGAACTCTGGCGGTGGTGGTGGCTCAAGTGGAATATCCCGAATCGAAGTCAACAAGATTGAAGTGGAAAATGTTTCATTCAGATTATAATGTCTCAGTCGTTCGCTTCGATTAGCTGCTTCACTGAATGAACTAAGACGAACGGGTTGTGACTGTGATACTGTTCCAAAAACGATCATTTTCGGTGCTTCGGGAATGGCTTGATCCATACTGCTAGCCGGTGTACTACCTTCCCGAACCGTCACCACTGGTTTTCTCGTATCTGTCGGAAGAATGAACTCGTATAAACGAAGTTTCTACTCGAACTGACAAAAACGAATATCTTACTTGGACGACTTTCTTTAGAACTTGTTGGTTTGAATTGCGGTGCATCTTTAGCGATAGCTGATGTGCGTCCTTTTTTAGAACTTTTGTCATCTTGTAGATCTACTGACTGTTGTTTCGAAGGACATAACGAATTTTCAATACTCATAGGGATTTCATCCGATGGTTCTGCCCATTTAAATAATGGCAGTGGTCCAAAGGATGGCATTGAGTGACAATCATTGTCAGATACTTGTCTGTTTGAGCGATCGTAACGAAGAAAATTCCAAACTTTCTCAGTATGTGTATATCTAAACGACAGACAAGTTTTGATCTTTGGTGCATTTTATCTCTCTTTCGAATCTGTTACTTGAGAGGAATAGGTTCTGGAATCCAGCTAGTCAGCGAATGAATAATAGACGTTTCATTTTGTTCTGGAAAATCATGCAAAGTATTGAAACTAGAAAAGGTAGGAAAGAGATGATTTTCTTCGAAAAGTCAACTTTGCATTGTCTTTACTCAAGAGAGAGGATCTTTAGAAGCGCTTTCGACAAAAGCATTGGCCACAATTCATAAGATAATGCAGTTTGTGGTAGCAAACATTGATTTTTCGAATCGAAGGGAATAGTATCATCGATAATGATTTTACGCCATGAACCCTAAATATGAAAATCACACACCAAAATGAATCTAGAATATTCTTAATTTGTACATACGAGAAAGAAGAGGCGAACAACATATTTTCCTGCAGGATTATATGGCGTTATAAACGGTGGCTTTGATACTTTATTTAAAGCATAAATATGTTCCTGAGATAAGCAGAGAAAGATGGTATATTTGTAAAACTAGATGGCAGGCTTACCCAAGGTCGCCACGTACGTTCACTACTGAAATCTGAACTTTTGTTCCCCACTTTTCGACAAATATTCCAAAGAGCGATGATTTGACTGATGATGTTCCGCATAGTCTGTATTGAAAACATGAGAGTATTTGATCAAAATTACGGAGATTAGTATTACCTGATTATAATGTAAATGTTCATTCGATGTAATTAAATCGAAATTTTGAAGACCAAGATCTGGATCAACAACTACAGGTGTCTATAATGTCGAAAAATGAATTAATCTCCATTCAGCAGCTGTTTCTCACTTTATCGGATGGTAGAAATTCGTTCGGTCTTTTCCATTGTTCAGCTTGTAACAACGGAGGAAGTTCGACTTTTCCCTCAGGATCATCAAAACCATTTGTACTCTAAACGAACGGGTTTGTTAATGGAATAGTGATGACTGAAATTCTATGCGTTACCGATATAGTTGTTTTCGTATCAGCACGTACTCTTGCCGCAGCGGCCTCTCTTCTTTTTCCTCCAGTTGTAACAGCATCCCATGGTTCGGCATTAATTTCAACTTCATTCCATTCTGACCACATTGGCACCAAACGAAAGCGTTTTCCCTCGATCAACCTAAACGATTACCAATAGTTCCTCAGTGGACTGGTGTCCTCGAACTGTTTGAATCTTTGAATACAACGAATATATTTTGCCTATCAATCTGTCAATCTCTCCTTATCACTACCATTTTTATTGAGATAGATAAGACAATATCCTCGAAAGCTCATATCAATATTGAGAATAGAGGGCACTGTATACTTCTATCGTTTGACAATTCTCTTTTGTTTCTCCCTTTTATATAATGATGAGAACTTACGAACCTGTCTGTTAAATCGACAACCGATGAGAACCGGCGCAGTTTGGAATGCCGAATGTGTCCATCGGGTTCAAATTTTGAAACATAATGAATAAGTTTAGTTACTTTGGAATAATGTTGTATTGTTTCGTCATGTATCGTATTCACAGTTGACATTTCTATTCTTCTATTTCATTCGCATAGAAACGAGTTATAATCAAGAAAAAAGAAACTTTCTTTTTATTTAAAAAGGACGTTTATTACACATATGACGACAATGTGAAGTGTCTGATCACCTATGCCACTTTTCGAAGCATTTTAAACTTCAATTTCAATTAATTTTTATGGTATCTCAGAGAGACAAACTATCTGTCACGTCGACGACGGCGAAGAACATGAAGTATTTGCTGGTAAAAATTAAAGAACATCAATGTAGTTACAAAACTTTTCTTTTGATATCCTGCAGACTAATCGATTAAATCACTGATTGACATGTGTTTTTAATACTCTCAACGATCTCTTTGTTTCGGACTGTTGAAAAATTTTGACATTCTACAGAAGCTACTGTAGTCAACACTGAATAATACTGTTTATATGCGAGTACTTCACCGTTTAAACAGAAGAGTAACGAAGAGATCATACTATAAACATAAACAATGACAACCAGATGATTATATTAGTGAATAAAGTTTTTTTTTCGGGGACAACTAAGTCTGGATTAAGATATATGTACATGGTAAGACATTGTTGTACAGTTAGACAGCCATTACTTTGAATGATTCTGAATACACGGATCTATACTGATCAATACAAAACTTTTATAGTTGTCACATATTTTTATTTTTCATCTCACAGTTATTTAGAACAATAGTTGTTGATTTTGACGTATTACAATTACAAGTAACGCTCATCCTTTGGATTCGCTGACCCTTTTCTGAAAGACTTTTCCGAGTGCTGAACACATTCAGAGACTTTGAAAGAGAAAAAACGCACTGCGATTACTACTAGTGCTCAACTGAATCATGTCACTATGTCACACACTAGAACTGGAATGAATAGGATACAGAGATCTTTTTAGGAATCAGACCGATTAACCATTTGTCAGTGGATAATTCTCCAGCACTAACTATATTGACTGAAAAATTCATCACTCAACGGCTACTCACGGCCAACCATTGATATTTGTCATCTGTTTTTCTTTTTTCACATCACGCGCATGGAAATTTTCATAAATGCTTTACTAAGTCACTCACAGACGGACGATATACAGTACACTACTTGAAAAGTTTGAACATTCGCCTGNCGGTCCTTTGTTGTAAAAAAAACGAAACAAAAAGTTTTTTCGAAAAACTGATCGCGGATTCGTGATCCTCGACCCCGATCACCCTTCGTCGATCATTTGCTAATGATCATGGTTAAATTTTCATTGATTTATAAAATGCTGCAATCTGATTGGCTTGAACAAACAAACAAACTTTAACGAGTTTTAACGCGGCTATAACCCTTTCTTTCAGAAAAGGGAATATACAGATATACATCGTCCATTGAATATTAATCTAGTTGACTCACGATTGTCACCAACATCTTGGATTAGTAATTGATGATAACGATAAATAAGTAGTTCTCATTTGTTCGAAGTAAACTTTCTGGAAACTAGTACGGATCGTTGATTATAACTACTATTTTGCAATCATAAGCAGTGATGACAAATCTTATAAGAGAAAAATTTGATATAAGCGATAACAGAATTCTTATTTCAGAGACTTTGTCTTTGAATCAAAAGTTGTCAGATAGAATGGCGGATTTTCCGACAAAGCACATACTCTATGATGTCCTTAGACTACTATGATAATACGATTCACTTTCAACATAATCAAACCGAACACAATCTCCTTTTACTACAGCAGTCATGCATAAAAAATTTGTAGCAACCATCTATTTTGATATATTCCACTCATCGACACTTGCGACTAGAATAAACGTAATTAAAAGACAAGCCTTCCATTGACATGTGCTTAACAAACACGTTCTATTAGTAACAGATTAACTGCCAATAACATCAAGCTTGTAGTTTACAATCTTTTTTTAGCTTCTCATCAAACAAAATAGTTATACACCCGCAATTTTGTATCTTTGTGGTAATAAGGGATATTCAACAATCAGTATGAGTTTTAAAAAGGGTCATTTGTATCTCTGAATCTTTCGAGTAATCTTCATTTTGTAACACTACACAATGTGTTGTATACAAAATATATTCATAATTCTCATGCTCAAGAGATTAAAAACTCCTGACTTACTTGACTCCTTTCTATATATAAAAACACTCGCTAAACAATGCTCATTTTATTGGCCATGTCTTTCCACTTTAGTAACTTGTTTCTCCCGGCCGCCAGCAATGCTAAGGCAAATTAGCCACGAAGTTTAATCTCTGAATAATTAAATTCTGGGTCGAATAGTGTAGTTTGCATGGACGGGACATACTTAATAAAAAAAGTTTTTAGCTAACACATCGTTAGTTCGTGCTAGCTCCTTCCCCAAGTCAACAAATCCGATGCTGAATCCGACTAGAAAAATTCAGTCGGTTATTGCAAATTTTATGAGCAATCTTTTTAGCTATATTCTATGATGACCCTTAGAAAATCCATGTTTCGGATCCGAGACCATCGGAATCCAATGCGATCCCATCGCCAGGATTTCATCGGATCCGACTACGGGATTGATCGGCCTGGGTCGTGCTAGCTTCACACTGACAGAGTTGAGATCCTTTTTTTGCCATTTCAAGTATTGTTTCTTTTTGAAAATGTCATCCCTTGATTTGATCGGTCGTTCGCTTTGCTGCACACGCCATCGTCGAGTGTAATTTTAGATCGTTTGCTTTACGTTTCACTCTGGCGAGGAAGCCACTCAGATGCAGTGTTGCTTGAGAATATTAAGAGATTGTCAGTGTTTTTGGCATGAAAGGTGAGGTCATTTGCTTGGTTACCGACAATACCACAAACAATATTGACGCACTTCGAGACATCACCATTTCTGAGTTCGAACAGCGCTCCATTCAAGATAAAACTTAGTACATGAGTGATGACAGTCAACCGAAAGATGGAAATATCAGTGACGAATATGAATATCCACTGCAACAACTATCAACAATCACCTCTTCGCCGAATACCGATTTAATGTCGACAGATCTCATTTAAGAATCACTGAAGAGACTGTTGGAGAACAATGAGGCTTTTCAAATCCCTTACTTTGGTCACACCAACACAAAACTTGCAGAAAGACTAAGACGCAATGAAGGGATTTATTCCTCAAGCAGATATTCAACGTAAAAAATCAGCATCCATTTCATTTGTTCAGTGAGCAAAAACACATTCAGCACACTTCATCAATATGTGATGCATTGCTACGTTCCTTGATCTCTATTAAGATCCTGTCTTTCTTCGTACACCTTTCCTTGGTGGCATGTACAAAGTTCGCTAGGTTACGGAGTCTTTGCTTGATGATTCGTCAAAGAAACGATTATGTGAAAAGGTCCAACAACTGAGGTTCGATCATTGTTTGCTTATTGAGTGTAGCACACTTGATGCTTAATCCACTAATTCAGCTCTAAGCGAATCATGTCATCAAGATGCATACCAAAAAATGTCTCTTTGGAAATATCGAACATGATCTAAAATAGATGAAGAAGCCGAAAACTGTCGATATATCAACGATGATGACATTACTAATATGATTCTGATCAATTCAACAACTTCTCATTCGTACAAAACGTTGGCCAAATCAGTTGCTGTGGATAGAGTTTTTTCTTAGAGTAGTTTCCTCTTTCGTCCTCATTGTGCACGAATGTCCCGAAAGGCTCTGGGACAATTTAGTTTATTGAAGTGTAATGATGCTGTTAAGTAATGCAATTTTTCAGACGGTACGTAGTCCATCGTCATTGTAAAATGAACTAGCGGTGTTTATGATCAGATTTGTTTTTCAGCCATTTCACGTTGTATCACTGAGAACTTTTGTTATAAATCTACTTGTTGAAAGTTTCATGAAAAACATGCATGAATGTGTTAGCTGAACATTTTCTAAAGAAGATATTTATTTGTATCTTTCCTAAAATCGTCTGTAATAGTTAGTGGATTGAACGCTATTCCTGGATAAAATGTGTGCGAAGATAGCAATTTAGGGCTTTGCACAAAAAAGATTGAGTATATCTTACATTATAATATTTTCAATAGGATTTTAGCGAAAATGCCTTCAAAAGGTATGCCCGTCTGTGTTATTCCGTCTTATTAATTATAGAAACATCGGCTAGGCAAATAGTATTCTAAACATATAAAGCACTACTCTGCATGCTTTTTTCACGGCAAATCACAAAACACAATCTTCTATCTAGCTTCTTTTGGTAATCAGCGACTAACCATGAGTAATCGACCGTAGGGAAGTGAACGAACGGCTATACCCCATCCTTATGCAAAAGAAAACTATGAATATTTAATCTTATAACCAAGTTTAATCGATTCGAATTCATTGTTTCAGCTTAAGTGATTGCCAGGCTATGTAAATTTCGTCAGTTCAATCGATTTCTCATTGGATTTCTGGTATAAAATCTGGTTTGCGCAGCTTTTTTCTTACATCAGACGTTTGTTTTGTGAGTTACTTGAAAAATGAGAATCTCCTCAGTGTCCATTGTTTTTCAAAGGAACACAATTCACGTTTCTTCGAGCTTCGAGGATAAGCCCTGTGTATTGTTAGTTTGAATGTTTCTTTATGAAAATATCCAACACAGTATCCTTTTTCCTGAAAGTAGAGAAAAGGTTATTTCAGTTTTCTTGAGCGAAAATAATCAACGAGAGCAGGAATATCACTTGGGAATGTTTGTGGATCAGCTTGAATAAGGCCTTGCGCATCTCAACTGTGTTGCAAATAATCCTCCAAATTGATTAGACAGAACAGATACAACACATCGAACTGAGTGACATTCTTAAGAAATCGAGTACGAAACTAACCGTATTCACATCTCTACTGCCGCAAGATCCAATCTGCCGATGATATCCGTTGTTTGTTGAATTAGATTTTCATTGATACTACATCCAAAATGGTTCCAACTATTCTATCATTTGAAAACGTAAAGCAAACAGATTTGAATATCCTATTTGACATTGTCGAACATTTCATATCCATCTGAGGTGTTTGTCCAAGGTCATTACTTATTGTAAGAATTGAGACAACAACTAAAATATATTCCAGTGCCATGAGCACTGTTCACAATAGCATGAAATTCACCTCTTCGAGTCAGTACTTTCTTTTTTCGCCTCATTTCTCTTTATCATTATCTGTGTGTTTTCTTATCTTGCCGATGTTGTTTTTTCGCTATTCTATTCCGAGGACACCGATAATTATCGATAGAATTACGCTGATGACTTGATCTATATACTCTAATCGATTAGTTGACAACAGCTGATTAGCAAACGAATACTTCCGTATTCTAAACAATCATTTCATCCATCTGGAAATTAGCTTGTTTGATTAATCTAATGTTGTTTTTTTCCAGGACTTTCTTATGTGCAACAAAATACAAGACATGAAAAATAAATAAATATTAATACACTTATGACACAAGTCTGTCAAAAATGACTTAATTTAGAATTCTATTTATGTACGGGAATAAACTAACTTGGAGTGTAAATAGTTTAGTTCAATATGTATTCGTCTTTATTGACCGCAGTCGATAGAATTTACAGTTTGTTTGGCATTGTTTTTTTAGCATCACAATCTGAAACATGTATTTAAGTTTGTTTCGCCGATGGGTCACCATTGATTGAGGTTAGTGCCGTCTGACTTTGACGTAAAGGAACGAGCTCATTGGTGCCATTCGGATGATTTTGTATATCTGGCGACGAGGTCACATCATACTCGTTTTGTTTAGTAACAATCTTTGGCGTAGAAAACAAACGACTCGTGCGCTGTTTGGTGATTATATCAACAGACAGACGATTTTCTTTGATGCTTCCGCTGAAGAGCAAATCATGGAGTCTTTTGCAACGTATTGCAAGAAGAAAATGATGACGAAAGTATGACGACGATAGAACGTAGAAATAGAACGATAAGGAATAGTTTAAATAGAAAATTTTGTTCACAATAGTCCACGCTATGGAAATGTATTCATCGAGTTTTTCATTGTATTCAATTGTGCGAGTGAAACGATAGATACATTCGACAGATAACACCGGTAAACTAACAATGAGAAAGGTGATTAAATCAGCAAGTAAGACAATACTCAAGCGAGCATTGCGATTCGCTCGTTTTCGTCGACGTACACGAACGACTTTGGTTTTCACACGTCTAACATTGGCTAAGAGAAATATATTGGCAATAAAAACGAGACAAAACGGGATGATCAAACTCAAGCAGAGATCAATGATTGGACTGACATTTTTGTAGAAAAATAAGTAGTATGGTGAATTTGTCAATGGTCCACACACAGCTATGCATGGTTGTAAGACCGAATAACCCACACCAATCCCGAATAGTAGATGTGAATTAATAAGTATGATTATGCATAGGAGACATAACGCACTCCAAAGTGCAGCACGCGCGGTTTGAAAACATTGATCATTTCGTGGATAACGTGATAGAACGAGACGATTGCATGCTACTAGAACTAACAACCACGGTGTTAATTCATCAAATATTTTCGTTAGAAATAAATGGAGACCACAGAAAAAGCTTGAGTCTAGATGATGCACCAAATTCATCTGTTTGAAGAAATACGGTCGTGACATGATTAACAAGCCGAATGTATCGCTAATAGCGAGTAGTAAGAGATAACAACCACAAGAAAGTGTTCGTAATTTACGTTGTGCAAATGTTAAAACGGAAAGACCATTTCCAATGATCCCTTTTGAAAGAATAACAAGGTCAGGATGCTCTCTCATCAGGAAATCATATGATTAAACTCACCTAGAACGACTAGATATGGAACAACAACGTTGATTCGGTCTTCGATCGTCTCCGGTGATGATTCTGTTTGATTTTCGCAAACATTTGTTGGAAATGTCGTGGGCACGTAATCGATTTCCGTATCTAAATAATCGAAATAGGAAAATCTAGATGATTGGAATCAACCTACAATTATGATAATGTATCGTCGTTGTTAACATCATTGTTAGATTAGATTTGCTAGAAGAAAAAGCATGGTAAGATACAGGAAAAAACGGAGAAAGAAACAATAACCGATCGTTCCTTCCATCAATGAGATTAGTTTTAAAAAGCAAATCTTCCTTTGTCTTCGTTCATGATTAATCAAGAGGAAATGATCGAAACAAAGAGATGCTAAGAAAAAAAAAATTTAGTTACAAAGAAGAAACACACGACAATCTTAGGGGATTCTTCAGTTTTCTTTTTCTTCTTCTTCTTCTTCTTCTTCTTCTCCTTCCTGATGTTAAAACCTATCTGTTATCGCAACAAAATATGATTATATATGCATGATAAATATCAACCGAAGGACTAAAAGAAGAAGCGAGAAAAAAGAAACTATTGTAATTCAAGTGTGCGGCTCAGATATTAAACGTTGCATACAATAACGATGATGAAGAGACAATTTTCTGGCGCCTTGTTGACTAAATCGGTTTTTTTTTCATACTAATACGTACTGGAGAGAATGTCAAATGACATGAGTTGTTTACAGACAGAACACTTGTTAACTACTTTTAGCCGGAAAGATCGGAAAGAAAAGAACGTTTTCTTACTTAGTAACTTCTAACGATTGAGTAGTAACAATTCAATCAGAAAACTAATTACGACTGAAATTTCGTCAACAAAGGCGTCATCGATCACGACTGATTTATTTCAAGTTCAGATATATCGTCTCCGCTGTAAAGTTAAAAAGAAAATATAGACTGACTAGTAGACAACGCGTGCGTCGGATTGTAAATGGGAGTCAGATGTGCTGGAAAGTCATACATATAAACAACGTTGTTAAGTGTCAGCCTGAAGAAAATCGATGTTTTTGAACTGTCATCGCTCTACAGGATATTTTAATCATCTCAGACGGAGAATATAATCATTTCTGATTTTCTCTAAGCTTGTTTTTTAATATAATAAAAAAAATCTTATTATGTTCGACAGCAATTATATTAGGTTTTCTATAGAGTGAAACTAATGATATTTTAATTTCAAAATAAATCGATAAGATGTTCAGAAAGTGAAAATCTTCTTAGATTAATTAATTTGCATTTCTCACACGATCTTTCACGAGAGCTCAATTGTCATACAGTGATCAGTTTAATTCTATCACCAGTACAGACCTATCCTACAAAACAGAAAGTAGATGTGATGAATAAGGAAAAGTAATTGTTCTGTAATTGTCTTTTTCTAAATATACGTCTAATCCTTTTCTGTTTAAACGGAAAGTACAAAAGCCAGCTTCTGTCGATAAGCTTTACTGTGTATGAGTATAAGCCGATGTTATAAACATCTCTAAAGACTGGTTACTCTTTGAAGGAAATGAACATAATTGATAGCTTTATAGTTTCACTAAGCTATATAGAATTGCATGAATTTGTAGAATATATTTTGCTTTCGTTTATCGATAGATATAGACAAGATGGAGCTTCCGGCATTTGATGACATTTGCTAGTTGGAGTCCAACGAACGTTAAAAAGTATAGTAAGAAATGCCTATTTTCTTTTCCTGTTCGAGATTATGATTTTTTTCCTATTCGACGTTTGACTCACATGTTCTATGACTGTCGACGAACAATGTTAACCTATCATGTTATCTGAAATGGCTGCAACGAATATGTCATAGTTAATCAAAATAGATTTACTTTCTCTGGAGATTTGATATGAACGTGTCGATCAATAATTCACATTTCCAAATAAGACTCTTTGGATTCTGTCTATTATTTATACTGGCAAATGGAACCTTTTAAAAGAAAGATTGATTCGCACTTGCATAGTCAATGCGAGGAAAAACTTCTTCGCTCTCGTTTATAGTTTAGGAAAACAAAAAAGGGAAATAGCATTTTCAAGTATCCAGCAGGTTATTATACTTCATCACTTTCCTTTGACATACTCGACGACGAGCTTGGAAAATACTTTTCGCGTCACTGAAGTTCAGCTGGAAAGACGAAAGGTATCATCTATCGTACACTGTCTTTTCAAATGGCGTAGGCAACGCGAAATGTCATATTACATCAATTAGTAACAACAAATTGAGTCATAGACTAGCATTCATCCCAGTGGATACTCTGTAGATTTTGAGGAAAACTAGAACGAACATTGTAGCTTACTTGTTTCTTGCTGGATGAATAATATGTGCATGTAAAAGTGAACTTGAAAGAGAAGAAAATCTCGTAATTGCGACGATTTTATTTACATAAAAGCATAACGAATGAAATGAAAAAGAAAGTGACTTAGCGATGTGTTCTCTCTTTCTCTTTTTTCCAATTGTTAGTTTCTTTGATTGCTTATTGAAGATGACAGAAACTCTTCATGTCTACACACGTTATTTGAAAAAAAAATTAACATCTGAACAAGGAAAGGAGAACGATGTATATATGTAGATAGGAGAAAAGACCGAAGAACAAACTAAGGAATAGTGAAGAGAAAACAACTTTACACGTCATATCCGGAATAATAAGAATGCTATTCCCTGTATATCCCTTCCCACTTGTCGTTATTCGAAGATGAGTAGAACAACTTAAGATTTCATCTTAGAACTCATAAAACAAAGACGCTACTCAAATATCTTTTCATGCATTGAGTTTTTTATTGGTATATACGGGGATCAACTCAAACTTATCTTTGATTCCACCAATCCAACTTCCAGAAAAACGATGTTATATATCATGCATATTTTATTTCACACGTGAATAACATTGAGCATCTAAGAAGGGCTTAACTAACTTATAATGATTATATTTCCTTTCTACCATAGGAACAAAATGCACATAAGATGAGTAGGAAGGCACTAAGAAGTTTCTATTTATAAACATTTTAAGATCTTTTTTGAATGTTTTTCTTCGAAGAACATCAGTCTGAAAATATCGTTTTTACATACATAAGTAAGATATCGGTTTTCTTTGATACTGTCTATTTGTATAAACTAATTATATGTTATTAGTGAGAAATCTTTTGAGTAGAAAGGAAAAACAGTACTATGACTACGTGTCACATGTTTCCTGAAAAATGATCAATTCGAAATAGAAAAGAATGCACGCATGTCAAGTACGCTGAACTATTGATTTGACATTCGATTCAAATTCTAATTTCATTGATTTTTTATTTAGAAAGAAAAGAAAAGATAGTTTACAGAAAGAGAAGAATTTTGCGATATGAAATGTTCGGGTTTTTTAATCATCCGATGACGAATCAACTGGTTGACCAGCGGAAGCTTGCCTAGAAGGAGTTATAAATAAAATAATGCGTAAATATTTATAGGTTGTCAATAACAAACTTTCTTACCTTTTCCTTCGTCGACGTCGTTTCTCTTTCTCGTCATCATCACTATCGCTACTACTGGATATATCGTTGTTTGAGAGAGGAAATGACGATGAACCGCCGAAGGTGACTGCTTTAGCTGGTGCCGGAGGTAACGATGCGTTTGAAGTAGTTTGATAGATACCAGCTGAGCTCGTTGTGGATAAGGGTACTGGAGGAGGATTATTAAAAGGCCTCTGGTATGTATTGGTGCTTGTAGACGCTAATAAATTCGGCGGCAGAGGCGGTGCAGGAGGTATTGTTGAAGTCGTTTGATATGTATTGTTAGTTGAACCTGAGAGCACGGAGGATGGTATTGATGGTGCTGGAGGGATTCTTGACGGTGTTTGATTAGTATTGTTGGTTGAAGACGATAAGAATGATGGTGGCAATGGTGGTGGTGGTGGAATATTTGATGCACTTGGTGAGATTAATGGCGTTGAAGATATTCCTAAAAATCGTATGAAAATGTACTTAAAGTTGACATAAGAGAGTAGCTACAAGATGGTGCTATTAGTGTTAGTAAGTCATAAACGCTTGTTAACTAGATCTTTTTCGCCTCGGGAAACATAATGAAATAGTTGATTAAAATATGTAATCTGACCGTGAAAAGACTCATATTCTTCTTATTTCAATGTAGAGAGAAATAGAAACCATCAATGCTTTTTCCAGCTAATGGTTTGATGTACCTATTGTATTACTATCTGATGTGTTCATTGTCAATGGCACGGGTAATGAAGGAGTTGTACTGGATGAAGGCGTGATAGGGAGACTCGTTGTTGGCAAACGTGTTGATACAACAGGACTCGTCTTGTTTTGCATTAAGTTTGGAACTGGTGAAATAGATGCATTTGAATCAGAATCTGAGTCTTCATCGTCGCTTTCTACAATTGAATGAATTCATGTTAAACTAGTGAAAAGAAAAAAATTCTAACCTGCAGGACTTGATTCACGTGGTCGAACTGGAGTAGTTCGAGGAAATAATTGCGGTTGAAATCTTTGATATTGTCGATTTGTTGATGTCGACGGTTCGTGAGGTGCATCCGATGCCGTCGAACCAATGTCGGATATGGTTGGTGTTGAACTATCTTCGTCGCGTGTTAATGCACGAATCTGATTGCGTGGTGTATACAATGAATGCCCGTAGCTATCAAGTGATCCATTTGAACGATGAGTGTAGATGTTGTAAAGAAGGGGATTCACAGGTATAATATTAGCGTATTTACTCTTCCATTTTTTATACGATATGTATCCCAATGGTGCATGATCGGAATGTTCGTCATCATCATCATCATCATCGTCATTGCCATTGCTCGCGGCAGACGTTGTACTGCGTCTACCATCGCTTTGATCAATTTTCGGAGTGACCGCTCTTGATGCACTCGAGGGTGCGTCATCATCGGTGTCACTCTCGTTATCATCCGTACGCGTTCCTTTTTCATGTTCATCTCGACTAGACACAGGTCGAACATAGGAAGGTGTTCGTCCAAACACAGGATGCTCGTAAAATGCAACTGGTTCGAACTTCTTCTCTGCAAGTACCAATGGCGACGGTTGCTCTCGTGTATGCTGCATGATCGATTTGATATCTCGTGGTAAATTTTCATTGATCTCCTCGCCCATAAATCGATATGTCTCACTTGAACTGCCAATACTGGCTCGAGATTGTGCAACTAACGAGTCGCGACGTCGATTATTTCCATTCATGTTACTAATATATCGTTCATAATTTCGACCCGGTAAGAGACTTCTTCCAAATGCTCGAAACTCTGTTATATGCGGCGTGAGAATACCTTGAAATCGTTGTAATAAACGATCGTGGTTATTGTTCAAACGTTGCTGTTGTAAGTAATGTTGACGAATCATCAGTTCTAGTTTTCTAAATTGATTTCAGAATGGTAAGACATCAGTTTTGTTCAATATAATTTCCTCGGAGAAAAATCATCGAAAGAATCTCATCTGTTTTGATCATTTCCATCATCAAGCAATCAATAATCAGAATACACTAATAAATTCTCTTTCTTTAGCTTTCATTACCTCCAGAGATACTTACACCAACTTCTTTACTTAGAAGATCATCACAAATGCACACAAAAAAAGAATATTCAACGTTTATTTTCAATACAACTAGCACTAGACCGTTTACCTTTACGTGTACTATTTTCGATGTGTGCGTCCACGTGTAAAAAAACGAAAATTGGTTTGATGTATTTCTATTTAGTAATAGAACATGAAGAAAGACAATATTTACTGATTGTTTTTATCTTTTTTACCTTTCCTTTTTTTTCTTCATCAAACAAAGCTAATCAATGAACTATTGTGTTGAGTATTTCTTTTCAATCACAGCTTACAATCATTGTTCTATTCAAGGATTTCAGATAGCTTATTTAGTTATTGAGAAAAAGATCGAGACAGACAAGTAATGAACAAGGTCATCAATAACAACACACGTCATGCTTCGTTGCCACAGAATATCGTTCGTTTTTTGTGCGTATGAAAGAAGTATAGCATGAAATTCCGTTCTGCCGAAAGAAAAGAACCAAAACCGACGTTTTTTCTGTCAGGAAAATCTCACAGATCACGTTATTTCAGTTTGCTCAAACGACTTGAGTTCAATTCCAAGTGCGTTTCCCTCTCTCTCTCTCTCGATTTTCATCTCAGTGCATACACAAGGACGATAGTCGTCGAGTAGGAGGAGAGAAATCGTTGTTGCATTATTTTCCGGTGTTCGTATATACTGCCATCTGTTAACGGCTCTCGTCCGGAAGGCAATGAAGAAGCGTAATAAAAACGGTGGCACACTTCTCTCCACAGAGGATCAAGTATCGTGCGTCTTTACCGCTGATTAGAAAAAAAAAGCGAGCAACATCATACACACACAGTGAAATTTTCCATTCAACTCCTCGTGATACGGAGTATGGTGTTGATTCATCTAATTTTCTATTATATACTTGTACTTATTACTGCAATTAGCGATAATGACGACGAAGGAGATTTTCATCAGCACATACCTTTCTGTAAAAATGAATACTCATTAAATTGTCTCATTGAAAATTTCTGTATGATTTCTTTTAGTCGTAATGCAACCACATACTGTGATTAATCAAACGTTACATTCATATTGTAAAGAGCAATTTGAATTCATTGTTCAACCCATGTTTCTAAATTTAACTCAGTATGAATTAATTTTGAATTCTTTCTTCAAGAAGAGCTTTGTTGTCTTTTTACGTAGATGGCCATCAGGATTTATTTACGCACGCAATCCTCAACAGACCATTGGTATGACTTTTTCAATTGGAGGGTAATGAACTGAGAATCGATATACTTTTTCCATAGACAATGAGGACCGAGACATGTTTTCCATTCATGAATGTACGACGGAATTACATGCATCACATGGCGATCGTATCCGATTAGTTTTCTATCCTATTGTTAATCTACGAAATGATTATGACCAAGATTATTTCCAATCCATTCCTCGAGCGCCTTGTTTGAAAGTTCGTGACGTATGTTAAGATAAGAATGAGAATTTCCTATTCGATCGAACTCATTCTTTTCAATTTAGAATTTTGAAACTACAACATTTGAATGTCCAATGATACTTGATAGAACTAAATATACATTCTATAATCGTCACTCAGATGATTATCTATCGAATAGTAATGTCATTTACTTGGAAATCATTCCACCACCTGCGCAACTAACGAATGATTATGATGACAGTTATCATCAATTTAAATTATTCTTTACTACATTTACCCCGAAATTTCGAATACATAAAACAAATGAATACTCTCCTTGTCCGAGAAAGCATTTGCTCGATTGTGAAGATGCATACTGTGTTCACAGCAATGCACGTTGTAACGGTATATCGGATTGCCGTTCGAAAGTCGATGAAGACTTTTGTCAACAGCCAATTTCGTTTGGACGATCAATCTCTCCTATCTCATATTTCTACATTCATCTATTTATCATCATTATTCCATCTACACTTTAATGCAGAGACGGAATCTATCTTGATAATGACAACGACAATCTGAGTTTACCGTTAACAGGAAGTTTAATGTCTAGATTCGATTGGTTGACAAACATGTCGAAGGTTAAAATGACCTGATGTTACCCAGTCGGCAAATGTACCAAAATATTTGGAGTAATTTCAAATTAATTTAAAATAAATGATGACGATTGCTGCTTTGTTATTTGTTAAAATGTACATGTTTTTTTTCTACGTCTGTTCGCTTTTTTTACTGGAGCCACATTGATTTTGAAGTGCTGAATAAGATTAACTGTAAGCATTTATACACATCCGACCAATCAGCAATTTATATAAGGAAAAGATATATGAGGCATCTTAAAAAATAGGGTAACATTCTCATCGGGATTGTATACAAACAAGAAAAAGGACAGCGTCTAGAGAAACTATCGAAGAAGCAGAATCGAAATGCTATTTTCAATAAATTTCTAATAATCTTAAACGAGCAATCGAATATTTATCGTCGCTAGCTACCAAAATGACCTTGATAGGTATGTACGCCGGTCGACACATTTACATTTAATTTGAGAGCAAAGTAAACAATTTGATTGAGACATCAAACAGAACAACATCGATGCACAAATGGCAAAGATTATGTTGATTGTGATCTTTCCACTCATCGATGCATTGTAAGTGGCATGAACATTTACTGTATAATGTGTGATCACAAATTAGAAGCAGCAAATAACGTTTATGTTTGTTGAAACATTTGCAAATATCGTCAATGACCTGACGACGATTACTTAGTCAGAATATTTATACTTTAGTTTTATTCGAAATATCAAATCGAATAAATAGAACAAATGTATTTTATACACAGTTAGATACTAAAAAGCAACTCCCATCGTGGTGGTGTAGGAGATTGTTCTGTTTTTATTGGTTCTGAGTCGGATTTGGGCGAGACAGTCACCTCTGTTTCTTTTGTTCGCTCTCGGCCTGACTTTTCCTTTCGTTCGAATTGTTGTTCATGAAATCGATCTTTAAGAAATCCCTTGTAGGATTCGAGATTATTGATTTCCTCAAGCAAAGTTTTTTCTTTAGTCTGCAGCGCACTCAGTTCGTTCATTAGACCAAGTTCGATTTGAATGTGTCGTTCTTTTAACATTCGAGCTGTTCGACGATTCTTCTCGCGTTTTAATTCTCGTTTCGTGGCTTCTTCACCTTCGAGCGGATAAAATTTCGATCGACGGCCACTTAACAAAGTCGGAGTGCTTCGCGTGCTGACTCGTACTTTTATTGGACCATAACATACGACATTGTAGTGTTTTTCATTGACTTCTTGTTTGACATGAGCACCAAATGAACCATTATCCTTCAAACCATCATCGGAGAGAACTTCGTACGAAACAGACGTGAGATCATCATGATGATGATGATTGTATTCGTCAATCATTGGCTTTGATTGTTCTTGCACAATCGTTTTTCCTTATGGATAATAGCAGGGTAAATAATGAAATAATAATCAGAGGGAGAGAGAGAGAGAGCGATTATTTTATTAGTCACTGATGTGACAAAGATATCACCTATCGAAACGTATGCAGAGAAAAAAAACAAAATGCAACGAACTGTGCGATGGAAAACGTAATTGCCTCACTTTTATCATAAAGGCTCATTCAAGCATGGCGAAATTCAATGAAACGCAATCACTCTTCTTCTAATGTGATCGTCATATCAATATTCATAGAATAGTTTCGAAAAAAAACATAATCACTCAATCATGAAAACTATTCATTTGTAACACGAAATGATACGCGTGCAGTTTAGCGATGTATTTTTAGAGAAAACGAGGAGAAGAAGAAAGAACGTGATGTGTAGAATTTTTCTACAGTCACCTTTTGAAGACCGATGACTGACGTTGGTGTCAAGGATAAATATTTTTGCGTAAACATCAACATGTTATTCACGCTTGATGGCGATCAAGAACAATATCGATTTTCAGAATTTAACAGAATTACAGGAGCTGAAAACAAAAGAAACGTAACGTTAAATAAGAAAATATATTTACGAGAAGTTCGCATCGTTCGTTTTTGGATAATTCGTATTGACACATATGTGCAGCAATACGATGAATAATAGAACTGTGAATCATGCTCTGTACCTGTGTATATTTTTTTTTAATATGAGTGTAGCGGCCGTATTAGTGTGAGAGTGCGTGTTTCGTGAGAAATAAACTTCTACTGTTTTTGTTTTAAACAACTTTGACCGGCATGAATACTTTGTGAGAGAATGAAACAAAATATAACAAATAAACAATGAAATCAATGTATTACCGCTGTCATTGGCAATGAAGTTTGTTGGCAGCCACGAACGCGTTTAAATAAAATATTTCTTTCTTGATGGAAGTTTCGTTTCTATCGATTCTATCAATCATTCTAATCAATGAATGTACAGCAAGAACCTCTTCTATAACATCTTCAAGTGGTTCATCGTCAAAATACGCACTTTACCTAGGTTTGATCATACCTCTTGTTGTTGTCTGCATTATTGTCATAGTAATTAGCATTCTTTGTAAGCTGAAACGGGGCAATCAAACTCGGATGAGTATTTCACCATTGGCAGTACAATTGGCGCTGCAAGAACATAATAATCCATACGCACCACCTAGTTATCGAGTTCCACCACCTAATCAACCATCAGTTGGTGAAGATTTACCACCGTCGTACTCATCAATTGCTGCACAGAAATGACCAGCGATCTCATCAGTAACTTCATAATAATTAAATCATTTTATATTGGAAATTTTCGATTCTGTTGTGAGATATACGTCATGAGATAATCGTTCGTAGACAAATATTTTGTGTTCTGATCAAGTAGAACATACTTGAGAGTATCTATAACCGTTTTCAATCTTTTGATTAATCTCTTCAGTATACAAAGAATAATTTAGATGACGTAAAGAAAATTCCATCGATATTAATTTATGTATAAATGCTAACATATAAGACATAGAAGAGAAAATAAAAAAGAGCAGTTGATTTTAAGGATAGGAATACGATACTGAAAGATTGACGTCATAAACAAAAACAAACTCTATTTTCATATTCATTTTTGTAGTCGTAGTTCCTATAGATGCACGTATTCTCTCTGGTAGTAATATTTCTACTTCATATATCTTCCGTCGAATCACTTCGTAGAAGTTCAACACGCATTGGTTCATTGACGAATACTTCCCTGATTTTGGTCATCGTCGTACCGAGTGTTACTTTTCTCCTTATTGTTGTTACATTGGCCATCTATTGTTATGTTAAACGTGCTCAAAGAGCACGTCAGTCTATTCCATCAATATCTACTCAGATCGCCTTAGCTTCACAAAACAATTCATATGCACCACCTGATAGTCAAACAAGACAACTTCCACCACGGTATTCGTCTCATGGCTTCTAGATAAACTTGTTCAAACAGTAAATATACTGTTCTGCCTGTGTGTCTGATTTTCAAATAAAATATAAATATTTGCTAGAACCGCTTCGTGATATTATGCCAATTCATCAGTAGCAAATCAAACGTATGAAATATAAGTTTGCACTGAATACTAAGCCAATATCAGATCATTGGTAGAGAAAAGAAATATATTCCTGTTCCCTTAGTAACAGAATATAAGTCATTTAGTTCAAAGAAAAGTTTAGAAAATAGAAGAGAAAAAGAAGAAAAATTCTTTGATTGCCTTTACAGCTAGCATCATATACTGGGGTTGTCGACAGTGACAACTAAGAACACTATTTGTCTTTTGTTTTCCTTCTTTTCTTCTCTATACTTCATTTCAACAAAATATCTTTCACACATGGCAGCATTCTTCATTACTATCATATTTGCCGTTGTTCTCGATGTATGTTCATCACAATCGTATTCTGGCAGATCGAGCAGTTTTCCCACAACATTGATTGTCTTTATCCCTGTCTTTAGCCTATTCTTTATATTTATGATAGCACTTATTATATGGAAGAAGAAATGCGGCCCACAAAGACGTTTTGTAAATCCAGCGGTGATACCTTTAGCAACACAAATGGCCTTTGTAGAACAACAGAATCGATATCAACCACCAATCTACAATCAAGCTCCAATGTACAATCAAACGCCGATGTATAATTCAGCATCACTTGGTAATCAACCATTTTCTTACGGTCAACCACCACCTTACAGTCAAACGCAGTTCTATAATCAACCAGCGCCTTATCCGATGTATAATACTCAGTCAAATCCATCGAAAATGGCTTTTACTTGAAAGAAATCTTTGCCAAAGATGAGTGATATTTGTCATTTGAATAAAACTTTTTTTTTCAGGACGGAATGTAAGATCGTTTATTTAATTTGTTCTTATTCTATGTAAGAAAAAAAGCAAACATAATCTTTCCGACTAGTTTGCAGTTTTTTTCTTTCTTTTAAAACAAACGAGAAATTTGGTTCGTATCTAAATATATGCCTACTTGCGTTTTCAAGTGAGCCAATATTATACACTTTAGAGAAAAGACACAGCCAAATATCTTCCAGACATACATTGTTTGTTCGCTGGAAACATAATTCTAGCAAATGGTGCGGGTGCCACAGATGGTGCTCGAGAGCGAGCTTTTAGGAAGTATTGAATAGTGGTGGATGCAAGATTGACATAGTAAGACATGTGTTAGAAGTTTATTTGTATCAGGGAACAATCAAGGAAAGAAAAAGTAGCGAAATATTGTTTTATATACACGCAAAAATATTTCATTGCGTTTTGTCCAAGAATGTTCGAATTATCATCTATGTCCGAATCCAAAATGTTGATCGGTAGAGTAAAAACCATATTGGTACAATTGCTAAGCAAACGACATCGACTGTCCAAGCATTGAACAATCGATACGAGGCGATGTATGTATCGAAATCAGATGTCAATTGATTGAAATTGGGCAGAAGAAACTCGCCCGCCATTAACAACCTGGCCAGATAATGATAAAGCGCAAGAAAAACTAATGGATTAAGACAAGTTAGAAATAAAAATCGACAAAAGTATTTGATAATCCAGTGATCGAACTTTGAACAACCAGCAAACATATAGCACGGCATTAAGAAACAAGCGGCAAGAAACGCCATGGAATAATTCAATAATGAAAGACAACCTAACAGAGCTGAACCAGTTAGTAACAGGATAAATTGAAGATAATCGAATTGCCGTTCAGTTGAACGAAATGGTCGAAGAAGAATTGGACTAATGAACATAGTTATTTGACAAATGATCAAATAAGTAAATTTCATTGGTATCCACATCAATGCGTACGATAATGCTAAGCATTCTAAGATCTCCAGAAACATTGCCGAATAGTTCATATCGAATTTCATTGTACGACCGAGGGTAATATACGTAGTTGTTGATGTTTCCGACGATGTGAAAAAAGACATGTAGAGTACTAGAGATCGAATTAATGCTGGAGCAACGATTAAGCCAAGTGGTACCATGTAGGTAGCAATCGAAACGAAATTTCGTCGATTGATGTGTAAATAGAAGAAAAATGATTGATGGAAACGTTCAAGTAAATTGTTTAAACTTCGAATGAAACCTTCGATGATATCATCGAATGCACGAAGAGTAATTGGTGATGTTTGATATTGATCACGCTTTGTCAGACTTCCAAACAACGTAATCATTTCAATGCGATAATGTAAAAACTGACCATGAACACCGCTGGGCACTCCCGTGGCTAATGTAAGAGCATTGATCAATAAAGTTCGTAAGGATTTTTTCATGTAATCAATAAAAAGTTCGTTGGATGATAAGTCTACATAGATATCGTAGTATGATGCTGGAACGGAATTTTTGTCACATAAATGTACAATTGTATTGATTAAATCAAGATTTGGTAATTGCCCATTGATTCCGTTATGACGAAGATCAATAGAGTAAAATTTCTCATGAGGAAATTCCAAAGTTAAACCAGCTTGAATAGAACCAGCATGAGCATCGAGTGGAATGGAATCAGGTTTAGTATTAAAGTAAGCATCTAACCAAATACGTGTTCCATTTTCTTGTTGAGCAGGAAACAGAAGAATAATATCCTTTGCCATGTACGGCTTACGATGAAGTGCAAAACCAATGGCTAACGTATGTGCAATTCCTAAAAGAGCAAAAGTGAGCATTGTGTTTCAAGATGAGGTCAGCGTACCATATAGATTGGCTTTTATTGGTTGAGACTTGCTTTGTATTCGAACGTAAAGTGGAGCAACCAGGATAATCGATTCTGTTGAAGCTAATCTTGGTGCTCGAACGATACCATAGACATTTTCATCGTTCGTATCGTCGTCCAGATTTTGTCTATACGCTTCTATACCACGTTGGAGGAACATAGATTGAATGACATCGGAAACATTTTTTTCTTTAAAGCCCATTCGTAATTGTCCGATAATGTCACGTATGTGTTCATTGGAAACGTATATGTCGTTGGAAACTAAGCCGGGTGAGAGAGCATTTTCAGACAGATAATTTCGTCGACTGACAATCGGTGACATTAGATAAACGAAACCTAACAGCCCGAAGAAGAAGAAACCAGCATAGACGTGCAATTGAAGCTTTTGAAACGTCTGTGGGATGTCTTTTGCTAGTAAATTGCTTAGAAGAGGCATCTAGAATAGAAGTAAACGAAAGAAAGTCAATGACTGAAGCTTCGGTTGAATGAATTTCTTCTTCTCCATGTTCCAGTTTATTTATCAACTTTTTCAACTCTTCGTATTCGTTCGTTTTCACTGGTTGATCGAGACATCGAATGACAGAACAGGCAATATTTGTGGTGAAGAAGGTTGCTTAGAAATGTACAATATAAATGGCGAAAGCAAATACGCTCAGAGAGAAATTCTTTTATTTCATTTTCAAGATAAGACATCATGTTTTTACGCGAACCTCACGTGCCATTCATCAGTCAATCGTGCGTCTTCGACTGGGAGCGAGACCGTTTAGAAGCTGCACACCGTGTTCAACTATTTCCACCTCCAGTAACTTCTTTACGTGGACCACAATTGTACGGTTCACCGTCCAGTCTAGCAGAGTCAATTCATTGCCCAGCATTGATCTCTCGACCGGATCTTCATCGAGATCAAGTCGCGACAAACTATCGACTCATGCGACCAATGCCTTCGTCCTACCATTGTCTTTTAGATCCAGCGCGTCGACTCAAGGATAGACAACGCGATGAAGAGTGCGGTGGCACAACCATGCGTTTTGATGAAGATACATCAAACTATAATAATTCATTCCATACGAAACAGCCTGATTTCACTTGGTATCATAATAATGAAACGGAAATCGGCAAGACACTGCCAGAAAATTATTGGAATCGACACAAATTAGCAGGGACATCATATTCCGGTTATCTTGTACCTACAATACTCTAGAGCACGTAGCGAGCATAATGACATTCTTCTCCTTCGGTCCGAACTTTATTTTTTTTTTAAGATTCTCTAAATTATCTTCCAATTTTATATTATAAATATTCATTTTATCTAAGCGAAAGAACGTTTACTATATATTTCTACACAATATGCCAGTGATAGAGGTCAAAGGATGCTGAAAATGCCAACACGTATTCTAATAATCTTAAAGACACATGTAGCGCGTCTATAACAGCACGAATTGATTGTAAAAACATACGATGAGAGTCAGCATAAAAGTATCATTACTTGCGAATCTCGTAGTGCTTAGATTCGTTATCGCATCAGTACACATTCAACACCATTATCGTCTAGGTGACACGTATACATACGCTGAGAACAAATCTACAACCACCACTAACCTCCTCACCGGAGAAATAAATACTCAACTCGAAGAATCTGTTTACATCATACGTATTGTTGAACTGGATGATCCATTAACTAACAGTAGTGCTGAATATGAAAAGACTTACGTATCGGCACGTTTTACACCTGCTGATGATCGTGCAACTCGTCGGCTTCTTTCTCAACATACCCGTGAATATTTTTTTAAGGAAACTGAATTCTCTCTGCCTGAATATTCTATTGGTAATCGTTGGTTAATGAAATCTGCAACGAATCTCGACAAACTGGTCACTGTTACCGATATCTACGAAAGTGACGAATACGATACCGAAGTCATTCAATTCGACATTGAAATAGTTGGTACAATTCAATCATTCAACGAGACAATGCCGAACCACTATTGGATAAGAAAACATCTCGATCTACAAACTGGTATGTTGTTATCAGAAGAGATTACTCACAAGAGTACGGTAATCTATTCACGATTAACTGATGTAACCTTGAAGAAATTGATCAAATATCGAACTCATCATCATGATTTGTAACAATGCATGTGAAAGATTAGAATCAATTGAATAAAAAAAAAGAACTCATTGTCTATTTGTTTCATGCGTTCGAAATTCTTTTTCCAATTCTGCAAATTTCGATGATCTGCGTGCACATAAACAAGGGATCTACTTGGCCACATTACTTTTCATATTCGTTTGCAGAGATAAAACTCATCGATATAGAATTTTGTCCATAGTCGTCCACCATTTGTTTGAGCATTTTATAAATCGATTCTATTTCAGTATAAACTCCTTTTATCTTTGTCCAATTCTTCGTGATATTTCTTGTTATTACAAAAGATATAAATCTAGTCTATTTATGCCGTATGACACATACGAGGTACAAATTATTCATCAAGCGAGCCGGAGATAGTCATCGAAATTTTTTTATCATGCATAGTTTAGAGTTATTCGAAACACTGTTCGTCATCTGTGTATAGGTTAACATAATTCACTGCAACGCAAAGTTTTCTCACGGCGTTTTGACAATGATGATCGTTTTCGTTGATGTTCTTATCCAACTAGATCAGAGATACATATTGCGCCTTTTGACGTTCATGAGAATCGCCTGTGGCTTTGCTTTTGTTGTTCAAAATATTTCCCATTGATCCGTGTGACCACAATGTTGAGAATTCAAGTAATAATCGCGTTTTTATTTTGCAGTTGTACACTTTTCTGATGTTGCCTATATCAGTAAGTAACTCGAAATACTAACAATGCACAGTTATGAGATGTTTGTTTTCCGTCAGGAAAGTATACGAAAGTGAGATTTAAGAAATTTGCTTCTATGCCGCTGATCTTTCGTTACAAATCTTAAGTAAATTGAATAATATGTAAAGTTTTTTCACTTTATATAACATTAAATGCATTCAATCCTGTATTTTTTCGATTGGTTTGTCGATAGTATCCATTCCAGGAGATCATGGAAACCTCCGTAATTGTTTATTATAATGGATTGCACAGTTGCAGATGAAATACATTCTAATTATATTTTTTTCTATCTATTTCAATGTTAATAATGATTATTAATTATGAAACTGTCGATAAATTGTTCGAATACAACGACAATAGTCCGTCTTTGTCTTCTCCGAAGACGAGAGAGAAAGAGAGAAAGAGAAAAATCTAGTAACACGCGTCATCCTTTCGTATTCGTACCGTTAAATTCATTCGTTCGTTCGTGAATACATTGTGCTGATCTTCCAACGATTTAAATTTCCTTTCGCTGATAGAATCATGCTGCTCGGTAATCTTCGTAGAGACATGGATTTAAATTCATCAACAGCTTTCAACACGACGCATTTTCTACCATCATTACCAACCCCTCTGACTGCTTCATCAACAACAACTCGAACTCCATCGACACCACAATCAACAATGATGAACTATGCTCGTATGCCACACCGTTATACAACCGTTTGTTTCTCATTTTTGAAGATTCATGATGAGATTTATCTGGCTTTCGATTCTAGGCAACATTACTTTCTTTACGTCCGCCAACGGAAATAACGATATTTCCTGAACATCTTGTTGAACGTCGTTTTCTCGAGTAAATATGATTTCGAAAGAACTTTTGGTTAATTATCAGAGGTTTCGATGTTTAGTGAAGAAAATTATATCGATCTCGATCGAATGTTGGCAGAAAAAGCTGGCAAGTTTGATTTCGATTCGTTTAACATGACCGATGGTCCAATTATGCCAAGTAGAGTACATAAATATGATTTCTCCGATCCCATTGTCATTGAAGTACGCTCTCACCCTCCCCCCCCCCCAGCTTCTCCTCTATTTCGTTCATTGTCATTGACTTTAGAAAGTAAAAAACCGCCGTCCGAAAGATCCATTGACACCTCAACAAGTTGCTGCTCTAACATCAGTTGCAACACGCCATCAGCCATCAACATTATTACTTCCTTATCAAACACAATCATCTCATGTATGGATCGATGATTATAGTCATCAAGAAGCGTCAGTGAAGGCACATCGACACCATCTACCACCACAACCATCAATGCCTTATCAAAGACAAAATCCTAATCAATGTGAAATGTATACTCAACAAATCAAATCGCTTCTACCAACTTATCAGATAATATCCGAAGAAAAAGAAGATCAAACTGCAGACACGATTCCGATTTTACAACGTCTGTTCGCTGCCCAACGAGTTCAACAGTAAGAAAGCACGATTTTGAAAACGACTCAATCACGCTTTCATCTTTAGACACGAACAAGGTAAAACGAACTCATTCCAAATTCCCGATGTTGTATGTACATTTTCTTATCTACCTAAACAGCCATACAAAATCTTCTTTAGCTATCCCACCAATCATCATTAGGACAGTATCAACAAGGTTTATCTGCTTTTTGCACACCCACAACACCGGCAAAACCAAGTTCAAAGAAATCATTCGAATGGTTTTCAACACCTGACCAATCTCGAAAGGTAAGCTTTTCATTTGATTCTTTTCCTAATATATCTTCGTATATCAACAGGATATTCTTGCCCAACTGCTGAAAAGTTCGACAACTATGGACACACCTATTACACCAGGTATCGATATTCAGAAAGACAACGATGAACAAAGCTTCTATTCAGCACCGCCATCACGTACGAAAACACATCTTGACTAAAACAAAATCACCGACATTTCTCGTTTTTCAGCCACGCAACAACAAGGAGAATCATTATCTCTTTTCACAGACAAAACAGGTTTTCCAACATCATTAGAAAATTGGTTTGGTACATCTATATATAAAAGTGCTTATCCACGTATGCCGTCAGATCGTGTTTTTTCAGCATGTGATCTCGAACAGTGACACGGTTTTTTTTAATATTTCTTTTTATCGTTTGGTTATGGTTTGTTTTTCTCTCTTTCTTTCTCATCGATTCCTAGTCGACGTGTATTTTCGTTTGTTTGTTGTACACAGATTTGGAAAAACGATGACGATAGCGTTATAGAAAAAAAGAAGATAGTTTTATCTTAAAGTTCAACGATGTGTTTGTTAGAAAAGTGCAGATATGGATGAATTTTAAATGTCGGATCACGAATAATTGGCGCGGTGATATTTGTTGCCGACATGTTTATCGCAGCACTTTGATTCGTATTGCTAGGATGGAAGAGATTGATCGAACCAATGACGGTCATGTATCATACTTATTAGTTTTATTATTGAGAGGACTTGTTGGGAGTTGAAGAGACTTTTGACTTTGTGAGTGAATGAGATACATTGGATATTGTTGTTGTTTTTCTTCAATTTCTCGTTGAAGTCTTTCGATTTTACCTAACAAAAAATCAATCTTGCATTGGAGATATCGCAATGAAATCATACGTCGTGCTCGTAGCATATTTCCGCAGAGAATACCGAAGACAATCGCAGTGACTAAAATACAACTAGCACCTAAGGCGAACATTGGCCATGCTCTTTCCATTCCTATTCGAACCTCACGTAACGAGATCATTTAAATTTTACCGTTTACCTATGTATTCAAGAGACATTGTCTCGAACGATTCTTGATCAATTAAGTGACTCTTTCACGCGCCAATGCGAATACATTCAAGAAATAAGGAATGGTGTGTCTCATATATTTTGGTGTAGAAACAAACAATGTCAAGGACGAAATTGTACTGGCTTTACTGTTAGTGCTGGTTGTGATAATGTGAAACTACGTGTGTCCAGATCGAGATAGATATAGTAAGCTAGATTTTGTTCATCAATACCTAATACACCAATAGTGCCGTCACGTAAGCGAAATACTTTATCGAATTGTTTAAATTTCCGATTGCTTTCGATTGGTATCCAGAAACTAAAGTTATCGAACGCAGCACAGTTAGAGTTCATTGAAAGTTGCAATTGAGAATTCCTATCGATCGCTATCAGATAGCATGTTTGATCAGCGTCTGATGCATTCTGTAGTTTCGATGTGAAAAATACCGGTGGATTTAGAAATTGCTGTTGTCCGTTACCAATCATTTGCCATGTACTCCAACCGTTCGTAGTGTACAATATTCGGTAGATTTGTTCATTTTCAAAAATATCAAAGCAATATCGATGTACAGATCCAACATAACTGCATACTGGCGCTGCTGCGCTTAGAATTCGATCCGTTTCGTAGCCTAATGGTGTCACTCGCCAAGTATTTAATGATAGTTCTGCATATTCACTTAGTCCATGAATTTGATTTCGAGCAAAGCAGAACAGCTGACGAGTAGAGGATACTTGCTGAATATAACACGTAGGATCACCAGTTACGGATGGCGCAATGTAATAAACAGATGAAAGTTCATCATCAATAATATAGCGACGATAAAGAACGTTTTGATCATCACGAACATAGACGCTAACACTGTCTTTATCTGCTAAACCAAAGGCTGTGCCAATGTTTGCACCAGCCAGATTTTCGATACCATGAAAACCTGTTCGCGTAAATTGGGCAAGTTTGAGAGAGTGTTCAGTGTCTTGAGTACTCAACCCAAAACAATATCTTGTTTCGTTGCTAGAATCGAGAAAACACAGTGATTAACCAATCAACGAATCGAATGCTTCAATACTTAAATGCACAACTTAATTGCGGTAAGTCGGATAACATTCGATTATCGATCAGGAACCAGTCGAATGCAAGTTCTTTCGTTGTCAATGATCGAATAGTAACCATATGGTAAATACCATTCATTCCAAGAACTAAACAATTTGTTGCATAAGTTTCGTCTATGCAATCGACAATGTGTTGTATCATTGTATGCCCTTGAAAACGAAATAAAAACATATTAGAGCGGGTGCGGTACGAAATATCTACCACAATTGGAGTCCTTCGCCCAATAGATATCCGCTGCGCATATCTGAAATATAGAAAGAAGATTAATTGAAAAATCAATAAACTAACATACACATGTTTTCGTCGCTACGTTCGGTAGTTTCTCACAAACGAAACCAATTTCTCGATGACATTCATAGTCCAGATTACATGAATCATTCATCCCACCCTTTCGAACTATATGTCGTAAATATTGATCAGAAAAAGGCATTCTTTAAACTCTTACGACACTTATTGCGTTGAACAGACCAATAATGAGATCCTTCGCATAAACACTGCTTCATTTCGTTCCATCCGTAGACACACAGTAGCCCAGATTCAATATAGCAATCAAATAAGTGATCGCACGTTTCTTTGTAAGTACGTTTTTTACTTGTAACTGACTCGGTTGATAGAATCTAAAATATGAAGAAATATTCACGAAGGAGAAGCTGATTTTTCTTACACTTGCTGATGAAAAGGACGTGCTCGATGTTGAACTTACTATTGAAAGATTGATCAGCGATAGTTTTCACAAAAATAAACTCACTCGTATAAGTTTGTGTTGTATTCACATTTGTCAACGTTGTTGACACACATGGATTCGGTGGACAAGTGTTCTGTCGGTGACCAGAATGCATAGATGCAAGAAGATACCATAATAGTAGTACAAGTATTGTTATCAACGATATAACAAGAATGACAATCACTGTGTACAGAAAACTAGAGCATAATTGATTCTGAAAACGAAAGTTTTCTATTGAGCATTAAGCACACAATGATCTTACTTGACTTAATCGTCGAAACTGATACATTATAACAAAATGAGCCACATTGACAATAAAAAGGTGAAATAAATACCAGGTGATAGACGAATATCATTCAGCCATTAAAATCAAAATAAAAGCATTGTCATTTATCTAACAATACACAATATCGTTTCAGTTTTCCACCCAATTTCTTAACAGCAACTCCCATCGTTAACGTATAAACTTACTACTCCTGATAATATCCTCAAAAGTTTGTCTTTTAATGACATCTATGAGATAAACCCGTTTATTGGATATATGGATTTTCTGTCTATATTCTCTCCGCTTATATGTATATATATAATCTAGTTCTTGGATATCCATTTTGGGATGGTATACATTTGCTAGTGAATTCATAGAGGATAGATCAATACGAGAAACGAGAATTCTGGTTGAAATCGAGGTAGAATCATATTTTTTTCTCTCTCTCTTTCATTCTCTTTCGTTTCTTTAACCGGCTGATATCAATCGAAACTTTCGTTCTTGTATTTCGTCATTCTTTTTATATTCACAAGATGTTCATTTGAAATCTAAACGAACTCATGTCTTCGTAACTATCAACATATCCGAAATAGATTATTGAAACGCAAAACTTCCACAAACTGGCTCCATCATTAGCTCGCACCTATTCATTATCGTCGACATCATCTCGACTACCTAAATCAATGTTAAATCAAGAAGAAATTCATCGCTATTTCAATCACCTCAGTGGAGCTAAACGTATCGAATTTTTATATGGCTTACTTCATCTGTGTCAACCGTTAGAACTACGGTATCTCGGCACATGTCTAGAAGAAATCGCTCGAAAAGATTACGAATATCTGTATCATGCTGAACAGAAAACGAATCATTTGTCAACACAAAATGTTCCATTACCATCATCGTCCGCTTCGTCCGTCTCGAGTAGTACGAATGAACAAACGAATCAACAAACTGATCTTTTACCAGATGAGAAATTAGACTTAACAGATCAATTCACACGGGCACATGCTATTGTCGATATTGGTAAATGATTTCGATTGATAGTGCTATGAATAATCTTTGTCTTGTTGTTGTTGTTGTTGTTATTTAGCACTTCTCTGGGCCAAAAATCGTGCTTGTGCGATACGATTATTTCGTCGTTTGAAAGCGAGTGACAGTGTGAAATTAGTGGACATGTTATTAGAACGAGACGATTTGGATGAGCGAACGATGGATGAGATTTTAATCATCTTTTGTTTAGCTGCGAACCATCCCGCATTTAGTTTTGATATGCGTACACAAATGGCACAAATCTTCAAAGAACTAGAAAAAAGACAACGAAAAATGAAATTATTACAAACCGTACAAAGTAATCAGAATGATGATGAGGACACATTGGATGAATCCTCATGCTTGGGTCAACATTTATCATTGTCGTCATCATCATCGATGTACAATCCGACGACATTGAGTGTACATGCATCACGTAAGTACAACAATTCATTAATTGAATTCAATCTTTGGGCTTTTTTTTCAGCTCTGTTAACTCGTTTAACTGTTGTTAATTTCGATACGGATGTCACACCGATAAGAATATTAATCAAAGCAGATTGGTCAGATAATAATTCGACATTAGCCTGGAAAACTCCAAATGACATTCGATCATTTCATCTGCAAGTAAGAGAATCCCCTCTTGTTGTTGTTGTATAGCTAATCATCGAAATCTTTCGCTTATTTTAGTTATCAAACATCGTTTATCATGATGACATACGATTGGAACGTTTGATGAATATATCAGGCTATTTGCGTGATATTGGCTTTTCAACGGAAGCCGATGTTGAGCAGATGAAGAAAAACATCGGAATATATATGGCGTAAGTTCGGTTCTGATTTTCCACTTACTACTATTTCGAATGAATTAATGATTTTTTTTTTAGACATCTCGTTTACTTCTCATCATATATTTCGACAATTTCAACGTTAGCGAAATTTTTCAATTCATCCTTGAAATTAGTTGATTCAAAACAACGTCTATTCAATTCAAACAACACGTTCGAAGATTCACTGCCATCATCGCCATCCTATTCGAATGGAATGACTCCACTCCGTATGTGATCGCATTCGTTCTCTTCATCGTTGGACAACTGATGTCATCGCTTTTGTTTCCTAGAATGTGAATTACCAATTCAACAAACGGATTCCGATAGTAAAACATTATGTTCACCAAAACTATCTCTTAGCATTGCGAAATCCAAGCAACAATTAGATGTGGCGAAACAAGCTCGTTCAACAGTTCCGACACACAATGGAACACAAACAGGATTAGAAGTACGATGTGAAGAAACTCAAACAGATCGTATGCCTGGACCGGGATTCATCCTCGCTGAACATCAAGATTTCCTTCGAAGATATTCCATGGACGAAGTACAACATCATATTTGTTCTCTCGAAATATAGATTGTTTCATTTTAGTTGGCGAAATTAACTCCACATGATTTGATTGTCGATGGACTTGATTCAAGCATTGCTCAATTACTTTGCGGCGCTTTAGACGATTTAAAGTATTTATTGATGACTAAAACACGTTTCTTCTTATCTTGAACATTTCGATTTAGACCAATGAGTATCCATTTGAGTAACAGCACTAAAGCAGTCCGATCACCATGTACGTTTGTTCAAATACCGACTGCATCATCGTCGTCAACATCACCACCGCCGCCGTTACTCGATGCAGCATTGATGACTGTTGTTCAACAGCAACAGCAACCACAAGCATCATCATCATCGTCATCTCGCACATCACCGCCCGGTTTTGATCGAAATCAATTCGAACACATCCTAATCAATTTCGCTGGCATGCGATCATCTGTTTCGTCAAGTCCAAGTCCGAAATTACCAAAATCCGGAACTAACAATACTACTGTACTTCAACCTACATCGCTACAAGCATTACCCGCTCCAGCAACCTCGACATCATCGTCAACAGCAGTAACATCATCTTCGTCAAATGCCCCGCCTCCAACTCAACATCACGTACCATTACTGACAGCACATTCATTTCTTTACAATCCAGTCGAACCATGTATATTTCCGATTGCAATTCCACCTGGTTTTCCATCGACATCACCCGATTTGATGCGCTTCTTTGCGCCAAATATGGCTGCTGTTGCAGCAGCCGCTGTCGCAAACACTACTAATCCATCCAACACAAACTTTCTCGGAAATTCTAACAGCACACAAGGATCCATGTCAAGTTCACGTTCGACAACACAATCGAATGGTACGAATACGCCACCAGAACAAAATGGTCAGAATCTTCACCATTCATCTGCATCAACAACTTCATCAACTGTCTCTCGTCATCAACAACCTCATTTTCGCCATCGACAACATTATCCATCTGACTCTCAACAGTACCAACAGAATTCATCGCATACTCAACAACGGCAAGGTCAAACATCCTATTCGCAACAACAACAACAGCAGCAGCAGCAGCTACAACACAGCCGACCAAAAGCATGCTACACTTGCGGCGGCTTTGGTCACTTAGCATTTGCGTGTCCGGAACAGTATTTGTCCGATTCAAATTATTCTCATAGTACTCGAGGTAGGAGACAACCAATCATTCGAACGAATTCTTCTGAGCACGAACGTTCGTTTCTAGAAGGTTATAGACTTGACTATCGCCCTCGACAAAGTACACCGACCAACTTTCATCAACAGCAGCAGCAACAACAACAAAGGCAAATGCGTTCGAATTCCAATTCCAAAACCAAACTTCGAGACAACAGTTAAACATTTGCTATCTTTCTTTCTTTCTTTGTTCGTTCTTTTCTTTCAGTTATACTTACCTAAGCAATACACGACATTCTCTTTCATATGTCTTTTTCCTGTTCGCCATACTTTCTTGCCTATCATAGATTACATTCATTTTCTTTTTTTGCTCCTTCGTCTTTCGTTTCGTTTATGTATCGACGACGTGCAACTCTTTTTTTACGGTATATAGACAACACGTCTCATCTTTAATACATATATACATATTCCTA